AGTGGCAATACCGTGGAGATGGAACAAAATGAAAAAATAAATGGGAGGGTCCTTGGATTACACTCTTCAGTTTGTACTGGAAATGATGGTATTCTTAACTGAGTTCAGACACACGTCCATGTTTTGATCACTGACGAACGCTTGCTCCATGGAAGCTGTTATGTTTGCAGTCAAGGGAAACCGTTGGACTGATTCTGAACTGAACTTGTTCTGGCAGAGGTAAGCAAGAATATACAAAGCACTAACAAACATGGTAAGCTTAAACCTTTAAACCAGTTAATAGTTTAATCAGTATTTCCGGTTTTTATTCGTCCTAATATATACTCCACTGATATGAAATGAGTAAAAAAGGAGGAAATGCGGATATTTTTTTCAAATGATGTCACCTGTTTTCAATTGATATTTTCCTTAAAATAAACCTTTACACTGGCAATCAGGATTCTCTTTTTTAATAGACCAAACAAAGTTCCCAATTTCGTACTGAAACTGAAAATTACTAAAATCTGCTGACATGCCACTGCCTTTAACTGATGGGGAAATTTTTGTTAGCCAGGGGCTTTATTGGGGTTAACTACATCTGACATGATTTTGACATTTATGACAGGCAAAAGGGCCTTAATTAAAGACCCTAAGACTACTCATCAACCAAGAAAAAAAAAACATTTTGACGGTTTTGTGTCATAAACAGGTTCGACTTACGATGACCAGGATTCATACTTGTACATACATTGAATTGGTTTAGGATTTCCGTATTACAGTAATCGAAGTTACTTACTACAGCCTTCCCCAGCCTACGAGGAACTTGTACAATTCACAGACTGAGGGCTCAATTTACGCTGATTTTCCAACATAAAGATGTTGCATCTTTAGTCCAAAAGAAGAATTCTACAAAAAAGTGCATTGCTGGCGAATTCCGTTGAAGCTGTCCTCAGAAGAAAATGCTAAATATGTGTTCATAATAATACTTCCCGGGTATATACATGTGGGATTTTAGCATTTGTCAGAAATGATTCCTTTGGATTCTTGTGAAGTGTTGAAATAATCTTCGACTGAAAAAAATTCAAAAATTTCAAATTTCATGAAATGAAAATATATGGATTGAACAAGATTAATTCAGGTGAAGAAAATAACGAAACTACCCCATCGGAAAGGTTGTAAAAATCAATCACGAACAATTTGACTAAGCACAGTTTATCGAAATGGTTTCTGTTTTATTTCTTTTTTTTTTCCATCTACTGTAGCTTGCCTACACATTCAGAAGATTATGAAGAACCTCACAGTTAAGAATCTAATCTTAAGAACATCACAGTTATCATCTTAATGTCATGTATAGAAATACGAAACAACATGCAGCCAGTTTCCAAACACTGTGAAAACCTTTAAAGAAACCAAACCTACTGAAACTTGTTAACTTGTGCGTTGACTGGCTATCGCGAGAGGGCGGAAATGTCCACACTGTCATCGACAACGATTCGACGCAGAGGCCAATCGTCGCGGTAGCGCCCTCTCGCGATGGCAGATTATCTGTTACGTTCTACGCTTATGGCGTGGCATACGTCACGTTTCTTTCAAAGACGCTATAAATAGTACTTTGGATGTTGAAATTGTCTTGGAAACTATCAACGAGTGTTCCTTTATCGCTAATTATTGTTTTAACGGATTCTGGGTGCGCCTTTGTGTTTCGCAGCAACAAAACTGGTTGTAGACAGTCGTTTGTACTGGATTCAATTCATCTCTTCAATAGTACGGTGATTAAATAAAATATCAGTAACACAGATAATTTGATGATTGGGGCATAATCTAACGGCCATATTGAAACAAAATATTCAAATGAGCAGATTTCAATAGATTCATTACCTACCGTTTGAAACAGATTTCACTACTAAATGCCATTTCCATTTTTTTAATTGATTGTGGTTGTTCGAAAAAGACATTTTATTGTGAAGTTCCATTACATGTATAATGTATAAATTGTTGAGATGTAATATTTAGTTGTTTGTGAAAACAATGGTGACCATGCTGAGAAAGTCCATTGTAAAATTTTTGAATGGGGACGATAAACTTTTCAAATCCAATCCAGGTCGGGTCCAGGTCCAAGTCAGGTCGGGGACCAAACCACAATCTAGTGACGTCCCTAGTTTCTGCTTATGTCGCTAGTTCAAGCGGCAATGACGTCATTTTCATCAGGTCAAGTGATAATGATGTACTTTTCCCGTGTGATTGTGGGAAAATAACGAGATTTGAAATGCCGGTAGCCAACACGGCCACCTTTGCCGCTACCGTTGGAGTCTATGACAAAATTGTTGTCGATCGCAATTTTGGAAAATTGCCACGATAAATCTGCCACGATGAATCAATGGACATTTATAACGGCAACATTTTCATGCATAAAGTAAACTTCGGCAAAGTTTCATTTTTGTCGGGTAAACGTTTTCATTGGCAGAGTTTGACTCGCCTGCCCACCGAATTTGACACTTCCAGTACAACATTTGACCGAAAAATGTCCTCCATCCGCTTTTATGGATACCAAATGAAAGGAAACTTTCATTTAGATCTTGGGTAGCATGTTTCCTTTAAAGTTGATCGATCAGAGGAATTTTTTCTAAATTATTGGCTGATAAAGATATCGATGTTATCTGCAAACCGTGATCTAAAAATAGTCAAAAAATTACGTCATCGTTGTACGAACGAGCGTCGTATGCATAGTCTGGCGTCGTCGCTACTTTGTGGTTTGGTCCCCGACCTACGTTTTGAACAGTTCAGCGAGATCTGTACCTGTGGTGAGAGCACATACGCGAGATAGGTACAACAACGTGACATCAATGATGTTACGAATTTAGATACATGACGACTTATGACTTCGACTGGATGAAATACAACCCAATCTAAATTTGCTTTTCATTTTAAAAATAGTCAGAGTTCCCAGATGAAAAGTTTCCACAAACTTGTATTAAATTGCCCATAAGGGTGCCCTTCCGTAATTGTGGAGAATTATTAAAAGCACAAAATACACACAGTCCTGCTGTAGCTGACGTAAGACCATGAGTTAAGGAAGGATGTCGTTTAAAAAAAATCTTGGCAAAACCATTTTCTCTTGGAATGTTTGTTTGGTCAGTGCTTGACACCATGGATACCACGTTAGGGCATGCGGTTGTACAATTAGAATTGTCTCTTGAATGTGTTCCCAGTAAAATGAGCATCTTCTTACTTTGCAATGAATCCCACTCTTAACATTAACAGGCAGCGTCAACAATCGCACATAATAAATGTTGATAAATCAAATCTCTCGGTTAATGATTATTTTGATGGGTAGAAATTAGGTTCAATTTTCACACTTCCTCTAGCTTATCAAACTGTATGAAAGTGCAAGAGCACCAAGACCTACCTTTAAAACTCCGTTCTTTCAACAAACGCTAAGTTGAGGTTATGCATAACGAATCTGATTTATCATCTTATGACTCCAAAGTGCAAGGAAACTTAATAGTTGCCGTTTATGGTATTTAGCTCTGTTTAAACAACAATAGTAGTGGCTGGTAAAAAAGATCGCCTCAAATGAGCCAAAAGTTAATCTATTGTTTGAATTTGCACACGGACCTTGGTAAACAAGAACAGTGCTTGATTTAATGCAGATATTCAGAAATGTGGGAATCGACTGAAGTGTCCATGGGTAATTACGTACTCTGCCAACGAATTTGGGAAACCTTCTGCTTATTAACACATCCGAGATTACTGAAGAACTTCAGGCTTAACCATAAAATGCAATAATCTAACACCTGTGGCCATGCCTCCATGGGGAGAAAATTGTCTCGCTGTTTGCGGTGTTTCTTTCCTAGAAGTTGAGACTTTACGATGACAGAGAGACGTAATAAGGAATGTAGTGAGAGCGATAAGAACCAGAGCTGAATCTTGTATTGAAAAGAACGAATGGAATGTCAAATGACAATGGGGTTACGTCGAGACAGGCACATGTGCCAAATGTTAAATCAATGAATAAAATAAAAATTGCTAAGGACACACTGCATGGTCTTTCTTCCTTTCTTAGGTATGAAAAATTGTCGGAGTTAGGCTGCAGTGAATCTGATGCAAGGCCAGTTTGACACGGTTGACTGAACTGCTTCTCGCCCAGTTATCTGTGACTGATAATTGGATTCCTTGGTGTCATAAGAAAGAGAACATAATTAGTTAAAAATAGTGGCTGTCTATTTCCTAAACATATTAACCGTGTCTTGGTTTTCTTTTTCTTAAACACACGGTATTACGCATTGTGTAGCATGGATCTTTACCCTGACAAGAGCCCCCTAGGTCACCTGCTGACGGCCATTTTGCTAATTTATCAATCAAACAAAAATACTGCCAAATGCAATCACTTTCTATCTAATCGTACCTCTATTCATGCTTAACAGCCTAGTTTAGTCACCCTCGGCTGGGAAAAAGTATACCCAAGCCGGCCTCTGGGCAAGTCCCATGGGACTGTGTATAAATATCTCAGTCATGAGGTGATAAGGGACTGTTTACACAGTCTGTTTACACAGACGGTGCCTGGACAGGCCATGGCCTGTCCTATATCAAAGGGTGTCCCCGTGCAATGTCACAAGTCTATCACCCAGACCCTGATTCCAACTGCTCGCTACGTTAAAACACGGCGACTGGATGAGGGGGCTATCCTGAGCGCAGTATCCATGGCGACCGAGTCGGGCGCGCACAAGTTGGATTGTCTGAAGTTACTGTCTTTAGGGGCTAGAGGCTGTGGCTTGAAGCGTACGCGGACGCTATTAACTGGAACTACTTTCGACATTGTAAGCGGACTGCATGCAGCGCGGCGAGATGGTATGGTGCCAGTATAGAGATTCGCACGGTCGTTTTCCTTCCTCAGGGCTATACCACTCCGCGTCGCAAGACTGAGAATAGTATACGCATGCAAGGAGTCCGCAGAACACAGAGTGCTTCTGCTGTTAATCGGCAACTCTACACGTTGCTCTGATACCAGGTTTACTCAGGCATTTAAATGTCGTGCCTTCTCCTTTGATTTTTAATGAGCGATAGGGATGTCTGTGATTGGATCAATTCAACAACTGTGGTTAAATCAGTATAGGGATCAACAAGAACAAATGATTTTAACTCGTAATCTAAATCTAGCAGAATACGTTCACATCCAAATTCCACTATAGCGAAGCAACTATGCGAAATGACTCAAAAACAATAAATGGGGGCACTTCTGGGTCCTGCTGCACCCTGGACACAGACTAAAAAAGCAAACACTTCAATGAACAATATCTCTGTTTAAGAAGAACACAATCTTCCTAACAAACACGTTATCGAATTACTACGAACCATTCAAACACATATGACACAGTCTGTGATACGTTGCAATAGCGACTTGAAAGAGACCACAGCGGCTGACGGACAACAAAGAACCCCCAAAATATATCACTCTCCGGGTCCACCTGCGCTTAGAATGACACTACCTAGTTAGTCTGTGAGGGCAAACAATTGTGCGCTATGCGCTAGCCTTTTTTCGCTGCAAAATAACGATGAAAATGATTGCTTAGGCTTCTGAGCGATCTTGAAATTATTCTGAAAATCTCTAAGGAAAGTGACATTTATACAAACTAGAAACCATTGGATGCTGACACAGCTACGACAAATTGCTCCATAACGTATCTTACATGCACGTTGACACCCAGTTTAACACAAGCAAGCACTCTCGGCAAAAAGCGGCATAAAATATCTACAAGTAACTTAAAAAAAACCACATTACAAAACAGAAATCGCGACCATAGAATCCAAAAGCCACAGCACAAGACTGAAAGCAAAAATCAACCTACCTGGAAAGTATAGCCATGAAAGTTTTCGCTAAATCTGGAAGCTCGAAACTCGATGCAAGAAAAAAATGGCGCGATATCGACGAGTCTTCACACAAGTCGTGAGCTCTAGTGAGCTCTACAAAAAGAGCGCCCTCAGAGTTTAGGCATAAAAAAGTCATACCATGACAGCTCCCTTACCCAATTTCTTGCAGAAACACAGCTCATTTGATTTCAAGTCTCTACCCACCCACTTTTACAACTTTATGAGAGGCTAAAAAATCAAACTGTATTAGAAGTTGACTGAATTCATCAATCTAACACGAAAATGGCCAATTCTGTGTGGCAAAACGAGAGAGGACCAAAATTACCTGGAGGGGACACAACAGCCTGTAAGGGGACAGATTTACCGGGCCAGGGGAGACACCTTTACCTAGGTAAATCTGACCCCCTTGGACACCAGCCACAAGTAATACAATTTGGGAGAGTAGAGGGTTTTCCAATATCCAGCATAGTCTCCGCCTCCTAGCAGCGTTTAGACCAAAAATGTTCAAATTAAATGGTCATACTTTACAATTTGCATCCACAGTGGGATATAGTTCGAGCTTTTTGTTGGCAGTAACAGAGCGAACAGACTTCAGAATCAGGAGGTTTAACATATCGGATAAAGCCAGAGACGGGGCAGAGGTAGGTTGCTTACCGGCTTTATCTCTCCATAACCTGACATTGGCCGGTTTTGTAAATATTTCCGACGCTGTAAAGGAGTACCGGTAGGTAATTGATGAAAAAACAACAAGTTTGTATACATCACAGCATATCCTCAAACTTAATCAGGGTACCAGATTTTCCAGTTTTCGTTTTATATAAGTTTATATATACAGCATTAATGACTGTGTGACAGTCGAACGATGTCAAGGCACGAGTCTTCTGTAAAAATATCTTTTTAAATATATATATTTTTTGGAGGTTCAGTATTTCAAACCTTTAAGAATTGTTTAGATCAGCAGTCACCGAAATTGAATTTCGATGTATGGGGTCGGCTAGGAGTCTTTCCGTCTAGTATCACGCCTTCTCTACATGCCGGGTCACAAGTCTCTCTTGAAGAGCCTGATGACGCCTTCCTCGTGAAGTTTGTGCCACAGTTTTCGCTCGTTGTCTACGTTGTGATAGCTCTTCACGTTCCGGGTGTGCACCTCGAACTCTGTGTCGTAGTAGTGCATGGTGAAGCGGGGGTCGTAGCCAAAGCCGTAGATTGTGACCTCGTCGCAGATGTGCAAAGCCAGGAGCACCACCAACGCGCCTGTCAAATTAGGGAACGAGAAAACCCTCCAATAAAATAGCTCGTCAGGAACAGGCTTCTCATGCTATATGGCTACGGCTACTTGTATGGTGCCAGTATTTTGGACGGACACCTAGCCCTAGCTCTCGACAACTGAGGGCAAGTTCGGCGTTTACAATAGTTTGGCCAACAGCCAGTTTTTGTTTTTTTTTAACATAACGCATGCGCAAAACTGTCATACTCAAACGACCCTCGTCAGCGTTTTTGAATTTCATCGTTACTCGCATTTCTCCGTTGACTGTGACCATCGCAACGTACATTGACAATGAAATCCAAAACAGTTCTTTTCATGTGAAGGTTTCCCTCTTTAATGGTAAATGATATCGGCCATCGATATTTAGCGGTGCGACCATACCCGTGGGCCTGGTCCCAAAAGGTCGACTAGATAGTTCAAACCACTCATCGTTCGGGCTCTGTTAGTCGAACTATATCGCTTGAACTTTTCCGGACCTGATGGCTTCCTTTAGGCGCAAATGGTTCTACAAGGCGCCCTCAACCGACAGACCATCTGTTTCCATATGAGGCGGAAGGTTTAGTTATCCAGTTTGTTATGACTTTGTCGTGATCAGCCCGTGCCCGCACTGTCCAGCCGTGTAAAGGACAATGGCTAATAAGAACAAATGTATTTATACGATGGACCTCAGCATTATTTGCTGAAAAAATGGCTGGCCAGGTTTACATTTTAACTACCCTATTGGGTCATGTCTATGCCAATTGATCTGTAGACAATTAATTCTTGGTTCATTTTCACCCTAAAATGGTTAATTATTAACCATTATTGTTTTAAATTAAAGACACAAGAAATGAATTTCAATCACCAAAATTGGTAGTCGGAAGTTCCACCCTTCCTTGAGTAACGAAACAGAGGTAGGCATGGATGCCAGTCGAAGTCATTAATTATTAAAGCGGGCGTTGACTAATCAGTGGTGGGTATGGTATTACGTAAGTCTAAACGCATGTGGCGTGCTATGGGGAGTTCACTGTTAGTTTGCTGTTCGTTGCTGGGTCGCGTATTAACAGGATCGCCGCAGAACGCTGGGTGCTGTTCAGTGTGCCGACTTGTGCTGTGAGGTAGCGAGAGACGTGACAATGCACCGGAGAGCGCTGCGTGTGGACACACTGCGGCGACTGGTAGGTGTAGTTTTAAGTTGTGTAGGGTCTGGATTAGTTCAGTTATTGAGCTGAATGTGCGTAGCAAACATAGGTTGCGAGCTTGTGTCTTTGGTGTTAGATTGCTTGTCGTCCGTAAACGTTGTTAGTGGGGCGACGTCTGGAAGTTAATTCTGTTAATCTTTGTGCTAGCTAACATTGGGAGTTACTTGTTGAGCTCTGTTCCCTGTGAGGGTAATTGCCTTTTCGTTTATAGCGGCCCTGACTTGCATGACACGCTGTTATTTGTGTAAAGAGAAATCACTCCTTGCTATTAGTGAGGTATGCCTTGGTCAAAGAATATCTGTACATGTACTAAAGTTAACCGGGTGGCTAGGTTTTACTATTGGAGGCATACTGCATTGTCTGTTGAGGTTTAATGTGTAAATAAATCTTGCGTTTCCTATATACCTCATTGACTTTTCATACAATAAACCAATTACTTGATTTTTGTCCTTGGAAACACTGTGTCACAGTGAGGCTTATGAAGTTTTCCCTCTATTTAACAGATATATTACTCGATTGATCCTGTCTTTCCTAAGTGGTGGTAAACTTTCACCTGACAAACTGCTCACAGACTTAGTCTGCCTTTCATTAACCGATGTCCCCCCCCGTGTGTCTGGGTAACTGTTCATCCTTGTGCAGTGAAAGGTTAATAAACATATTTGTGGGGTTAGGCCAGGTCAATTCCATCCCAGATCAGGCCGGTCTATTGGGTCCGTCACAAGAGAGGTCAGTTCCTTTCACTCTTGGGTCAAGTTAACTCAGGCAGTTTTAAGTGTGAATTGTACCTGTGGTTGGTCTGCGGGATTTGTTGTCCAAAAAAGTCTTGAAGACGTAGGCAAAGAACTCTGGGTGAACAAACTTTACCCTGGTGGGACTCACGACAGGTGTGTTGAATTCACTGTTACAAAAATGGAACAGATCCAACAATCAATTGGGGGAATGTTGGCAGAAAGAAGTCCATCGCATACTGCTGGAGTCTGAGATGGCATTACATGTTCTGATTTTGCTCAATATTCAACAATGATATCCGTCTCAAAACGTCCCGTGCAGTAAAAAGCATTCAAGTAAAAGCATGTATTTAAGCAAAAGGGGCTAAAGCCTCAAGGAGCGTCGGGGGCGTGCCCCAGGAGGTGAAACTGCTTTTAAACAGCAAGCTGGTGAAACACGACTTGAAGAAAGGCTACGGCTGCGGCTCTGAAGTATCTTTTTTCCAAGGAAGTCCCACATTTCAACAACGAGTCAGTTTAGTATTTCAAAACACAATGTCTTTCAAGAAAAGAGTGTGCGCGAGTCAGCGTATGGTTGCGCTCATAATGTAGATCAATGATTGCGCTTAATAGGATCTATCGCACATGTAGCTATTCTAGATTAGCCTCATACTGAGCGAGAAGACTAGTCTCCTCTCGATGCTGGCAATAGAATTATTTCCCTATAGGAAAGTATCCCCCCCACAATTTTGCAATAAATAATATGCCCCCTGGCGTCAACCCCCCCCCAAAAAGCCTCATTTTGAAGTGTCTCTCAGGGCCAATGCATTGATACTCACTATGTCTTTCGCTTTGTCACATACTTGGGTGATTTCTCCCCGTTCATCATATTCAGTGCGTAGTCGGCATCATAAGATTTGAAAAACACAAAGAACACAAGGACATCCTGCGAAGAAAAAATAGCACAACCAGTGTATTCGTCAATGTAACAGTGATGGATCCAGGACTTTTGACCGGGGGAAAGCCCCTCAGCTTTGTGTTAATATCCGAATGTTCGGGATAGGTAAACACATACTTTTAGTGTTACATTGGTACAATGACAAATGACCCTTACAGGATGTTATCTATTTATTAAACGATTGTTGATTTAATTAGGCCTGTTACCTTTTTTTCGTCGCTAGAGCGGGGGAGGGGTTGATCCCCCCGACCTGCCCAGATTAATGTAACTTTACCCTTAAAAAGATATTGTTCTCCTTGGATATCTGCAAGCTAGCTATAAACAACATGACAATTCGAAACCTGTTGTTGGCTCAACTGAATAATTGATAGTTGATATGGAATTGATAGTTCCGTTCTCACCAAGGCAAAAACTTCCCTCACGGATTGTGACCCACTTCTGTTGTTCTTTTAATAGTACCTACATTCATTCACCTAGTCATTTCTATAACCAAGAACTAGCCAATTATTGTCCGGTGCTGAACTTACCTTTTCTGTCGAAGGTCATTGAAAAGGTTATTGCATTACTCCGTACATGGATGATCACAATCTATGGGAACCTCGACAATCTACGTATACATCCGGCCACAGCACTGAAACTGCACTGCTTGCAATATAAAAACGGTATTATGCAGACGATTCGTGACTCCAGAGGCGTGTTTATAGTTCCTCTCGACCTGAGTGCCGCCTTTGATACTTTAGATGACCAAATACTTCTACAAAAGCTTGATAAGTCCGTTGGCCTGACGGGAAAGGCACTTTCCTGTTTCCACGGTTATCTCAGCAATAGGTCCCGCAGTGTGAGTATTGATGGCCCCTTGTCGCATCGGAAATCACTACAATACGGGGTCCCACAAGGCTCAGTTTTAAGACACTTGGCCTTCACTCTCTTCACCAAGCCAATTGAAGATATCATTCGCAAACATGGTCTTGGTTTCTATATTTATGCTGATGAGACTCAAATCTATTGCAGCGTCAATCCCAAGGAAGTGGAACCTATTGCATCTACGCTTACTAGACTGTCTACTTACATACTTAATCTGAAGGTGTGGATGACAGACAACAAGCTCAAACTCAATGACTCAAAAACTGAATTTCTGGTAGTGGCCTTCACACATGATCTCCAAAATTTACCGTCTGTCACTCTGGAAATAGGGGACAATATCATCTCGCCTTCGCCGTCAGTCCGTAATCTTTGGGTCTATTTTGATTCACCCATGTCAATGTCAAATCACGTTCTAAACCTCAACAGGAGCATCCGTTTCCAACTTCGTAACATTTCACGAATTTGGCGGTTTCTGGGTTTTGAAACTTGTCACCATGTGGTCCGCGCATCGGTTCTGTCCCGTTTGGATTATGGCAACTCTTTACTAGATGGCTTCACAGAGTCGGAACCTGATAGCCCGTTAGCCAATTTTTCAAACCGATACCCGTGGCCATGGGAGTTAACGTGTCCACTGCAACATATTTTTGAGAGGATGTAAGTATAAGGTTTTATTCACCAGTGGCACAGATTTCCATCACAAGGGCATGACAACCACTACGGCCACGACTACGTCCAAAACAAAAACCAAACACCCTGACAATCTAGAACTGTATTTGCCAGTCTACTGTAACGCGAGAAGGTGATTTGACGAGATACTGATGCTAAATGCCAATTAATGCAACTCTGCGTGTCTGGGAGCAGCATCTAGTATGACACCGTGCACGATATGGTACAGATGGGTACCCCCCATGCCCAATCCCTATACACACTGTAGACTATTGTTACCAAACACATCGCCCCCTAGAAGTCTGTGAAGAAGTCCTGAGATTCCGATCAAACATCCACCAACACAAAGGCGGGGGGCTCTCTCTGCCCTATATCTTGCACCATATGTCTAGTAAAGCAAGATGGAAGGAAAAAACACAGCAACGTAACGACGAACACGTTCCGTCTTATATCGCTCCTGTCCATTTTGCGTAACGCTAATTGGCTTTCAGGCACAAAATCAGGTAGCATCAGGTAGAACACCTTAAAGAGAAATTTTATACAAAGAGGGCATCTTGGAGAGTACTTGGATTACGATACACTCCCACTTTGATGTGTTCGTACATGCATGCTTTTTCTCGTGTGGCCATCACAACTTGTTCACACTCAACGCGAACGGGGATGACGTTGTGTCGACGTCCATACAACGTTTTTCTATTAACAAAAAGAGCTTAATTTTACAGACATTTTGGGGGTAGGATTGTCTGTATCAAAGGTTCACTAACTTGCTTGGGTTTTTGCGTGTTTATGGTATTAAAGGATGATAACACACCACAAAGGAGTTCCCTTCGGTGACATTGGGTCCTCGATGGTCAAGCTGTTCTTAATTTGGAGAACGAGGACCAGCAAGAGAAGACACCACATGACAGAGAACCAAACGTCCCTGGAAGACGCTATAGTGGACTGATTGCTTTTAGAGAAGTTACAAGAAGTCGGCCAACACGTTTCTGAAGTTGATTAACCCAGATCTGGGCCTCCTTACTTACCCTTCTGGGTCATTTTGACCCTTTGCCGGATCAGAAATGTCAAAATGACCTATGAGAGAGAGTCCAAGTTCTCTGTTTATTTGACGACTGATACTATGCTCAAAGAAAGCCAAACAAACCCATATATGTACTGCTAAAGAAACACCCATCATCCAATATCAGGCGAAATCTGCTCTTCTACCAGTTACCCTTCTCACTCCGCGTACCCTGTCCCCCAAATCTTAATGTCACCTCACCTTGTCTTCCACGTCATCAAGGTGCTCTGATCCTGGGTAAAATGTGTAGAATGTCGTCCGTTTTCCAACGTCGTTAGCGAATGACCCTGATGACAACGCCCTGTTCAGTCTGCAAAAGCACGGAATATGGTTATAGTTCTTGCTTGTCTACATCCGGCCTTACAATGCGCCAGGAAGGGCATTTATTGTAAGATGATGACGTATTTTCTTCGAGCACATTAGACAGTGTTGAACACGGATGAATGCCTCCGCAGCGCCCTCTGTGTTCCTAAACGTGTGTGCATTACACCAATACAAGACCCATCGAAACAGCATCAAATCAGTGTTTGTCAGGACTCGCAAGCTAACACCCCTGAGGTTTCTCACACACAAATTAAAGTATTGCTTTGTCCTTATTCTTTCCATTTCTTTTTAATTTGTCGGTGGGTTTACCAATTGCATTTATAGTTATTAACACAAAACAGAATCACTCCCCCCCCCAAGGAGATGTTTGCCAAGTCTACATCGAAATTTTTTTCAAATGGCATGCCTCTACTTTCTCATGCACTTAGAACCATTCTCATTTGTATTTTATCCCATCTATTCTGACCTCTGATAGAGGTCCAAGGAACCAGGGAGTTGATCCTGGCAAATATTTACACACTTTCACCATTTTCGGGGCTAACAATCTCCTGTTTCAAAAGAAACTGTGAGGCCACTGCACCCCAGGGTAAGCCCCTGCTCCATTTGAAATTTAAAAGTGCACAAGGCCTGTGTGGAAGCCGCAGTTACCTTGTTTTATGTGCCACCTTGGAAAACAGTGTTTGCAACGAGGGGGATCCCTCAGAAATTTCACCCCTGTTACGCCATGGACTGTTCACAATTTGAGACCGCTGAGAAGGATGAATAAAATCTGTCATCACGATAAAGTATAAGATGGGTGTACCGTACCTGAAAACGTAATCGTGGCTGTCGATTTCTTCGCCAACCCCTGAGCCATTCAGGATGCCCCAACAGCCCACCACAGCGCATCGAATACAGCCTTGCTTACCGGCCAGTCCGTGAACCGGAGGATTAGCAAAGTCTTTGTGCTGCAAGATTTGGTTTATAACTACAGTTGAGAGATGAAGGAGAGAACACAGAATTTCTATATAACGTTATAGCTTCAACGGACGCGCATGACATAGAAATGACTCTCCCACAAACATAGCTGACAATAACTGTATATCAGACTAAGATACTCCAAAGCTAAGTTGTTGAGTTAAAACTTTGGCTTAAATATAGAGAATAATGAATTAAAGCCCGGCTAAATCGTGGAAAGGACAATATAGACGACCAGGAGAAAGACGGGTATAAACAGGTGAAAGGATTTATAACCGGAGAAATTATCCCCGAACCACTCAATAACAGGGATCAAACTTGTGCGAATTGCAAACCCGCAATATCTGCAATGCACGGGACGGAGTGACAATGGGTTTCCAATGCCGCCCCATTGAAGACAATTAAGATGTCATAGACAATGGTAACGACACAAACAATAGTTATTTAAAGGTATTCAAGACACACATCAAATTCAAATTTATGTTTCAAAATAAGGAGGGCCTGACGTTCCGATCCTGGCAGAATCTTTCTGGAAGGCTTTGAGAAAGATTCTGCCAAGACAGAAACGTAAGCACTCCTTATTTTTTTGGTTTGTACTTTAGGTCAGTGTAATCAGCAAGTAGTTTGCAGCACTTTTGTATTACATGAAGTTCATGTCACTATCTTTCATTCTCCTTTCAACTTTTGGTGCCCCAACCGACGACTTTCGACTTTTATTTCTTGCCACAGCAGATAACGTTTAAAGGAAGCCTACAAGCCCACCACCATTCTGAAAATTGATGTCTGCACTCATTTTCCTAAAATTGAGCAGTTGGGAAACCATCTTGTCTAATATTGCAGAAATACAAGCTGGCAGTCTTGCTGGTAGCTGTCAACCTTCTGTAGATAAAACCATCCGGTCGGTGTGCCATGAAATGCTCTCACAGCAGAAAATTTGACATCACACAGATCATGATTTGGTCCGTGCAAGCAATTGTGAATTTATTTGCTAGCCTGAAACCCTATGGATGATGTACCTGTCAAGTTCTGTTTTTTGAAGCCGAAGGGTAGTCCTTTGGCCGAGAGTTTGCCGTAGTGTTCAGTGTCGTCCCTGTCCAAGAACAACTTGATGCCGGGCCGGTATTTCTCTTGAAACCACTTGGAGTATTTGGTGAGGGAGGCTATGGTCTTGGGACACGGCTGGTTCGATAAGAGATGAAAAAATAGCGCTGTCTTTTTATTGTGAATGTGTTGTTTTAGTTCTGTCTGACCTCCATTTTTTTCATTAATTCTAAACTCACAGTAAATTTGCACATTTGAAATTCTGCTTGTTTTCTCTTACAACAAACTCCTGATGTGTATTTTTGGTGTACTAAGCATTACATGTATGGTGTACATTCCCACCGTGATTAGTTTGAAATCATCTTTGTACGATCAGTATTATATTGAATATGGGATTAAAAATCTATTCCAAATACTTTATTTTGAGAGATAAAAATTTTAGTTACAAAGTTTTATCCCTTATGATAACTGCCAAAACTCGTGTTCTCCCTTCTCCCCTTCTTCATAACTATAGTTCAACCTCAGTGGTTATTTAAAGTTATTGTTCTATAGTAATCTTTTGTAGTGCTGTAATTAACTTACGTTTTTCCAGTTTGGTCTCAATTTACAATAACACACAGATATGAACGGTATCCTTTTCTTTCAAAATGTGTCAATCTGCAAACAAAAGAGCATGCCAGTCTTGAACTCCGAGTGAGTCAACAGTAAATATAATTTATTGATACCACACGCCAAAAATCAACATATTTCGATCTCTGACTGCGCTCTGTGGTCGATATTGGGTCCTCTGGCGGCTGCTTATGGCGCCTTTTCATGCTTTCGGCTCGACTGTGTTGCAGCTGCATCCGTCGAAATGCAACTTCGCGGCTGCACGCACAATTAGCCCTCAACTTAATAATTTATGGAATTAATACAAATGTCTTTTATAAGGACAACCTGACGATTCTGCAGACTCATGGCGGAATCCAACAAACTGGAGAATGTAAGAGGGTTTTGTAAGAGGTACTGAGGGTTGCAACAGCAATTGAGTAATTTTCAAAGCGGGGGACATTTGTGAGATCATCATGCATCAGCTATTATCAGACCTACCAAGAGTGGGGGCCATTGTCCCCAAGTCAAACTGTGCGTGCATGTGTGTGCGCTGGTACATGGTACCTTTTGGGGTACCGGAACAATGGTACCCCACAAGGCCAGTTTTGATCCTTGTGGGGTACTAAAGTGGTACCCAAAGAATTTCACGAAATAAATATTTCAAATTTACTAAAATTGGAGGAATCTCCAAGTGCAATTCATTCGTCGCAAATTGAGGTGTTTTATACAAAGGGGCATACGGTCGAAATGTCAACCCAGGAAACTGAATTTGGCTGAAATGGCAGTGATTTGAATTTTTTTCCGTGTTGTGTGGGAGTTATTTTTACACGAGAACAAAGGAAATACCCCAAAAGTATTCATATGAAAGGGTGTGTTTGTATGTGGGCGGGGGCAGTAGTTCGCTACCCCTTCCCCACTTCTGCCACCAGTAAAGGGTGGGAGAGGCAGGGGAGAAGGTTTTTCCCAGATACGTCTCTTGCTGTGATCTCTCAACCGATGAAAAACATCTGTCATTTTTGAAAAAAAGACACATTTCCAATCAGCCCTGGCTTGCGACACAAGACATCACTAAGCTTTGATAGCAAAATCGGAACGTGTATAACAGCAAAAATGGAACGGCAAAATGATTATCCCACAGAATCAGGACAGTGGAAATGGACCATAAAGTGCAAAGAACGGGCACGCTGAAAACAGATGGTGAATGTATTGACTTGTTTCTGTTTCGAGAATGCTCTACATTCCGCTCTTACGTCACCAGCTGTCTGCAGAGCCGGATGTGTCATTAATCCTGGACAAAATAAATCAAAGCTCTTTTACATTACAATGGAAACACAAAAACTGGCAATACGCGTCTGTAGTACAAAGATTGTGGGGAAAGGAAGCGTGAGTGAAGACGCCATGAAACGAAGCTTTGATGGTGAATGTGTTTTGTACAATTAACGTCTAGCTCCTCGTACAAATCAGGAAAATTGTATGACATACTCTCACCGAAGCATGCCCTTTCAATCCATTTTGTGGGATACTGTTCAAGGTTTGAACTCCAAACGTATTCAGTGACGACATTTGTCACAAAACCTAGCTTATTGGCCTGATGAAATTCACCGAAACAACATATCACCCCAACAAACAAAACTAAGGACGGTAAAGTTGCCAAAAATAAGGCAAGGTCTTTGTGCAGAAATAGCTGTATTACTACGTTGTCTGCCCTAAATGACATCAATCTTTTGAAAAATGTGCAAATTTGGATTGATATATTTATTAAAAATGTACCCACATGTCCCACAATGCCTTCAAATGGCACAAAGAAAATATAAAATCAGATTTATACAGAACACAAGGGAGCATTTGAAAATATTAACATTTAAATTGAGTGAACACTTTGAAACGTGTTTCCTGAAAACGTTTCGTGGCTTCTTCGTCGATTTGTACGAGCAGGGACGGCCAGCAGTTCGCAGAAACGGAAATGTTTCCACAGCCGGTGGTCATCGGAACCGAGCCATCCGGCATGACTTCGTACCACATGATGCCAGCTTTTAAATTCAAATCTGCTCATTTTAACCGGGCTCTCCCTTTTGCACAATTTATGCAATTTTGTACTTAAGTCACTTTACAGAGCCTTTGCAAGTTTTCAACAAAGTCAACAAAAATACCATGAAGTCATAACAGACATAAGCAAGGCTTACGTGGGGTGTTTGGGCAAATTTCTTGGTATAACATCATCACCATCCAAACAATGGTAAATTCTGGGGCTGGCAAATGCGGGTTAATTATGCCCCCTTATTAAAAAAAAGTAACAACAGTTTTGAGAAATGACAGGCAGTGAATTCTTTGGTCTGTTTAATTTCCCTTTCCTTGAAAAATGCGGTAAAAAACTCAAATGAGGCCTTGCCCCTCAGAAAGGTTATAAAGGGCACATACAAAAAATTCCTAAATTTTGCCCCCTTCCAAAAATCAGTTCGCCACCCCCAGCAAATTTGGTCTTTGATAAGTCTTTTCCTCCAAGTTATGTGTCCCTCTCCAAAATGTCTGTAAGATGAGAATTCTTAGAAGAAAAATTCAACCTACCGCTGTTTTAGGTTTTACCGTCTTCTGTTCATTTGTCTGGTTCCCCGAGGTCGTCGAGCGGCTGTCCGTGTGTTTCGGACCCACGAGGGCTGCAGGGCAACTGGCGGCAGGAAAATCGTCATTGTTGACAGTCCAGGGGTAGGAGGGCTTCCGTATCCTCGTATTTATACCGACCAGAATGATGGAGATTTGAAGGAGTAAGACGACCATCAACATCGCCTTCCCCGATCGGGTCAGTGTGAACCTGTTGACCGCCATCTTATCGGCATCCAGAGGTCGGCTACATCCGAGGTGGGTTGCCTCGCGCCTTTGTCCTCCCCGTGCGACGTTTGTAGAGATAAAAGGGGTCATCTCAAATGTCGTCCGGGAAAAGTCGAGGATAAACTGCGGAAGAGTGTTGCGGTGGAATGTTGAAGGCTACTAAAAAAAAAAACTCCCCCACAATCTTCCCGGAATAAGGTTATCAGTATTTGTATGCACAACCCCTCTCCGCAAACACTTTGTGGTTTTGGCCAGGCTAGCCTTGGTCATGGCGTTCGTGTTCGTCACATTGCAGCGCGCACCAGACGCTCGCTGATCTAGTACGTACCTACGGACGTAGGCTACATAACTGCATACAGCGCAGCCCATAAACTATGCAAATCAGCTGAACCAGTACAGACACCATTAGCGCAACCGTCAGCGGAAGCTTATGCCTTTCTTAACTTTTGCTCTAAATTCCTAGCGCACGACCTCGTATGCAAATATGAATGGCGTGCGATGAGTGCACAGTTACCAATGTCAGCTAAGTATATGTATGCATAATGCATCAACGTGAACCATGATAACCATGTAAAATAGTGGACCTTCTGAAAAGACTGCAAAACGAATTGTCCTGTTGCTTGAATTCTGCTGCGGATCTTGTTGGGTGATTTTTGTGCCGAGCAGTGGCAAGCCTTAGAATACTTTTTGCCGGGTCGCGACGTTTTCATGAATTTGCCGACAAGTACGGGAAATATGTTATTTTGAACTTATAGATAACTTAACTTTTCAGGGTTTGGTAAATACCGTGTACGGAAACCTTTCAGGTCTGGCTAGAGCTATTACCTCAATAAATGAGGTAAAAAGCGATTAACTACTCAGATTTTCAAGTTGCTTGCCCAATTGGGATTTCGTTGTATATGTACATTTAAATGAAGTAAGAGGTCAACGAGTCTCAAACGCTTTGTCCTTTTTCAGGACGCATAATGCAATAAAAGTGCCAGTGGTACAATTCTGAAAGTAAAAGTCACATACGTTGCCAAAAAGGGAGTGAAAAAAGTGAAGTACATCTTCAATCCACAACCTGTCTGATTAAAAGCTGAATCTTGTGATTTGTTTGTTGGATTTATTCTCTGATCACGTTTGTTCAGGTCATTGTCACAAGAGAATTTTTTTTATTTAACTGAATGACTTGATATTTTTCTGTGCATGTTATGAGGCAATTAATTCATAGGACAAGGACAGCTTCTGTGTGGGTAAATGATGTGCATCGGTTTGATAAATTCATATATATAGAAAACATAAATTTAACCATCTGTGTTTTGATTTTGTCCTTTATGCCTTGATATCACTTCTTAGTAAATTTATTTTGTGCTGATGAATCAAACAAATGCGCTTTTTTTGCTTTTAACTTTTCAACATAGAAATCATTAACCCTATTTGATCTATAAATGGCTTCCAGTTTTGAATTCAGAACTGAATAGATATGGAAGTAGAGGTAGGGGTAGAGATATCACAACATGTACATGTAATGAGTGAGTAAGTAAAGCAGATGCATAAGCTGAGGGTCTGAAATACCTGCATTTTTAAACAACCATCTGAGTCAGTTTTTCACACTGAGCATATGGCTACAGAGAAAGTCACAACGTGCTGAGTTATCCAAGGTCAGTCTCTGGAAACCACAAACCACGTGAATAACTGACCACCTATTGTAAGCAACAATGCAAACAGTCCTTCTCAGTAAGTGACCTACTGATGCAATATTCCTCCAGGATTCCCTTCAACAAATGCACAGTTTCTTACGGCGAAATTGCGGGGAAAAGATTCACTTTCCCACAATTTCACCGCAACTTGTCCTGGACGAGATGTGAGACGACTCCTTAACTACTCCAACGGTTGCACTGCAACATGAGAGCTGTGGATATTTTGCTGTAAAGTTTCTTTTTCAGTCACAGAAGCGATGTTAATAATGCACAATAAAAATGTTTCCGTTTACGGTGGGGAAAGGTTGTTCATGTATACAGTACTATTGTTCTGCCCTTTATATGTGACGGCCTGGTCTTTATGCCTCCCGCCGTTCAAGGAAGCATATATAGGATCAAACAGTGCAGTGTGACCTTTTTGGTCTGGACAAAGAGAAATGTATTCCGGTACACGCCAGGTTCCGTCGATGATTGTAGAAACTGGCTTCTCTATCCTCTGAGTTAGCCTTTTTGTCAAGGCCTGCATGGCTGTGTGTGTGTATAACTGCAAAGCGACTCGACAGGAGGCCAGGCGAGTGGCGCAGCCACGGGGCTTTTTGCAACTACATTTTGAAGTTTTTGTGGTGAATTATCCGTAAGCTTTCTGATATGCCTTATTCATAAATTTCATGTAAAAAGCTTATGCAACGTATCCATTTGGTTTTTCATAAGGGTAATAAGCGAACAAAGGACAACTATGATGCTTGTTGGTGGGGGATGTTGCTGACGTTGGAGTAACACTAGCAGTTCATCAAGGCCAAATGGTCAAAGCAAAACAGCAGTGCTTGAAATATGGAGCTATTACCACATCCCGTGGGTAGAGACAAAAACGTCGTGCCCGCGTGCAGATGCTTCAGTAGCCTAACGCTGCAACGGTTTAAACTTAGCAAGGTGAAGTTTTCCAGCAGCATATTCTAAAGAACCGCCCAAATACTGCACAGACAACTGACCTGTACCCACGGCCGCCAACACACTTTACACGCTCGCCATCTTTCGTATACTTTCAATTTGCATAATAGTTTAATGTTTGCTGACCCCCTCGCTTATGATTGGTTGAGATTTGTGCTACCCAAAGGGGTAGCAAAAAGCAAAAACATTAAAAAAAATTATAAATTCCTGACAAGTTGGAAAAGGCCTAGTGGCTGCGCCTCTCGTGCATGTGGTCTCTGGGCCAGCCGCTTTGCAGTTAAACATAAACACAGCCACGAGGGCCTTGACGAAAGGCTATTCCTTAATGGAATTATAAAGTAATCCACTGCCCCTTTTCATGTCTATTGAAGCATAAAAAATTAGAGAGCTATAAAAAACAATGCTAGGTGTAATGGAGATACGCGCAGGCTGCATAGAAAATGGTCTTTGGTAAATTGGCTCACATTATGCTAACCTTGCCATAAACGGTGCTCATGGCAACGGCAACAAGGAAGGTTGCTGAGCGAGCGAGATGTGTTGTTTGCAAGTAAAAGTAATGTTGGTTACAGATCATCATTTTAAAAATCTGATTGTGAATACTAAATGGAGAAGCGAAATATAAACATGTTAACATTTCGGTCGTGATCTGCATGGCGCCAAGGGGGAATGGAATATCCTCTACTTGCCAATTTCATATACATCAGGGCGTTCACAAGAGTACACCGCCAAGAGTCTGCAAAGCGTTGTCCAATCACAATGCACAAAATCTGCCGACCCTTTCCAAACGCGTATGAGGTCGACAGATTTCGCGCACTGTAACCAGCCAACACGTTGAAAAGTCTTAGAGGCGCACAATTGTGAATCATTTGTATTAGCAACAGTAACACGCGCATTAGTATTGGGGAGAATAATACGTGCGCACAAAAGCATTCTGTAAAGGACTGTTTGGAACTTAAAATCAATAATTCTACATTAATGACAGGTATTCGTAAACCAGCAAACGGAAAACTGATGTTTTCTTTTTAACCAACATATGCGGAATCAGACAACTGTTGTATTGTTGCATCAATTTTTTTCAACAATCTAGTTGTCCTAGCACCCAACTGAAAAGATTACGTCTCACGCTGTAATACAAGTCAAATCGTACTGCATGGTGTTATTAAATTTTATAACAAGAAAAGAAAAGGCTGACTATTATGAGATACTGTGTAATTTTCATATTTGGTTCGCTCCCAGATTTCATACCAAATTGCCCCCATAGGCAAGTCTGTGGAAGAAATGTAATTCACAATAGTATAAATTCCACACCCTACTAATTTTTTTCTCGGTCGGAATGATGTAAACTTGATCAATAATAGTGACTTACGTGCAGCGGCAAGGCTTTTATCTGTGGGCGTTTAATTTTAATGTAGCTTGTACAGATCTATAACCTCAAAATGCCTTGACGAGGGTGACAATGGGACTCTGGAAAGGGATTTTATTTCATAACTCACCCCACAATTTCTCCGTAAAATGTAGTTTTTCTTGATTTAAAAGTTGAACTTTAATCTCTTAAGCAAGCCAGTACTCTGACGTGTCCGACTAAATGTTCAATTGCAAGTCGATTGTCAGAAGACGTAGTGCCGGACACAGACCCCGACTGAATCAAGACTATTGAGGCAGCTAACCGAGCGAGGGGTGGGAGCGGCAAGGAAACGCCCAAGAAGTCTACCCCTAATGCAACCAAGCAAGAGAAGACTTTTATTTATGTCGAGCGTCAAAGGAGTGAGGAACTGGCGTTTAATCTTTTACTGAGCCTATTTGTTCCATGCATAATCAGCAAAGTAGATGAAGTTGTGCGAGACAATGTTACGGTTGTAATTAGAGGAAGACGTAACGCAGAAAATTCACGAGTGTCTTATGGAAACAATGACGGAAAAAGTGAGAAAATATTTTGAAGATACTCTGAGCAAATTATAAACAAAGAAATTGTACAGAACGTATTGGAACATCCGAGCTTCAAGCAATAAGAACATTGTCGAACATTTTCCAACAATATTCGACACAAATCGCATTTTGATAAGTCGTGGACATGTATGTGAAACCTGCCACTTCAGTTCCCGAAAAGGTCAAAATGTTTTGTTCGATATTTGTTTGAGTGACAGTGGACAAAGCCAGTACGCTCACTAGAGAACAAGATAGAGTTTTATAGTTGGTTAGATGACGAACGTCTTTGCAAATAATTACATGTCTTTTTAAATCAAGTTGTATCTTACATGCTGATGTTTTGTTAAAAAAAATTCAGACTCTGTGTAATCTTCCTTTCACGAGGAACTTGGATAAATTGTGGTTTTTGTTGCATGTAAAGATACATTCCTGAAACTGACCTTTGTCATAAGTATTGTAGTGTTGCTCGATTTCAGAAAGGTTTTCAACTTAGTTAACACTCTTAGGTTTGTTAAAAAAGAACACAGGTTTGATAATCAAACCCTTTGCAACAATTGTAGGCCTAACTAATAGTATCATTTTAAAGTAGATGATCAGAAGTTGTAGATATGGAAAACGGGGGGATTACCTCGACACTTTAAAAAATTAAATTGCAATCTTGGCCATGAAAGTGGATTAAGCAGTGTCGATAAGTTATACCGTGCCGTAAGGGCAGGCGGCAAGTTCAAAAGAACACGCAGTGAGATCAAAGATTTTCTTCAGGGACAAGATTTCTTCACCATTCTTGAGACCACTAGAAAAAATATACACAAGAAATCAGATACTACCCGTAGGGTGAGACAAGACTCATCCCTTAGATTTTGTGGATGTCTGTAATCGAGGTATAGATATTTGCTGACTTGGATTGACGTATTTTCAAAATACGCCTGGGTTATTCCTTGAAAAATAAAACCGCATATGAAGGAACTATGGGATGGAAGAGAACGCCCCCCACCTCTTTGTTGGTCATTGTTACACTGGTATCTCAGGAATTGTTTTCACACATCAATGGGGATGTGTTAATGAAGTGACGATAGGCTGGTGTGTGGATGGGGATTAGACTTTTTGGGGGTACCCCTCTGACCGATTTCTTGTCAACAGCTGCACGATATTGCTGAAGATGCAGGCGTTATTGAGATCTGTAGCCAAGTGATTTGGACACAGCCAGTTAGATTAAATCATGATCATGAAGCTGGTTGGCCTATCTAAAATATGTGGTGCCTTTGCACTAGAAGTCAGTAAAGCTACTTTGGGTGGAATAGCTCCGCAGAAGGTGACTCTATAACGCTTAGACGACATCGCATCATAAACGGCAGTAGCCACCCGACCAACCAAGACAGAATCAACGGCCAAAATCAAGACATCCAAGACATTCTGGAACCATTTCAACATACACTACTCAAAAAAGTTAAGGACCACTTTGTGAAATATTTTGCTGCTGAATGCAGTATCATCAATGCATCATTGCACATTTTAATGGCTTCTTTATTCTAATGAGGACACCATATAGAAAAAAATAGGAGTTAAGAAAAAAAGTCCTTAACCTTTTTGAGTTGTAATAATTTGATCGACCCTATCTGCCTGGCGTCGTCTTGAGGGGCAGAGAAGCCAAGGGTGCAGAGCCCAGTCCAGTGGTATCGATAAAATAAACAAAAGATTTTTAACAAAAACTTTTAGAGAGCTAGGCTGTGCATGGCAAGGAAGAACAAAGTTCACCAGGCCATAACAATAACAAAGGCGGGAGGAAGACTAGATTTAAATCTTTCTTTCGAAACATATCGACAATGTTTACAATCTTACTGGAATTAGAACTTTTTTATTTCTTTCATTTGATATTAAAATAACTTCCCCAACAATGCAAATATCCAATTTATTTTTTCAAAGTTGAAGAGCACACGGATAAATGAATACATCTTTTGATTACGGTTGAGTGCTCTGTGCATGTAGCAGAAGGGTTTGTGTGCGATAAAAATATTGTTGCATTAACATTGCCAAAGTTATCGGCCAATAGAAATCAGTCATTTTAAAGTCACGGTAATCTGCATCTATTATGCCTGTGGCGTTAATCGTGCGCAGATACAGATAACAGATTCAATTGATATGAGGGATGTTGGTGCTGTGCATGAATGACAGCATGCAGGGGCCAATCACACGATAGGCCAAGCTCACCAGTCACCGCACAGGAAATGACTCTCCACTTTAAAGGCATGAGCTACTGTGTTTCTCCTCAAAACAACCACCACTCGTCCTCCACATTTAGAAGATGGAGAGAGCAGGCCCGATTGAATGAGAACAGACTGCCAACAACATTAACTGGTGAGTGTTTATCAATACATGTATGCTCAAAATAATACCAGAGCTATTTTTTTAAAGGGGCAACTGCAGATAATCTGTTGGACAGGTTTAGTGAAGAGTTGGTGTTCGAAAGTCTGTTGAATATTAATGACAACAATTCAAAACAGCGACTGCATTTGAAAATTGGTCGTTGTGTGACAGACAACAACTTTCGAGGGTGTTCATTTTCCTTTGCGTTTTTAATCAAGCACCATCAACCTTTAATGGAAAACATTTTGAAACAGCATGTCATCAATTGACATCATGCGCCATGATATCAAAAGTCGTCTGCACTCCATTGCTCTAGATTTATGAAAATGTTTGTATGCCATTTCCCCCCTTTCTGGATTGAACAATTTGAAGTTTGAGCAAAGCTGTGCACTATTATTTAACCACCTAGACAGACAGGTGGATATAACAGAGGATAATACAAAACGTTGGAATTTCTGATAGTTTTCTCATTTATGAGGGGGGTCTCTGTAGAGACGAAAGCGATTTTTCATGTACTCTGGGTCTGATTATCCAATTCTGAGGCGTCATGCTAGGCACTGTGCTTGGACCCATGCCAAGAATTTCGGTGCCTGAAAAGAAACTACCACCTTTGTGACATTTTATGGGGGAACCCTTACGTGTCCACGGTATTTAAGCCATCAAATCGCTTAAATAACAACACTTGTCATGCAGATTTATTTTCACCTGTGTTACCTTTTTTTTTCAAAATGTAATACCTATGTCTGTCTGGTAATAAATTGAACAACTGGACACTCATTTTCTAAATGGATTGCTTCATAAACACGCACAACAACAGTAAAACCTTTTAGAGTTTGGGTTTCTCCAATCTTCATCCAATCCTACTATCCACCTCTGTGTGAACGGACTTTTTTTTATAGAAAACCACCCTTGTTCGCAACACGTGAACAAAGCATCAACGGGAGCTTTTGTCCTTAAATTAACTTTGAGGCTACACATCTGGGCAGTTGAGTAACTCTTCGCAATAATTGTTACACTAATTTAATGAAGTCGAACTTACAGATCTCTTTCTGACACGGGTCAGCCCAAAACTTTTTTAAACGGTGCTCAGGGCACACGGCCTGATACACATGTAGCTTTACACTTAAAATGACCGTAACAAGAAGAACACGGGTCTGATGGAGTTCAAACTTGAAAAATCTTACTTACAATGATAATAAATGTCTTCATGTGAATGCTAATATCAAGCCCGGCACAGCCGAGTTTCTAAGGAGCGGAATCCAAACCCACCTGGCTTTGAGAGGTGCTAAGCCTGACTCGCTGAGGGCTAAAGTATAAATTGGGTGATGATAAAATAAACTATAATACGACACTTACTGGACCCACTTTTAAAGAGTTACATTAAGCTATGAATGGACAACTCCAAAGAAATCAATTAATGAAATAAGGAAACATCTAGCAATACAAATACAATATTAACGTGAAAATCTTTTGAGTTTGACGATGACCCAGTATGTAGCTTTGGCTACAATACCTGCGTGTTTGAATGTGTTTTAAGCTTTCACGTTTTGCCCTTAGCAGAGGGCACTTTAGTTAGCCATGCAGAAGTCAAAGAATCTGTAAATTTGAGACGACACCACATTGCCAGGAAATACAGTAGGATCTTTCAAAACTCTTTTAACTAAAGACATAAATGTTACATACTCTCGCTAAATGCAGGCCTGGATCTTTTTAAAATGTCTCCCAACCGTAATATAATTTAGCAAGCAACGATTAAATCATTATACCGTTTTGTTATCTTTCTACACTGTACAAAAAGCTTAGGATTGAAAGTCATTTCTGAACATTATGTCACCTTTCTTAACCCACCAAATATTTCACAAATTTAACCGTGTACCAGACAAAAGCATTTACTATTTAACAATTAGCATTTAACAATTCCCAAACGAATTTCTTTAAAGATTCCGTGGGTTAAAAGTGTCATCAAGTGGGTGACGAGACCGAACTTTAAGCTCCGTTTTTTACAATAAATTTTACAATGGGCCTTTACACATAACAAATGCCCTCTTAAATGAGCAAAAAGAGTAGGACAAAGCAACTAGGAATGCAAAAAAAATCCATCTGACGGTTTTAAATTTTACTATATAGGCGTACTGTTGACTTCGAATGTCTCCTTTCGCGATCCTGTGCGAGCGCGTGCTCTCTGTAAATAACATAGCAGTGTCAAAGTTAATTTAGCAAACTACTTGTTAAATGAAACCCCTGAATAACGTCACCTAATTGCCCACAGTCTCCCTGGACGTTACTGGACCTTTTGCCGACAAACAACGTCTGTTTCGTGCATTAGCCTTTTCCCTATTCCCCGTCCTTCTTTCTTTTTTTTTTATATATCACTCCATTTTCCCCTGAAAGAACAGATCAACGAAGTTGGTACATCCAAAATTTCCCTAGCTCCAGGGCGAATTCATTTCTTCTGAGGGGTGTACCGTGTTCCACTCGAAAGAGGCCTTGATTTGTAGTTTGAAAATATTCCTTTCCACAAGGAGAGCTTTTCGTAAAAGCAGAATGTGTGGTTGTAGAGTTGTGTTACATTTCTCAAATCTAATTTGTAATTTAAGATGAGGAGCTAATGACCGTGTTTTCCATTTAATATATTGATTTTCACACTTTCTTATCCCGATATTACCTTTTGGGGAATTCCTTTTTGATAAAGTACAACTTTTTTGTTTTATAAATAACACATATTAAACACAATGTAATTACTTCTTTTATATTACTTGCAGCCCAGACATCACTCCAGGTATTGCTTCAAAGATTAACATAGACATGATGGTATGTTATTTCGTAATTTCAATATTCATTTTACGCAGTTTTTGTTCGTGTCTTTTGCCGTGCTTGGAACAAAGAGACAACTTTGTAATGCGCCAAATGCAATAATTGGTTTGAATACATAATAAACCTTATTTTAAAATTTAAGTCTATTCTAGGATCAAATTCATCATTCTTGTTTATCTTTTAAACTCAAGCACTTTGGTCAACAGTTTCTAGGGCATTTGTAAAGAAGACATAAAATACGTTGGAAAAACGGGTAAATTTTGAAAAAAAAATAACGCGAATTACGCAAAAAGTATTTTAACTTTATTAAAACGTATAACACTACGTACACAATGCTCAAAATTTTACCGTGAAAGGGCTAGTTGGCGGAGTTCATTTATCGCTCCCTTACTAGCACTTCATTCCTACATGGTTCTTCAATTGTCATTGCAGATGCAATACTGTTTTACGATCACCCTTTCACTTGCCATCCTCTTGGGTGACCTTATCAAGCCCATATCTGCCATCATTGGGCAAGCTCCCACAGACAGCGATCGTTCTGGGTCCCAGGTGTGTACAGTGTGCTGCCAAGGACCTGCTGCAACACCCGGAATTCCAGGTCTACCAGGAAATCCGGGTCATTTTGGACCTCCAGGGGCAAAGGGTGATGCCGGGGTCAAGGGGGAAAAGGGAGAGACTTGTCCAATCAGCAGTGTGGGTGAACAGGGAGCTCCTGGGAACCCTGGACCTAAAGGGGACGACGGAATGGGCCTACCTGGTAAGATAGGCCCGAGAGGTCCACCTGGTGAAGTTGGCCGTACTGGGGAAGAGGGGGTCAAAGGTCAAAAGGGCGAACCCGGAGAGGCACCAGATGACTCTCTTCACCAGGTGGCATTCACCGTGACGCTAACGAGCGACTTGGATATCTCTACGAGTCACGACACCCGTTTGCCCTTCCATCACACAGAGACGCTTTTGCCGGGTACAAACTTCGATCTGGCGACTGGTACATTCAGGTGTAATGTGCCAGGCACCTACGTGTTCACGTTTTCAGTGCTCAGTCATTCCTCCAGCCCCACCCTCTGGGTTCATCTTAGGAAAAACAGCAAGATTGTCGTTAGTGGCCACAGCAATGATTCAAATCACTATGAGCAGGTGTCAGGGAGTGCCGTGCTGGTTCTGCAGCGAAGCGATTTGATATATTTGACCATGCGTGGTAAGGTGCTTAGTTCAACTAATCACTACTCCTCATTTAGCGGTTTTCTCCTCTATCCTGAATAACATAGAAAAAAACATAGAGTCGTTGAGGGTCAATGTATAGTGCTAAAACCTGTTCAATGTCTTTGATTTCCGAATAAGCTTGCTGTACCAAAAACCATATCTCGGTTAACTAAGTTTAATTCAATTATTTTATTGGGTCACCAGCTGCTACACGTTTAGAACCTGGTGTCATAAACGTCGGTCGTTGCAGCCATCTTCCTTCACGGCGTGTCCGTTCCTCGCCAAATCGAATTCGTTTTTATATTCAAGTATTCCCCCAAATATCATTTTTGGCTTTTGTCCACAAATAAATCTTTTTCACATTCTACTGGTCCCCATCACCTATTTGTGTTTAAAATATTTTGAATTATGACCCCCTAAATGTCACAGTCTTACAAAGCCACCTTTTGTTTTATTGGAATAACATAAACATGCTGGCAACCCACAGCAGATGTACACGTGTGTATAGCAATGGGGCTTAATGATTAGTTCCCAATGTTTGTGAACAAGTTGGCCTCGTCATTTATTAATTAACAAAAACAGATAATACAAATACCTATATACTACATTTAGCTTATTAATTGTAGCAATATAGAAAATAAATGTTTCTGGCTTACGCAGTCAAGATTAAGTATTTTTTACTGTGACATTAAATGCATTTGTTGAGGACGAATGTAAGACATATTGAGAGAGTTGTCCAAATTTTGGAACTTTGTTATTATTTTATATGATTAAAACATTGTAACAATGATTAGCAATTCATTTGATATAAAGCAAGGAGCCTTCAGCACGTCTTAGGTTTTTTTTATAATTCCCCTGTTAGTGTGCTTCTTTGAGGGGTAGATTTTGGCTTGGGAGGTAGAGGTAGTTGTAGCCCTGGGCTATGAACTTGCGAATATAAGTTTGCGAACATAAGAGATGCAAGAGTCTCAGCCGTCAAAATTGTCAAGAAACGTTTCCTTTAGGACAACAAAAAATTAAAACAGGGTGTCTGTTACTATTTATTTGTTCTGTATTCATGTTCACTCCTCAATGTAGATTTTACGGAAGCGTCACAAATGAAGTTGGCCAGGCAACTCGAAGCAGAATTTTTGGGGGACCAAATTGTTCAGTCACTATGACTGTGCGCTTACTGAGGTAGATAGGAAACCCATTACGAAGCTCCTTTGAGTTTCCCAACAAAACTGGATGGCGATGTTGTCTGCCAATCGTTTTAAGTTGCTTAGTCCTTGGCCCCAAAACCTCACACCACTACTCATCAAGTCAGCATTTGTCCTGGGAAACATAATGTGATGAGGATGTTATATACTTCACCGTGCGTACAAGGGAGGTGGTCCAAACTTAAGTATGTAAACGCAAACGAGTGACGTGTAATCTTTAATATTGCTGGAAGGCTTCACTCTCAGTCAATCATCGATAACTGATGATTAGCAGTGGTCGTTCTGAGGAGCGACACGGCCATCCATGCCTAAAAACTGATCAACCATTTCCTGAGCAGTGACTGCTGAACTTGGCCCTGTTTGTGATTGGCTCTTGTGCACTGTCACTCACACACACCACTGACTCTTCTGATATTGGGTTAGTTATGTTAATGACATGTTGAAACACTTTGGCTATGAGAACAATGGAACAACGGATGAAGGTCTTACTAGCCCGGCAGTGAAATGCTACTATTTCTTGAACCGTGTTTCGAGGGATATACCTTGAGCAGAGGCTAAAACGTCAGCTTCTGGCGGCCATTTTGCTAATTGATTCATTTAAACAAAATACGGCTAACTGCAATCACTGTAAATCTAATCCTATCTCTGTTCATGCTGGACTAGTTTCATCAACTTTATTGTCGGTACTTTCCCTCGGCTGGGAAAAATTATACCCAAGCCAGCCTCTGGCCAGATCCCTTAGGATTGTACAAAAATATCTAAGTTACGTGGTGTTAAAGGAATATTTATACAGACTATTCATGGGCAAGCCAGGGCCCGTCTCGTATCAATGCTTGGTCTTTCAGATCTTTCTGCATGTAGACAGCTGTCTAGTTTGTTTCATTGTGGCGGTGGAGGTGTTGATTGGTTGTTGACTGTAACTTGACCGTTGAGGGATCCTTCATTTACTGGAAAAAGGGTGATCTGGCTTTACTCTGACCTTTTTTTCTGGGTTGGTTTCTTTGCAAGGGCTGAAGGTCACCTACTGATCAATTTAAATGCCATTATGCTAACAAAAAATCAACAGGGGGTGGATTCTGCCCCCCTATTTTCCACAAGCTTTGCATCCTACGGGATCCCTCAACATCTGTATTATTTATATATTTCCTTCTGCTAAACACTACATATCCAATATTTTGTGGTATGCAGAAATAAAGTGAGATTTGGACTTGAAAAACTGAGATTCTGTTTGTGGGAAAGATTTAGGGATTTGTTGTTTTACAGTTAGGCAAGCCTTCTTCCAACAATGTTGCCTCAATACAACGCAGCTGCACCGCTAGGTAACACACACACTGGTACACAAACACTCTTGATCGTCGCCATAGAATTGATAATCAGCACACAATATCACATTATTACACTATGCTTACTTTGAATCCATTGCCCTGTTCGACCTTTTGTAACCAGTCTTTGTTATTCTTCTACATGCTGGGATTATTCATTCCAAAAAATAATTTGGCCCACGAGTCTATTACGTTTGTGGAGAATAAAAAAAAAGTCATTCCCACTTGCAAAAATTGCCCTTGCTAATTAAGGAAAATTAAGGCACTTATTGCTGAGGCAATCGATGTGGTTATGCGTGCAGGTGGTTAGACCTGTACAAAGTAGTTATTTTCTTCTTTCCGTTCTTGTCAGCATCATTTGGTAAAGCCTAAAAAGAGATAATCGCTAAATTGAGGAAAACGTTTCTCTTGATTAGGATATTAAGACAAAATATGTCAAACCGACTGTCGAGACACTTTTATTTAATAGTATCCATATTTTCTACTAAATTCTCTTCTTCTTTTTCTGTCAGCGTTTTAAGGAGCTGTTACCACCAAGATATTGTTAAACCGGTTCACGTTAGCGTGTTTCGGCCAAGGACATGATTAATATTAATATAGCCTTCTTGCTCGCAGGGCCTACGGGAAAACATTAGAGCTTACAGAGGAATAGCTCGTTTGAAGCTTGTAAATCCAGTCAGCACCAACATAAAATGCGATGCACTCGCTAAGTAGCGCTTTGCATGTAAATTTACGCCATTGCACATTGTTGATTAGGCCTGTGCAAACTGCTTCACATTAGGTACCACTGTATACTTCTTACGTTCCTGAATAGGCCTAGACAATTTATGAGCCAAAGGATAAGTCCATTTATATCAACATTTCGGTCATAAATATCGATTTTGTTCCCAATCTCGGTATGGAAAGCTTGAAACTGTTTGGTTCTTTATTGACAGTTTAAAGAAACGCATTATCTGCATAAAAAAGGAGGACTGCCATTTCATTCTCTGTCTTCTTATGGCTTTACAGACTATCTAGTACCACTTCAAAATTTAAGTAAAGTTCTTAGTCAGCTTAAATTTAAATTTGCTGATTTCCTGTAGACTTCCGAATTACTATTCAATGATTAATTTGTAAAAAAGATCAAAAGATTTTACTTTTGTTTTAGTCTACTTTTGAGCGGTTCCAATCCACTGTTTCCCATTTGATCCAGCAACGTTATCCCAATGCATGATTTCCACATTCAAATTAATTTCCAGGAATGTATTTAGATGAAAACTATTAAAGTCTTGGCAAACTTTCAAGTTAATCAAGAAAACGCTGAAAAGATAATTAGGTCAGCTGGATTTTTAGATGATTATCGATTAGTTGAGTATTAGGAATAAACATACATTTGAATATGCAAAAGGTATCATGAAGTAACAAATAAGATGTTATGTTATCTCAGTGACTCTTTACTACACCTCCCTTTCCTTCCTTCTGGGTAGCATAATAGTACTACTACTTTTAATACCTGCCTATAATGATACCATTTGGTATAGAACTTGGTCAAACACGGCAAACAATAACGTACAAAGTCGTTACATTAATCATGATGTATAAGTAAGTGTTTGCTTCTATTTTATAGAAACGAAATTAGCCCATGTGCTATGTCTAAGCATCTATACAATTGAATACAATATCTTATTTACGAGTTCTTAAAGATACCAGAAAGATTTAGCTAAAAGGAGTAAACAGACAAAGAGGTATTTCGGTACTCTACAGTACGGTCTTCCACAACTGTCATAGCAAAAGCGCCACGGCATCGAAATCCATTCTCCGGAACTAACCTTGTGTGTTTGCTCTTGCCGCAGAAATAAGCTTTAGTGTTTGCTTTTGCCGCAGAGCGTTCGCTTTTGCCGTGACAGTTGTGGGCCAAGATTACAAATTAGTGGTTTGTAAAACATGCCTTAGTTCCAAGCAGGTAAAGGTCTGTTCACACAGTAAGGCATAACAAATCAATCTTCATATAGCCTGTCAGTGCATTTATTCTTAGATGCTAGTCTCAATTATACTTCTTATACAATGAACAAGGATTCTTCTGGGTCTTTGAGTCAACAATGTCAGTCTGGTTGATTGTTGCATGGTTGAGCTGGCATTTAGTCACTCCATCCGTCTGCTGCAAGATATTGAAGGAGTGGCATAAAGTCTCCACCAAACAAGCCACGCTGCATCCTTCAAACCCTCCAACTGGGATGTTCCTGATCTCGTGGTTAAGCAGACACATCCTCGGTACTTGGATGAACCGAGTAGGTGACCTGCAGTGTCCAGGCATGGAAACGATCCCTTGGCAGGCCACGAAGTAGTATTTACTGCAAATGCGATCAGCCAATTTCCCATCAAATCTTCTATTCATCCTGATACAATCCTCCCCACCTTTATTGCTCGGCTCCTCTGTTGCCCAATATTCATATGCATTGATATTTTTTCCTCCCTGGCACGTTATCTGCTCTCCATTCAGTTTCCAGCAGCCGATCCACAGATCGCTTGCAGTTCCGGTACTGACTCGTTTCATCCAACTGTGCATTTCCCGCCAAATGAATTCATGTTCCTCCTGTGACTCAGGTACCACCAGTGTGATCCCAGGCGCAGCACATACTTTCACTGCATCCTCAAAGTCCATCAGTCTTGGCAGTAAGATGTAGCAGGACTCCTTTCTGACCAACCAGCCAGGAGGACACTTGGCAGCTCGATTCTGAGCCAACTCCTCACCCTTTGTGATTGACACGAATAATGCTAATGTTACAAAAACTGGAAAAGCCATCGTTCTTCAGAATGTCAGTCATAAAATCTTGTTCAGGAGAAAAGAAGCGACTCACAGGTGACATTGATTATCAGAATAGCTGCAGAAAACTCTAAGTCCGAGTCTCCAAACCTACCTTGGCTGTGAAGCGTTGCTCAGTCAATTCGTTTCATCCACAACGATATGACTGTAGTTGCTCTAGTTGCAACACCTTTTGTATTGGACTGTTGCTTAGCGACGTTAGCTCGACAGCAGCACAGATTATAGCGACTCGTTTGTGTGAAGCAGTGGAAGGTTACGTCATTATCTCTGTTGTACCTCTTGCTTGACATGTGTTTTACAGATGAAGAACAGAGGTTATGGACATTTCAGCCAACCGAACCGATGCCTTCACGCATTGCAATATTGAACAGAATAAAAAATACATATTTTCAAAGACAGTGGTAATTTTTGAAAAGTTTAGCTTTGTTTGAGTTTACATTTCTGGGACAAAACCTGATTTCAGAGGTTATAGGCTAAATGACCGAAAAAACATCAAATGTTTTCAATAACAGAAGGTTGCGCATTAGGCTGCATCAGCAGAATTCTGCGTTATAACTGCTTAATGGCACACACGATTGACGTAATAAGTTATGAACGTTTAACGAACCTTGACGTAGTGAGAGTTTCATAGAGAAACACAATAAATGAGGGTAGGGACTCAGTGCGCCTCGTCAGTTTAGGAGATACGTGTAAGGACAAATTCAATTCTTCGTGTCAGTCATCATCTAAGGCTAATGCATCGTCTTCGAGCAACAGTCTGTTACCAAAATCCAGGTACCTTGAAAAACAATACCATCAACAGTTTCTTATGATTTTTTATTAAAGCCAAAACCCGAACCCGAGGTTTCTGATTCAAATAAATCTCCTCTTTTCTTTAAAGGACAAGAAAATTCAGAAAAGTGAAGTCTCTTAAAACCCCTTGAAAAGAACTTGGCATAATGCCAATACTAATCGTTATCATTGGCAAATAGGAAAAAGTCCTGTCCTTCTGGATATTTGAAAGAGGGCAATTCCCCAATATCTATCTGCATCTTTTACGTAAACACGCCGCGCTGTATTTTGAAATTTAAAATTCAAAATTATTTTAACTTCCTTTAGGGAAGTGTCACGTGCCAGTTATTAAAAACAAGGCCTGAAACGAGGGAATATTTGATTTATCCACGAGGAAACGTTGTTTACTACAAGGTTTCGCTAAAGAAACCATTCTCTCCTTGAAGATAATTTCAAACTCCTTTCAGTGGTAGAAAATTCTGTAAGTTTTGTATTATTTTTCACGTGATATTAGAGATTGTTGACACAATGACTTTAGTTTGGTGTATTTGTATTTCAAATAAATCGACAGGTCTTTGTTTTGGAAGCCATCCTATATTCTCATGTGTGACTTATTTTGCATAACGTAATCACTCTAAGTACTAGCTTTGATGGTCCAAAGATATAAAACAAAATTCTCACGATCGATTAGGCCTACATGATATATGCCGTCACCATCGTTTGAAGGCATCCGTGGGGTTTGTTAAAGTTGTACTTCATTTGATAAAGGAAGAAAAAAATGACCACTAGAGGAGAGCTAATCAAACACACTAAGTATTTACGGTAAAAATACTTTTGCCCAACTCGAGGTTATCAGGTGAATCGCTTGCTTAATTAACCGTTGAAAAATATATCACTTGCAAGAAAAATGGTTGCACTAGCAAATTCTCCCAACCGACAGGTATACCCATATATTAGGAAGGAGTCATAGCGGTTGTATGACGAACAAATGGAAAGGAAATATTGCCATAACTCTCCCTTCGCCAAAACCATGGAGACCTGTTAGGCAAGATTCAAATCAAGTCCTTTTCCACGGACACAACTCAAAAGGCTTGGTTAATTTTACTGAGATCGCGGAGTGACAAGGCTTCATCTGTCAGAATGTAGTGTTAGCAGAATTATTTCGAGATTGAGTGTGCTTTTGCAGTACCCATGTAAGGTTTTGTGTCTGTTATTGTTTTATTTAAATTATTCAACAGGAACGCTGAATACAGACAATATTAATTTCATCCACACCAATTTTGAAAATTCTGACACCGCAACAATAAAACAACTATGTTTGCAGTTATAGCTATGTGATAAATAAACTGGACCAAAGTCTAATTAACGCGGTCTTCTAATAATGCACTCTTCAGTGCATGAAGCTCAATTGAGTGCTTACGAGACGATGCTGTGTTCTAGCGCCAGAAATGTAAACACGATTAATAAGCTCACTTGAAAAATGTTACAATAAGTATGAGAGGCAGGCCTTCCTCCTTGTATGAGAAAAAACATATGTCTTGACATCAACCTTGTCTCACTCTTAGGCAGCGTTGAAACACCTTTGAAACGCAGTGTCCCAATTGCTCTTCCCACCGGATTTCGAATAGCTTGAGCAAATAGCAAAGCAATATAATATTCTCTTCAAATTGGTTCATAATTTTTGCCTTTAGTGCCTGTTATACTCCTGATGGTTGAATTTTTCTTACAAGTGTATAAAAGTAAACAATAGGGTTGCCCATGCGGTAACAATTGACAAACTCTGACCCCTGTGGTGTGGGATATGACGGTTTGAACACCCGAGGGAGGAAAAGTGCCCCGATGCAAACTCTGTCTTACGGAATTTATCCAAAGAAACAAGCTCTGAATTTCAGAGGACGATAGCCCTACTGTCAAACTGTACCAAATAACCTATAAATAGACGATAAACGATATCGTCTGCAAATGCGCTGTTTCTTCACTTTCTTTAATTGCATAACTTCAATTTGAAACTAGCGCAGGTACCAGTGAGTACATGTAGTCTGGTTGGTGGTTTCCATATTACCTTATACGCTGCGTTGGCGGGAACGAGTCTGTTATGAGTGTGATAACTGATTAAAGTCCCTGGTAGCCTATGCACAAAACGAATCATGGGTACCATGCAAAACTGACTCATGGAGCGAAAATATTCGCTCTCGAACTTCCCAAAGCTCTTCTGTCTCACGCGTGTGTACCGCATTATCGGCAGAAAGAAATATCTCACAGTGAGTGTGATATGCAAATATAACACCCTGTCATGTGATAGTTCTGGGCCAATAAACGGACAGTATCCAAGACAGAGGTATGACATTGGTCGGTGACCTATTTTATGGAGTTCATTCACTAATCATACAACCAACAGTCATCCCGGATCACCACATCAAAATCTTCTCACTTGATAAAATGAGATGATCTACCTGGCAGAATGCTGCAGCATTGTTAATTGCTAGCCAGATAGGCCTACTCCTGCTACAGCCCACGTCAACCTTGTCTGCCTCGCTTAGGGATGCGTCATTGAGCTGGCAGATCAACACTCCATCGGCCTGATGCGCAAGATTGAAGGACCGACACAGAGGCCCAGCGGAACACACCAAGGCAGACCCTTCAAACATTCCGACCGTATAATTTCTAGATCTTGTGGTTGAGAAGCCTCGCCGTCTTAGGTTCGCAGATATACAAAGTAGGTGAGGGACAGGCTCTTGGTGCCAAGGCTTTCCTTTCACAGGCAATTTGAAATCGATCAAATAGGCGAAGTCTTACACAATATACCCTATTTCCTGAAAACCACAACAACTTACCGGCAGGAGTGACAGGTCTATTTTGACCCTTTTTAGAGCAATAGAGCAAGGCAGCATTCAATCAAATCATGCTAACACCAACTGAAAAAAAAAACAAAAATGGAGAGAACGGAAGAAGCTCCTTTTTATTTACACAAAATGATTTAGTAGAGTCGCTATGAGGTGAACTTTGGACCAACCTGGGTATACGTTATGTGAGGCTGAGCCCAGCGAAACAACAAGCCAAGTTTGCCTTCAAAAGGAGAAAACTGTTCATTATTTTTTAAAAACAAAAGGCCATTGGTGAAGTTTCGATCCTGGTCAGATTGCAAGCCATATCGTGTTTGAGTCAGTCGTCCATATGGCAAATTCTGGTCCCAATTTTTATCTGCCAAGGAGTGAAATCGGTCATTTGAAAAAAAAATATTATAAATGAAACCACATTTATAATGCACAAGAAACATTTTTTAAAATACCCTGCTGTTAACTTACATAGGAACGTTTGGTGTCTACGTGCAAACATCACACAACAATCACAGCTACTGACTTGCGTAGCCTTTGGTGACCTTGGTGTTATGGTGTTCAATTAAGGCCACGTTTACGCAGTGCGAGAACAGTATTTTTACAGCGCTGTTAAGAGTTACTTGCCAGCACGATGAGAGTTGTTTAGTGGCGTGATGAGAGTTGGTTGACCGCGCACAAGAGTCTCTTGGCAGCATGATGAAAATCCTTTTTTTTTAATATTCTCTGTTTCTTTCTTTATTTCTCGTTTTTTTGAGCAAGAAAAGTTATTTTCGGTGAAAGTACCTCTCGTGTTCCCTGTGATCGGGTAGAAGGCTCCATTTTGTTGTCTTCTTTGAGAAGGATCACTAGAAATTGGCAAGGTCACTTTAAAAATAGCCTGGGTGTTAACTGGTTCTGAAACCCTTGGACAGGGAAAAATAATAAGTACAAATATTTTAATTTGTAATTATTTCTCTCTCAGTTAAAAAAGGTCTCCAGTTTCTGGTAACGGGCTGGATCCAAACATGGTGCGGTGACGCGACTTTTTTCACTTGTTATGCCCTCAGTTTTTGTTCCTAGAAATGTTGTACACTGAACTGATGTACACAACACTAAAAAAATACTGGCCCCTCACTGTTAACGGTTTAAAACCGCTTTCAGTTCGTATGTGTAAATAGGCCGTAAGACTGCGTCCTTTGTGTGGTTCCCAGATTTAAACGTGGAATATGGAAATGCCGTTATTTCAAAAAGAGTGCCCGACTAAATGAATTTTTTTGCCAATAAGCAGGTCTACGGCGACGCACGCGCTGACAAGAAACCGAATTTTTGGCTCAATTTTCATCTTTAAAAAATCCTTTCAGAAAAGGCTTTACTGTCAAATATCTACCAGCATAGTAATTCATGAAAATTTTTAAAATGCCTGATCGAAAGAGAAATATTGTGTCAGAAAATGATATCTAACTTCCGAAGTTTGGAATACGTGGCAGTTATTGTGACATATACTCATTTACGTCAACACAGGTTAAAAATCAAGGGAATAGAAGCAGCATTGCAAGGTTTTACAAAATCCGTGAACAGTCTTTTCAAAGTTTCTCTCACTAGAACAGTTTTTTTTTTCAGTTAAAAGCCCTTGTAAAATTGAAAAAAGGTAGTGGCCATAATACCGAGGCCAACCATGGGCCATGATCTCCATGGGCGTAGCCAGGTGGCTCTGTGTCTCAAATATATTACGCTCTTCTCTGTAGGGGCGTATCAGTGTGCGGCACTCTTACCAACACTCACTGTGCTCCTGAACAATACTGATTTCGAGGCGCAACATCGCGCTCCGTAACGTGGCCTTTATAGTACACCATCCGTGTACACAATTTACATGTAACAGAAGGACAAGGTCAAAGTCTGGTTTACATTCTTCTCCGTGTACCAAACTCAGTACCAGTCTACACAGGAGGGATGTGTGTCAAAGCACCCACGGGCAAGTAATGACGGTAGCTACATCGTGCACAACCGACTTCCGTTGGTAACCGAGGTATCAAAAAGTCCCAGAGTTACCTTGAATCAGTATCAACATCAAGGATTACAGTCTGCTAAAGTGCACATGACAATAAAGGTAAAGTATTTGAGCTTGTAATTTTTGTAGAGTAGAATATGCCCAACTGTGTACTATATAAACGGCCCAATCTCTCAGTCGCCATCTTTAAAATAAGATCGTTGAACATTACGTCACTTGACCCTCATCGTCTCAGCGGCTGTTCCATGTCAAGACATATGTAATAAACGGACTGAGCGATAAGATACTACATGTACCAATGGGCTCTTCCAAAACTTTGGCAGCAGTTTAGATGTCTCGACATGGAACAGCCGCCGAGACGATGAGGGGTCAAGTGACGTATTGTTCAACGATTTTATTTCAAAAATGGCAACTGATAGAGCGAGCCCATTAGATTGAATAGATAAAGGCAAAAAGACTGGTAAATACCTGAATAACGTGAGCGAAATCATTCAATAAATGGTTTTTAGAAAACGGAAAGGTCAAGGATCATGTTCGTATGCAAAAGAAATTGCGCCCACGATGAGAAGAGGGTGCGCCGAAAATGCTCAGTACGCCGACACGAAATTGCGCATACGGATGTGTGGCTAAGGATGGATTGGGAGTGAGAGTCCGTGCTACAGTAGTGGGGTAGAACCCACTGAGCAAAGTATGCACACAGACACAATAAATCTAAACGTACAGCACATTGTATATTGTACAATGCATTAACATTATACAGAAATACACATACGTTTGCGGGTACATATCATGCTTGGCCTGTCGAGTAGAAAGACTGCCTCGTCGCGTCCGTACCTACCGGGTTTAATGTCAATGGTTTTTGTTTTGTTTTGTTTTTTGTTTTTTTATTCAGTTTTGGACGATTTGGAGGGGGGTCTGCAATATGTAGTTATGTAATAAATGAATATTTAAGTTTATCTTGAACCAATCATGAACAGTTAGATGACCAATCCTGGCCTTTCTGAATAGCACATGATTAGGAAATAGGCAATCTTGTTGCCATGGCGTCCACATTATCGTGCATATCCACATGCACATCGACAACACAAGGACAAGACAGGACCAATAAAGGCAACACTTTCCTTATTTTCATCATAAAAATCATTTCATTTAGTTTGTATGGGAAATGATTGCATCGTTATAACAATGAGTGAATATTTGCATGGGAATGGGCTGTTGAATCGTTCTTCCTTTTTTCTTGGTGAGCAAAAGATCAAAGCGGACATGGAAGACGTTTTCAGACGTCCAAACGACTAACATTAAAATGCAATTCTGGCATTACAGAATAAAACATGTGAACCATGAACATGGCCCCGTATAGTGCCATGCGGTGTTATCCCCCATCCGAGACTCATATTGCCCTCCTAGTGAAATGATTTAATTTCCAGTTGGGTGGAACGACGAGTTTCCCGGAACTACTTAATAGGTTATGGATATAGTATGACCATTTAAGTTTCCCCTACGTTAACAACCCATTGTTGTTGGGGGAAGCTACGGATAAAACAAACGATGAAATGTGCTTTTAAGCTTCTTTCTTCCTTGAATCTTTACAGCTACATTACAAAAGGTAGTCTCATACATAAACCTTTCGTGTCAAATTACTCTTCAGAAATATCATGCTTACTGCGAGTCCTGAAGCATTGGCTGGTAACGTCGTCTTAGTCGTAGCTGGGTGTTGTCTTATCCTGCTAGTCTGTGAGTAAATGTTGATTGAAATGCCTCCCTCATACAACTCCTTTAAGTCACGGGACATGACATTGTTACAATACCAGGAAATGTGGCAATTATTTCCAGCTTAAACAGGAAAAAAACATACAGATTGTTAGAAATAATATGTGCTCGTTATCTGTGCATTAGCAAGTTCAACTGTTGTGTACTAACTCCCTTCGTCCACTGAGACAGTTTCCCACCAGTTTGTTTCCAACACGTCTCAACTCATTCTATACACGGTTAAGAGCAAGCACTAGAAAATTCGCCACCTGTTGTCCATAGATGTCCCGTCCTATTCATGCATTAAACAAAACATACACCCCGACACTAACAGTTTTGCAATTTGTTCCTCATGGAATGAAAAGGGCAAATTTTTACAGATCAGTTATCTGAATAAAATGCTTTTTTACACAGGGGTGTTCATGTTAAAGCGTGCAAGAGCAGCATGCAGGGACGTGGAATCTGGAGGTAAATATACCAATTTCCAGAAGTAGTGAAAGTCCACATCTAATATAAGTCAAGTTCTATTTAATACGCTTTGAATAAAATTGACAAAAGGGTGCCAACATCAGATAATTTTAGATATTTGTCACAATATTCTGAATATTTCGGGAGAGGCATTTGTTAGTTGTAATAGTACTGATGTAGCTGGAGATATTAATATTGCATGAAAATTCCATAACTCCATACTAAAATCTTGTACTTCCTTTATCTGAAGCGTTGAGATCTTTGGCAGTATTCTACTACTTCTTTTGAAAATACGAAATTAGTTTTACACCATGTTATGCCTTCCTGATTTTCGCTAGATGAGACCCAGCCAAATAGCCAAATGAAAGCAACTCTTGAGCAAAAGAGCGTGCTGCGTTTATGTCAGTGGGGTACTAACCAACTTGGACCCCATATCATCCTCGTTATAGGAATGCCAAAATTTAGGGAGACGTTGTAACAAAGAACACAGTTTGCTCTATTCGTGCAAACAAAAACCATGCTAACATTAATATGTACTGAAGATTCATTTATTGTTATGCAGTATTTACAGGTCTAAACAATTATGATCACAATATTGATAACTGTCGGCATTTGTCAGTGGATAGTACACACCAAAAACCATGCTCGTTCATTTTTATGAATTTTATCAAGCCAAACGTATTATTTGATGAGTCCTCAGACTGGTATTATTTTTGAAACTGATTTTGCAAGCGACCATATCGTTGAATTGCTGTGACAAACGTTTCATCTAACAGAGTACTTTTTATTTCGCGAAATTCAACATTACCTGGAACCACTTTTGATCTTTAGAAGTAGTGCTGTTTTGAAGGAAACTAATATTAATAAACTGCAACCATGCAGCATAATTTCAGACGATGTTTGGGACTTTTTTTCAGGATGCCACTTGACTGATCTGAACTTACAGCAGTTGTCGAAACAAATATCCACCGGCTGGTTGGAGCTAGCTTTGCACCTTGGCTTCAAAGCCTGTGATACTGAGGTATATCGGGCAGACAACAAAGATAATGTATGTCAACAGGGCTTCAAAATGTTGGTAGCCTGGCGTAACAAGCAAACTGACTACAAATTAGCTTCTCGGAAATTGAGGAAAGCTTTGAGCGAAGTAGGTCGTCAGGACGTGGTGCGATTTATGGGTAAGATTTACTCGAGGTTTCAGTGCCAGCGGAAAATATAAATTATTATTGTGCTCATTTTTATGTTGTGAAGTCGAATTTCAAACTTTCAATTGAAAATTTACCAAAATGATCCAGATAGGAAATTGTGAAGGACGTGTTTTTGGTTAAAGGGACTCATTTATGTATATTTAAGAAATTAATAGTTTATCCGGTCAAAGACTTGGCTAAGGTTGTTTTTAATATATTTAGTGGAAATACAATTGTGTAATGTTTTGTTCAATATATGTAAATCACACTTCCTATCACCTATTAAACCTCTGCCAATTCTCTTTTAATTACTAAGTCCCCTGTATCTTGCTAAAGTCCACTTGAATATAACCGTTTCCCTTTCAAACTTGTTCCCTTTACGACAGATAGATAGATAGGAAAGTTTTACTATCCTGGTGAATATGAACTTCTAGTGATTGGGAAAAAGAGAAAGGATTTTAGTTTTATATATATCTTGAAGATTAATAATTGTGAAGGTAACCAAGTAAGTTCCAGACTACCTGACCTCGTGTGTATTGTATGTTTATCAATAAATGAACAGAGAAAGTGAGGATGATAATCTGAAAACTATAAATGCTATTGCTACAGTATATTAATGGCTAAAACAGATTGAAATTCGAATGCTCCAAAATTGCCTTTTCCTAATTCAGCCAACAATAGGTGATATTTTTCGTCTTGAAGTATATGGAGCTAAGTCGTATTTTTAGGGTTAAACCTCACGCGGAATTCTGCGTTGGTATGTTTTGCCAAATCAAGTTGCCTCCAACTTTCTGAAAAGATTAAGACATGGTTGTCTTCAGAAACCTTTTTATCCTCGTTTCTGATTTCATTCTGCTGCACTGCTCTTTCAGAAACACTGAGTCAGACGGGACAGGCAGGGAGCAGCAAAAGACCGAAGACTGGACGCGGTGATGCAGCTCAACGTGCTGCAGATAAGTGTGAGGAGGTATTGAGGAATATATACGCGACAACAGGTAGCTATGTACAGATGCTCCCATGGGTCGATGATGATCAAAAACACATTATGGAAATTTACACAAAGTTACAATTAGAAAAGAGCGATGATGATTTGATGGGAGAGGTTACATTGTTCGAGGATATATTACGCATCAAAACAAGAGATGGGCATCCAGTTAAAAGAGCAATTTTGAGAGGAGGTCCGGGGATGGGAAAAACCACTCTTTTTGACAAAGTTGCGTACGATTGGGCGCTCGGTCAAAATGACGCTCTGAAGAAATACAAGCTTGTTTTTGTATTGAAAATGCACTCACTGAAACAGCAATCGGATCTGGTCGACGGACTATTTGATCAGCTATTAGATGAAACGAAAATAAATAAGGCAGATTTGGCATCTTTCATTACATCTCGAGCTAGCAAAATCCTTTTTCTCTTGGATGGCTTTGACGAATTCACCACGGCTGAACGCGAACTAGACGAGAAGGAGTTTGGTTCGCTCCTCAAAATGCTTAATCGAAAGGGGGAGTACAAAGACTGTTGGGCATTTGTAACTACCCGTCCCTCGCGATTTGACAATTTGACCAAGAAATATTTGATTCAGAGGCCTTTCGCTCTCGTGAATGTTTTGGGCTTCGACTGGAACGATATCAGGACATACGTGGACAAATTTTATATCAAAGATCCTTCAAAGACGATTGGTCTTCTTGAGAGAATTGAGTCATCGAATGTACTATCTGATTTGGCTAAGAGCCCAATGTTGCTGTTGTTAATGTGTTTACTGTGGAGAGTGAATTCCAACCTCCCTGACACCATGTCCCACCTGTATGACGAGGCTTTCCATTACATATTCAAGCGAAAGATAGTAGATATGTCGGCAAAACAGATGTCAAGTCATATTGCTGCACTTGGTAAGGTTGCGTTTGATGGTCTCTTTTCGTCAAATCAAAAGCTTTCGTTTGAAGACGACGATTTTGACTCCGACGTGTTTGAAAAAGCTATTCAAGCTGGCATCCTCACCAGCGAACGGGTCCAGAAGGAGAAAAGCCTCCATATTTTCAAAAATGTTTACTTTATCCATAAGACATTTCAGGAGTTCTGTGCTGGCAAATACTATCAAGGTTTGAATGCAGAAGAAGCTGCAAAGAAATGTGAAACATTCGTTCACCAAAACCTTCATCTTGGGGGTTTTGAGTATCTATTGCGCTTTTGCTGTGGTGACAATTGCGGGCCAAACACCCAGTCAATTTTACACATGTTGTTAGAAAGATATGTGGAGAAGGGAAATCTAGGGGATGAAAGATTATGCATAGCTTTGAATTGCTTCTTTGAGAGTAGAAGTGAAAAACTTCCACCCAACAGGTTAATCCAATGTATTTTATCTAATTCTCTCATTTTAAGAGATATCAGAAGTGATGTTCTGACATCTTTCATGTATTTCCTCGACCGCGTGACTGACCCGACAAAAGGCGGGAGCAAAACTTTTCTTCACCGTGTGCTTCAACTGAATACATCAGGCAGTCGCGTTCAGCAATTCGGAGAAGGGTTTGCACATTACGTGAAAGAAATGAGATGTCTTCATGAATTTACTTTTGCTCAAAGTTCCTTCAGTGAAACAGAAGTTGCGAAATGTCTTGATAACAAACTGTTTTTGGCTAAGGTCAACATAAGGGGTAAAGGACATGATGAAGCTGAAGATTATGGTGCCTTCGATATCGACGATGTTTATGGCTTCGATAGCGAAAATGGTAGTGACGTCGATATTGAAGATGATACAAACTTTGATAACTCGGAGATGACATCGCTCGATAGTATCATGGAACCTCTGAGTAGAGTTCCTAACCTCCATGAACTGCATCTGAGCTCGACGTCTTGCGGCTCAGTTAATTTGTGGTCTTCCTTGGCAAAAAACAAACACCTTCAGAGAGTACACCTTGGATACTGCGACTTTGCAGGGAATGACATTCCTCACATTGCCGATGCACTAGGTGAAATGCCTAAACTTCGTGATTTGGATCTGTCAGGCTGTGGATCGCTAGGTGGTTCAGGTGAGGCATGGTCACACTTAGCGAAAATAACGACCGTCCAGAAGGTCAACTTGGCATGCTGCAAATTGACGGGGGATGATATTCCGCACATTGCCAAGGCACTGTATCATATGCCAAACCTGATTCACCTAGATATATCGGGCAACAACACCCTCCATCACTCAGGACAGGCATTGACTAACTTGGCTAAACTTAATCACGTCCAGGTAGTAAATGCTGGAAGCTGCAACTTGACAGAGGGTGACATTCCTCATTTTGCCGTTGCTCTGGGAAACATGACAAATCTTGTTGAATTGGATCTGTCTGGCAATAGGATACTAGGTGACTCAGGTGTTGCATGGTACCACTTGGCAAAAATGAAACACATCCAGAAAGTGTATTTGGGGAGCTGCAACTTGACTGCGGATGACATTCCACATATTGCCAACGCACTGACTGACATGCCAACATGTTGCGAATTGGATCTGTCATTCAATGGGAACCTTGCTGGTTCAGGAAAGGCATGGTCCTCCTTGGCCGAAATCAAATACATACAGAGATTAAGTGTGGGGAGCTGCAACCTGACGGGGGATGACATCCCGCATATTGCCAGTGCACTGAGGAAGTTGCCACAACTTGTTGAACTGGATCTGTCAGGCAATGAGATTCTTGGTGGCTGTGGTGCTGCATGGTCTCACTTGGAAGAAATCAAGCGTATCCAGACAGTGCACCTATCGAACTGCAACTTGACGTCGAATGACATTCCACATATTGCTAAGGCACTCCTCGAAATGCCGAAACTTGTAGAATTAGATCTGTCTGGCAATGGGACTCTAAGTGGGTCAGGTAGTGCGTGGTGTCACTTGGCAAAAATAAGACATATCCATAGAGTTGATTTGGGGAACTGCGGTTTTACGGAAGATGACATTCTGTATATAACCGACGCACTGAGTGAAATGCCAAAACTCACTGAATTGGATCTGTCCACTAGTGGGTCTGTCATTGGCTCAAGTGAAGCTTGGTCCCACCTGGCAAAAATAAAACACACACAAAAAGTGTTCCTACGGGAATGCAGCTTGACAGAGGATGCCATTCTGCATATTGCAGGTGCTCTGAGTAAAATACCGACGATAAGTGAATTGGATCTTTCCAAAAATGAGACCCTGGTTGGCTCAGGTGGCGCTTGGTGCCACTTAGCAAAAATAAAACACACCAGGACAGTACGTTTGGAGGGATGCAACTTGATGGAGGATGACATCCCACACATTGCAAATGCCCTGAGTGATATGCCTAAACTTGAAGAACTGGATCTTTCTGGCAACGAGACCCTTGGTGGCTCAGGTGAGACGTGGTCTCACATGGCAAAGATCAAGCATATCCAGAGATTGAAGTTAGTGAGCTGCAACTTGACGGGACGTGACATTCCCCATATTGCTGACGCACTGAGTGATATGCAGGAACTTGTTGAACTGAATATGTCGGGCAATGGGACTTTGCTTGGCTCAGGTGGTGCGTGGTCTTCCTTGGCAAAATTGAAACACATAGACAAAATATGTTTGGAGGAATGTAGCTTGATTGAGGATGACATTCTGCACATTGCCGACGCACTGAGTAATATCCCGACAATAAGTGAACTGGATCTGTCTAGTAACGAGACCCTCGGTAGCTCAGGTGAGTCATGGTCTCACTTGGCAAAAATCAAACAAATCCAGAAAATAGATTTATGGAGCTGCAACCTGAAGGGGGATGACGTTGCACATATTGCAAGTGCGCTAAGTAAAATGCCAAATCTCACTGAACTTGATCTGTCCGGTAATGTGAGCCTTCGTGGCTCTTGTGGCGCATGGTCTGAACTGGCCACAGTAAAACACATCAAGAAGGTGAACTTGAGAGAGTGTAACCTGACGGGGGATGACATGCCGCATATTGCAGATGCACTAAGTAATCTGTCAGATCTTGTTACATTGGATCTATCTGGAAACCCAGCGCTCAGTAGCTCAAGTGAAGGATGGTCTTACTTTGCGAAGATTAACCGTATACAGAAAGTATGTTTACAGAAATGTAACTTGACGGGGGATGACATTCCACGTATTGCCGACGCACTAAAGAATGTCCCGGCACTTGAAGAATTGGACCTTTCGTACAATGTCTCCCTCAGTGGCATAGGCGAGAAATCGTCACACTTGTTGAAACTTGGCCACATTCAGAAAGTTAATCTTGGGAGCTGCAATCTGACAAGGAATGACATTCCGCAGGTTGCAGATACACTGGGTAAAATGCAGAGACTTGTTGAATTGGACCTGTCAGGCAACGAAACTCTTGGTGGCTCGGGTGATACGTGGTTTCACTTGGCCAAAATTGGGCACCTGCAGAACTTAGATTTGGGGAGCTGCAACTTGACGGGGGGAGACATTCCACATATTACCAATGCACTAAACAAAATGCCAAAACTTGTTGAATTGGATTTATCTGCCAATGAAACTCTTGTCGTCTCCGAAAGTTTTTGGTCTAACCTGGCAAATATAAAACTGACCCAGCAACTCAAATTGAAGAACTGCAGATTAACGGGGCACGACATCAGGCAAATGGCTGAGGCACTGAAAGTATCAGCAACCTCGTTGAATTGGATCTGTCAGGGAATACGACTCTTTCTGGCTCAAATGAATCATTGCTTTCCTTGTTGGAGATCAAAAATCTTCAAAGGCTTTCTTTGAAAGGATGCCTTCTGACGGATGACGACAGAGCGAGACTTACTGCAGCTAAGAGTCTAAATTTGGAATTAGGGTTTTAACTTTCTCAGTAATAGCTTGAAGGCACATTGCGTTAACCACACACCTGTAAGAAAATGTTTCCGGGGAAATTTTTGCACACCAATTCCACCAAAGCTGAAAGGATTAGTGTGTAAGTAATATGCATAACTCTTCTATTTGAAACGCACGCCTGTAACGCTTGTTGACAAACAGTGAGTGATTGCGTCATCAGCCAATTCATCATCAATTTACATGAGAACCCCGTCAACGGCGTCAAGTAGAGAGGCGGGTCTAAAAAAAAAGTGATACAAGGTATGGGGCGGAGTGAACCCTCCCCTGCCTTTGTGTTGGTCATTGTTTGATCCAAATCTCAGGAATTCCTTACAGACTTCTGGGGGGATGTTGTAGGTAACTATGGTCTGGAGTGTGTATTGGGATAGGACTTGAGTGGGGTACCCATCGGCTCCGTATCGTGCACAGTATCAAAAAGAAGGGGAAAAAGTTCGCACGTCAAGGTCTCACGTGAATTGATTTTATTCACTATTTTGTGCTTCTCAATCAACTTTGTGACGGGAGGAAGTGTGCAGTGTGCGGTATGCTGTCCAAAAGGATGATAATTTGCGCGGTTAAATTAATTGCTTCTTTTCCTCGTGCACCAAGCCTATAGAAGGAAAGACTTCCGCCAGTTGCATGACACATCTACGTTTGAATCTAGCTATACCTGTTTGTTAATCCTCACATTATAATATTTTCCTCTCACAAAACATAAACAAAAATAACTGCAGCAAGCACACTTAATATTTATGATTAGCTAAAGCATCCATAATACCTTTATTTGTATATTTTCAGTCATGTCTAGTGAAATGTTGAATGTCACAGGTGTGCCTCAGTTACATTTTTCCCTTACAATACCAAAGAATTTATAGAACGGGTTTTGCCCTTACCCAACGTATACATTAAAAAATACATCTTGAAAAACAAATAATACATATCGAAAAAACCAAAGAAGGTAGACGTTTTACACGAAAGTGCTTAAAAAATTGCTCGAATGCCATTATTCTTAAAAGTTTTGGCTTTTTAATGGAGCTAACTCGTATAGTTACTTTCCAATTATGCCAATACGGATTTCATTCACCAAACAGCCAAGGATGCTTAAAGACAATGATATTCACATGTTTGGCATTATGTTAGGGGGAAGAGTTTCCAACAGTTCGCTTGTTATCACATATTTGTTTTTGAATAGGATCTTGATTCCGGAGGCTTGGTTTCCACTGAGATTCTTGATTTGCTTATGGCTTGGTGCATTTTGTGGGAAGTAAATTAGCTTCGGCAATAATACTGTAATAGCTAGTGAAGAATTGTCAGGAATTGGATACAGACTCAGATGATTGACAAACCTATAAATGAAGGAGAAATTAGCATTGCAATACAATTGCATCCGCATCCAACATTATGATTTACAACGTGCCGAGTCGATCGCAAAGGTAGAAAGCAAATATAATTAAAACGTATCCTTTAAAAACACTGTTCCAAATCCTGCTGTGATACTTAGATGACTATTTAAAACAGAGTTTTTATAACCCTATTGAATTATCTAAATTACTGTAATGATATACTATTGCCTCCTGAGGATTATTTCATACTTCGTATTGCTGCTTATGTAAAAATGTGTATATTTATAGTGACTGTAATTGTAAGTTATTGCATTGTGTCTTTTATCATGAAAAAGGTCTCTGAGAACTCTCATAATATAATTTTGTTCGGAAAGGTTATAGGAATCGGCTGACATTTATAATTATGTGTTGATATTTCACGTGTGGAAATAGATAATTCCAATCCAGTGTGACTTTTGAAGTTAAGGGCTTTGACTGAAGGCAATAGGCCCGAACAAGATGAAAAGAGTGCTAGTAATGTCTTACTATATAATACATCGTTTCTCTTGTGGATGTGACAAAAAGATCAACCAACACCTATTATAAGTTACAAGCTATGCCATATCATAAAAATTAAATGCTTGCACAAAATTTTGTAAACATTTATAAGATATCACTTCAAGATAAATGCAAAACGAACAACTGCTTTTGTTGAATGAAAGATTAGAATTTACCACTTTAATTTGTTAACATAGGTTTTGTTATCTTAACTAGCGCAGGAAGGTGTACTTCAATATGGCGGGTTATCCTCAAAGATTTGAATTAATTTATTATAAGATTGAACGCAGAGCTGGTAGATATAGAGTTTTACTAGAGTAGGTAAATAGGGCAGTTGGATGAAAACCGCCCACTTTTAACACGCACTCTTCATCGGCGTTGTCGTTAATATAAAGCACAAGCGCCTGACTTCCAGCAGACCTTTGGTTAACCCAATCGTGGCGTTGCATTGTCGGTCGACTGTCAGGCACTGAAAGGGGTTTTGCATATCTGTTGCATTTTTTCTGTAGGGTCAATACCGCAATGAGTAACGTTGACAATTACTTAAGATACAGAAATATGTGCCTTGATTGACTTGGGTAAACCCAATTACATATTTCAGACAAACAGACGAACTTAATACATGCATTCACATTGGTTCAGCCTATGAAAAGGGCAGCGCCTGAAACGAATTCGCTCTGGTGTCTTTTCAAGCGCCTTCAGGTGTCGATCTTTCGCATGCTAGCACGCCTCGTCGCTCCTTATAGATCTATTGCACCCGCTACGTCTCGTAACCTACAGCGGGTATTAAACAACAAATTACGTCGTCCACCCAAAGCAAAGTGTTAAATAAGTATCATTTACCAAAATAAAGCTGGCAGTAGGTATTCTGACTACTGATGTGCTGTGTACTATACCGTAACTCGGCTGCATTGTTTGTACGCAACACTCAAACTACACATTGCTATGGGCTTGATATTTGGGTAAAATTGTGAGGGCTGAATATTGATAGGTATTCGGACTGTTTTTATTCAATTGTTTGTTTAATAACTTTGTATTTGGTTGCACCATAACTGCATGTTTTCGGAATATTTCGTATAAAATATGCATTGATTTACCATAAAACTGATTAGCCTCATCGATCACTGACTATGTTTGCCTTAGCTAGTGTCTCTGTTAATTTGTTTTAGAATGTATATAATCTTTAAAAACCTTGATTTGAAAATAAAAAATATATATATATACATTGTTGGAATCACAACCTTGGGTATCTTTAAAGAGGTGTGTTTGCTTATTTCCGAGGAAAAGCCTAATTTGAAAATCCCCATATATTCAAACTTTATTTTGAGCAGCGTTGGAAACAGTCGAACAGATACACTGAGTTTGGTTTGGTTAACTTTGAGAAGGCTAAGTTCAGTAACCTGTGTTTTGTAAAACTTATAAAATCTTAATGAGTCAACGATAAATTGATCTTTCCAGTGTGGTTACTTAAATGACGGATAAAATCTGTTTGCTAAAAAATATTTTTCGCCGACAAAAAAATAAATTACATATTCCCAGTTCTTCCTGAATACATTCAATGGAAGCCCTCTCAGGAAGGGCTGTAATTGCATTTCTTTGGGGGAAAAGGTCCTTTTGGGGGTGTGGCCCGTATTGGCGTGGGGGGCACTTTCCACCTTGGACCATAAATTACATGTTTACGCTTTTACGGCAACACAAGCCAACGGATGGCAAACGGCACCACGGGATGCGTGTTTGGTCATTCTGTTTTTTTTCCTCACCCAGCTTGTGCCAGACACCGCTCTCAGCTTAGTGTTGCCAAGCTCGGCGGGCCCAATAACAACAAGGTCAGATGGCAATAAACTTTCTGTTGTGGCGTCAGCAATACAGTTCCAGACACACTGATGATCCCAAACAGTATCTCTCTGGTCTAAATTCACTGGCCTGATTCACTAGTACAATAGGGAGAGGGTATTTTCTTCACAACCATGTGCATTGGGGATTGTGTATGTAAACACAATCTTAGATATTGGACAGGGGATGTTTCAGGCTGGCTTCATTGACTGCCTGGGTGATACCTAGATTGAGCCCCCCGTCCAAAAGTAGCAGCACGAGGATTTAGGATAAGTCACGGGGGCTTGGTTGGGTCATGTGCAGCATTTGGAAAAACAATCAGATAACGTGATTTGTGACCAAAGGCTGTCCCGCCTCTAATACTTAAGTATGGGATCATTAACTACAAGTAGATTTGAACCTCTTTGGCCACAACGTTTTGAATTGGGTGAAATATTGAAGTAGGTGCCTCGTCGGAAAGCGTCATTTTTGGGAGATCATAATCACATCAAACCAACAAATGACATGAAACCCTAATTTGTTAACAAAGGTCTGATTATAGGATTTGTTGCCGTACACGCGCAAATCAGTTTAAGCGGCTAACTTTTGCTCTGGACTAAATTCTCACGGGAGTGAAATTAATAGAAATTCCTGTTTTTTATTTTTATTGTTTCTCTGGTTGTAAGAGAGCGTTCAATAATGAATTTTACATCCCAGAAGGAAAGCAGAACAAATATTATTTTTATTCAAACACATACGAAGTTCAACAAGAGGATACACCTTCCCCAGAGGCTTTTAATGTAAATATAGTCCTCCTGACAATGATGACGAAACAATTTGCAAAATTCCTTATCTTTCGGGTTGGGATGGGGTGGAAAGAATTTGAAGATGGTATTGAATAGCACCCTCAACGACAAACCACGCGTGAACTCAGTGTCAGAGGGGGAATTGAGTACTTCGTGTCGTTAATCAATAGATGATTTGGAATTTGGTGTCGGTAAACTTAATTTTGGTAACCAGGAGACCTATTTCAACCATGACCTGCCCTGTCCTATGACTTTGTAAGTTTTGGTGGTGGACCAAAGTTCTTGTGTATTCTGCACTGACCAGTAACCCGATCAGACTACCCACCACTAATTATAAGTGAGGCACGTGAAGCAAAATAGCCATGCTCTAACTCTGATGCTAATATATTATTGTATAATGCAATGCAGTAGTCAGAGTTATAAGTGAGGCTTTTTCGAGCTTTCTGCTTGCAAATTTTCGTAACGCTGACTAGCCTGACTTATACGTTTGCCTGCTGTATTGCTTCATATGAAAATATAATAGCATCACATTTCTTGCAGGGTATTTTGCTGCACAGACCTCACTTATAACTGGCGGTGGGGAGTCAGATTGGATGCACCAGTAGTATAATAAACGTAGCGAATGTTTACGGCAAGAGAGCCCTATTGGGTATTTGGTTTTAAATGGTGGGCCAGCCAAATCAATAATAATAACATCCCAAACGCCATGGTCAACGCCGTACTTTTTTCCCTTTTTTGTGAAGGATGGTGACTTTTTAGATGGTGTCTCTTCAAATAGATTTTCTTTTCGGTTTTGGAAACACTGTAGGTCTCTCAATTGAGACTTTCAATTTAATAGCGTCCTTAGCATCAATCCTTACATACTTGTCTGCATAAAGGTCACTGTATCAACCTGTTTTAATCGATTATAGAAGAAACCGCGAAACACACAGTGGAAAGTCGATTTTTCTTTTTGTTTAACTTTTTCCACCATCGGTAAAGGAGTCATCATTCATTTATTTAGAGACGTTACCGGTACAGGTATTTTGCAGTACTGTCTTGCAGGGGTAACACCATTGTAAGGAAGTTTGATTTTTTAACTGTTATTATAGAGAACAAGGCATTTCTTTTTTACATGAAGCAGGGAGGATTCTACGTTCAGACCACAAATAAAGGCGTAAGTTCACTCCATCACTTAAACCAAGATCATGTTTAGCAAATGTCCATACGCAAAAAAAGCCAAGGGTTCTGCCTATACCTACATACGTTTATTTTTGTTCTTTTGCCAATGTCCAATTCACTTTCTACGTGCTTGTTCTGCAAGTGTCTGCTTATGGTTCAGTGAGAGTCTATTGCCGATGTACGGAGTTGTTGTAGTAAGTTGCAAGTAACATCTTCAGAATACATCAGCCTCCCCCCTTGGCTCCTCCCACTTTCTGGAGCTATTAAAACTAATTTAGTTTGAAATTAATTTAAATTTTTACAGCCCTTTTTATATTGGCGAACACAGTAGTCACCCTTTGCGTAACTCTATCCTTTGAGATCCAGGAGGCTATTACTGGGCCAGTCCCTCCGGAGGTTGATGATTCTGGGTCTCATATATGTCCAATGTAATGTCAAGGACCTCCTACAAAGCCTGGAATACCTGGCTGCTAGAAGCCTGGACAAATGGTTATGGTCCTGCACGTTCAGAGGGCGAAGCTGGTTTCAAGGGTCAAAAAGGTTAGATCGGTCCTTTTGGTGCTGTGGGTGAGTAGGGAGCCCCTGGGAACCTGGAGCCAAAACAGGGCTTTGGAATGGGCCTGCCGGATGATGCAGGTCCAAGAGGACCAACATATTAAGTTGGTACTACCCGGGAAGTGGGGATCAAAGGTCAAAAGGGCGAGTCAGGAAGAGTCACCATTACTCTGCCTTTTGGTAGCATTCACAGCGACGCGGATGAGCATATTGGATATCCGTATCAGTCACAACACCCGTTACCTATTCGAGCAGGCCGAGACGCTCTTGCCTTGTACCAAATTCGATTTGATCGACAACTGGTGAGTTCACAGGTAATATGTCTGGCACCGACGAGTTCATGTTTTCAGCGCGCCAGTAGACTTCAAGTAACAGCCTCTACGTTCAAGTCAACAAAAACAACAAGAAGATTGTCTCTCTTCGTAGCACTTACATATTAGTCATTCTGGGCAGGTATCTGGCAGTGTGGTGCTAATTATCCAGTGAAGGGACTTTGTGTTTAGGCCATGTACGGTTTTAGGTATAGTCATCGAAGCCTTCAACTTCGGTGTCTTTCTCCTGTACCCCATATAGGTAAACGGCGATGATATGTTGCAGCAAAGCGATTGGGATGAACTCAAAATGGCAACGATATTGAACAAAAGAAAGTGCACACCTCATTTGGAGCTCATTATATTTATTTCATTATTCATATTCTTTATCTACTTTCCAGAAGATCCAACGTGTCTCTTAAATAACACCTGACAATTTCTTGCTCTCTTGCTGTTAACAGGCAGACCAAAAAAATATTTGTAAACTTAAACAGCCATGGAGGCATAACTTAAAGTTATACTTTGTTCCTAGCGTACTGACTTCAGGCTAATGTTGCTCATTTTCCACAACAAACTGACTGAGGATATTATGATGAAAATACACGACTTGAGTTTGAAATGTGTGTTATATTCCTGTTTTGATGCTATTGTAGCAAAGGAGACAGCGACAGGAGTGCAAGACATTAAACTTTTAACGGCTGTTAGACTAGGGTAAACTTAGAGGCTGCCATTGGCAGTTGTGATACCAGCTTACCAGTGAGCAGAACAAACTATGACTGGCAGTCTTTTCAAAATAAATAGTGATAACAATGGTAATATGTCAACAAAGCATAATAAATGCTGTTAAACCTCAAATAAAAATGTCTAACCCACTGACCTCAGTCAGTGACGTAACAACCAGGGCAGGTGTCAAAGCGGATGCCTGTGCCCACCACCCGTCTCCCCTATTAGAAATCTGTGATTTTTTCCAACTTTTCACTTTTCACTCTATGCATTTTAGGAAAAAAAATTGCCAGAGGTGAAATATTAATTACTTTTACAATTCATACATAATGGGAGGCATTGTTTTGAACAAGGTCATTTAGCTTGAAAGTTTCGTTGTATAACAACCACTGACGTGCATTTGTTACAGGGTAGTTAATGTATACGTAATTTCTTTTCATTTGATAAGTCGACTCTCCATAGAGTCGCTGCAAGACTACTTTCTATAAAGAAACTAAACACCCCTTTTTTGTAACCTCACAGGGAAAGTTTTGCTGGAATTTATATCGACATAAATGTTACGGGGTGCTCCAGATGCTGTTTACTGTGAAGAAAATCATTTAATTTTTGAAATAAAAGTGCGAAATACTCAGCTTAACGCTAGCCTGAGTCAAACGTATTCTTCCAAAAGATTTTGATTTGTGCAATTATTGTGGAAATACTTGAACTATAGCAAAGATGTGTTAGTCACACTTTAATAGACTTGAGAAGCAAAACATGCAGGTTAGTGTAATCTAATTTTGATGTAATAATTACGATCGAAGTGCTTTCTTTAAGAGTTGGTTAGTTAGGTCAACTTCTTTACAAGTCAATGCATCCCAGACGAACATTTGCTAGAGTCTTCAAAGGGATACGAACTTTGAGATTAACGCATGTATGGAAGCCGTTTTTCCATTGGACGTCATTAAGGTCCAGGCACATTTGAGCCACTTTCACTTTAGGGACGCCTACGCAAATGGAGGTATTGTCACGGACTGCAATTTAAAGACAAATTAATCTAGTTTAGCCAGAAATTGGTAAGCACGGTCGTCACGTTTGTTTTAAGAACTGGACGAATTCTAGCTATTTATGTCAGTACCAAAAATCAGCTATTAGAATAGCGAAGCAAGTTTGAAAAACAATCCAAATACATTTTTTTTTACACCCGGGAAATATATATTTGAATTTTTGGCAGTGATTGCCATGACTGTAAGAATGACAAACTGCACCTCCCAGACAAATTGTATTGTAAATTTTATTTAAGAAAGATAAAAATCCTGAAACGGTAAAATTCTACCTTCAGTAACCCCGGGTTGAACCGGTTGTGTGTTTGTTGACAGGACAAGCTAGAGTAATGACATCCCTGACATTTAATTGTAAACTTTGATTTATCGAAACAAATCCAGCACAATGCACAATCCAAGCTTTATCCAAGTCTTACCTGACACCTTTTTGTTGTAAACTGTCATACCAGCGGCGGTTATGTGGAGGTGAATACCTAATTCCTCTTTAAGAACCTTGATGACAGCGCACGCTTGAATGAAATTGAAGATAAAAAAAAACCTCTTCACAAAGTGAACCGCAAAACAGGACATGAGAAACCCAAGGGGGAAAGCTTTATTCAAAATGGAAAGGGTATAAAAGAGACTACACTTTGACTATAGCTACTAGGCAATACGCTCTTACTACTTATATGTAATAGGTAAACGTATGGGCTTTTCTTATAAAACTAACAACCGTTACAAAATATCTGTAACACAAAAGGAAGCAAATATTAAAAAACATGTCCCTTTCAGTCAGCTGATTTTACAATCCAGACGTTTCCGCTAAGGTTATCAATTTCCATAGTATTTCAGGTAATCAGGGCTAAAGCATGACCAATATAACGAGAAATACGCATCAACCGTTTGACCAATCGAGATAAAGTATCACGACAAACGAAATATGGTCCCAATGACGCGATTGACATTAGAACTGATGGTAAGAAATTAGATTTGGCTCACCAAAAGGGGGAAAGTGCACCAATATCCATGTAATATCCAAGGGGATTTTAAGGTCTAAGACGGTTTACGTAGTACGGCAAAGAATGGTTTTCAAATGTTCTTAAATCGTTAGCTCAATATTCTCGAAGTTACCTCGGTAAACTGAGTAGAATATTCAAAGCAATCCTTACCACTGAGAGCGTGGTGGCTTCCCAGGGCGCTGAAAGACAATTTGGCGCAGCACTCAGCTGAGAGTGCGGCTTTAGATAGCGTGCATTTACCTGTAACTCCTTCACCCGTGACTTCTGAAACACTTACTAGAAATCATAAAAAGGAGAATATTCGTGAAAGTTGCTTTCAAATATGTAATTTGGGAATGGGAACTTAAAGATAAAAAATGCCGGGGAGTTTGTAATATACGTCTGTTGGAACCCAATGCAATTTTCCTTGCAGGGCCAGGTCATGAACACAAGAGGGCGATAGGTTGCCCAGCATGAATAGGAGCATTGCACCACAAGTTTAGGTTAACTGTAGAAACTCTCATGAATATTCTGTCTTTAATATTTCAGGAAAAAACGCAAAAACGTTAAAGGTCTTCTTTATCAATATGGAAATGTTCAACCCCTTATTCGGGTTTACACACCTCTGCTTCTGAACCTGCACTCTTGAATTTTTTTGAATCAAACCTAACCAAGATTAATTCTAATAACGATGTTTATATAAGTAGTCAGCCAATCCTTTGTGAAAAGTATTATAATTTACAGTGTAAGACACAATGGTACAAGTCTTTCGTTCGATCGGGATGGTTGAAAAAGAGGTTGGTTCAGCTGGAAAAAAGTTTACCGGCGACTATTGTTGGTTGAGACTGCACTTAAATCACACTTAGTTGGCAAAGTTCAAAGTGCAGTGGGTACAGGGCGACAAGCGAGTGTACGCAGAACTTTGTGTATTTGGGGAGTGACAGAAACCAGCTTCTGTAGATGGTAGAGTATCAAATCATTTACGAGGTGAAAGGTAAGTAGGTTAAAATAACTTCACCAAACTGAGAGTCGATAAGGAGAAACTGGGCGATTTCTTGTGGGGTCATCTCAGCCAACTCCTCACTCAACAGTTCCAACAGCTGTTCATCCTTAGACGGCAGGACCTCGAGATCGGACTCCTGATTCACAAAAAGTGCACATGGTCAGTGGCGTAAATTTGAGCTGGGAACGGGGGGACGGAGGATTAGGGATGAGAGATTGTGAGGTGATGGCTTGCTCAGCAATGAAAATCTGAATCGTTTGTGAGGTACTGACACAAACCACTGAAAACTGATCATCACTATATACAGCTTTAACTCCTGCAGATGTTTACATCAACACGGCATTTAAGGCATTTTGTTCAATGTTTTGAGGGGAATTGAATGCATTTTGGTTCTCAAAATTCCCCCCAAAAGATGTTTACATTCGGCTGTAAACTTTATTTCAGCACAAGAAAACACCGGTGTTTTTTATGGGTGATTTTAAGATAAATTCGCTACACTAAGGCACAGAAAACATTTCAATATTTTGCAAACACTCTGTAAGCGCTCTTTTCTCATCCAGTCATTGACAAATTTACCAGTGCCACAGGTGAAAGTTCTAACTGGACAGATAAGATAAGTGTTTCCTCATGGTATCCATATGACTGATACAAGTGAGCATTTACCTGTCCTTATAACCATAGACAAAGTACGATTACAAATGGGAAAACTCCCAAAAGTTTTAAGCTCAACGTATTGGCAAGAATTACTTGCGCCAGATAAGGTTGATGAGGCCTATGAGAATTTCTTAAATTGTCTGCTCTATCTTTATGTTAACGGTTTTCCTGAGCTCCAAAGTCGAGTTATATCAATATCACCATGAATATCGGAAGGGATATCATTCAATCGGAGAAAATAATTCATAATAAATCTGGTTATATACAGCTTTAAGACAAGTTACCACCTGTAATAACCATGGCAAAGGAAATAAAGTAAAATATGTTAAAGGACGCTTTTCAATTCTTTGCTTGGTGAACGAATGTCAATCAAATTCCCTCCTATTTTAAGCAGAATGATGCTATAATTTATTCCGACATAAATATTTCTGACGCCTCAATGATTAATTTATTAATTTTAGCCATCGAAGCAACTAATTTTAACTCCTTCTTTGTAAAAAAAAGTCCAGCAATTCGCTGCTTTGGTCACTGGCCAAAACAGTTTGTTTTCGTTATTTTCTTTTTCTTTAAAAATTTCTCTTTTTTCTACTTTTTCAAATTCTTGTTATTGATATAACACGGGGTCGGTCCTTGGTTTGGGTTGATTTCCTTCAAACCTAGCACATTGTTAGACTACTATCTAAAAATGTATGCTAAATCATGACGTCATCAAGACATCATCGCCTGATTTATTATAGAATTTTGAACATTTAATTTTTCATACGTTTTCAAGGCAACATGTTGGTTTTTCAGCAATTTTCAAATGTCTTGAAGTTACACGAAGCAAATGTCTTGAAGCAAATGTAACACTATAATAATTACGTCATGATGACTTCAGTAAGTGATTTCTTATTAGATTTTTAAAACTTAAATATTATCGTATATTTCTCACCTCCATATAAAAATTAACCGTGGCCTCCCTCAACATTCTGTTTGCGGCAAGTTGCAAAGTAAAATTTGGTCTTCAGTTCATCTCGTGTGGATCAAATCACGTGACCCTTCCAGTCGAAGCCAGAAGTGGGCTTATTATTTAAAAGTGGTAATAGCTATAAAATTGTTAGTTGGTGGGGAGTAAAGTATTCTTCAAATCATGTGCCGATGATGTCACGTAATTGGCAAGCGCCTTCTAGCGAAAGGTTATAAATTGTGAAAAATGAATTTTGAATAGATGTCTGTAGGGAGGTTTGTCCAAATCACCTGAAAATTGATGTGGATGCTGATCTTCATCAAATTAAGACATGTGTAGAATTCAGGGTCGATGACGTCATCGGGCCAGAAGTTATAACGCAACAACCTTTAAATCGTTAAACATCGAAAAATTCAATCCCAAACGCTTAAGTCTACTGTTGTCCATCGAAAGATAAAGTAAATATCTGTATCCATAGTCTAAAGCGTTTGGCTTGTCGCATTGTTCATACAAGCTGTGCGCGGCTGTTGAAAAATTGACACCTGCTGAAAATGCCAGCAACTCGACCCATAGGCTAAGAGCCGTAGTGGTAAGAGCCATTTGTTACGTACATGTGAAGCGTGTGACGGAGGCCCGCCATTTGGGAGGATCTGGCAAAATTCCAAATACGTGGCTGGGAAGACATGTGAGCGTATTATTGTCACGCTCTACTGTAGCAAGGAGGGCAGTGGTCCAAGAGCTGTTCGATTCCTGTCCGTTCCAACTTTCTTTTTTTTTTATCAATGTGTCTACCGACAACCACAACGTCCGTTTCGTTTAGTTTTTGTTCCTATTACCAAAGCAGATGTAGCTCAGGTTACGATGGTGTAAGTACTCGTGTAATTAGGAAATCTGGTTAACCTGCCATAAATGAACCTTCGTTTGTCACTAAATTCTCTCCAAGGGTTAAAATAATATTGGAAAACACTAACTATTATCGGTAGGTAGTATCATCAAAAATGACATAAGTAGTTACTGACCCATAACCATGTTTTCTATTTTCTGGAAGAAATTTGAAAAATAAAAACGAGCATGGTCTATTATCAGAATGTCGTTTTGGATTTCAAGAAAATGGTTCTACAGGGTCAGCAATTATTAGTGTCTCATTTTACAAATTATAACAGACAGTTATCCTTGACGTATGTCTGTACCTGTATCAGGCGTTTGATGCTGCAAATCAAGCTATTTTTATTCACAAATGGAACACTGTTGCATATGTGGAATCGCCTGAGACATGTTCAGGAGTTATTTGTCAAACGGGAAGAAGTTTACTTCGGTTAACTCCGCTATTTCAACACATCGGACTGTTGCCTAGAGTGTTCCACAGGACTCTGTATTTGGTGTTCTATTGTTTATCACATATATTATACGTTTTCAATAAAATTTCGTATCGCCTTTTTTTACGAGTCTGTTACATAAGCATCATAATGTTGATACAGCCATTAGTGATCTAAATACAGAACTTGTAAGGGAAATTAATGGCTTTTGTCTAAAAGACCTCTCAGTTAATTTACTCAAGATAAATTACATGATTCTTAGCTCAAGACAAAATAATTCAACATATTTTTTTCTCAGTTGGCGTAGTACTCCTCAGAACCAGGTCGGAAATCCTGGGCGTTTAATTGGATCACAATCTCTCTTGGAGTAAACATATTAACGTGTCGTTAACTAAAATCTCCGAAATCGTTGGCGTTATGAGTAAACAAAAATATTCGGCTGAAAATTTTACTTTTACCTTTATATAAACAACACTTATTCTGTCATACCTAAATTATACCATTCTTTCCTGAGGTAGGTCAAACTCTCAACGCAACAAGCTGTTTACTTTGCAGAAGAAAGTTGTCCGAATAGTATATTATACTACGTAACTCAAACAACTCCATTATTTGTGGAGTAAGGAAAACTCATTATAAACTACATTTTTAAAATTTGAACTTAGGTAAATTTATATGTGTATACAAACATGGTCTTTTACTGCGCGATTTCGATGACTGTGTTATAATCGTCTCCTGGTTACATTTGTATGCAACTAGAAGTGACCTTGAAGACTATAGCGTTAATTATAACCGTATTCCTGTTTCATACGATTGTATTTCAAGATTTGTGTCCTTTTGGACCAACCTTAGTATGGAAATGGCAGGTATCTCAACCCTAAATTGATTACTTAGAAACCAAAAGCTAACACGTCCGTTTGTATATTAAAACTTCATGTAATCACGTAAGGCTACTTTAATGCTTTAAATGGTCTGGTTTCAACTGATGGCATATCCTTTGCCTTTCCTTGCAGCGTATCATAGTGTATAACCCCATACATTCTACCTAAGGTTTCTGGTCTGGTCTGAATTACTGTTGGTGTAATGGGGACACCTAAAACCATACTGTTTTCCCCCTTAATGTTGGTAATAAACCTACCTATGTCTATGTACAATTTCCCCCTTAATGTTGGTAATAATGTTGGTAATAAACCTACCTATGCCTATGTACAATTACCAAATTTCATAATACGCCAGTTTTCATTAACTGTTGCAACAAATTTCTTTTGCATGAAGGCAGTTCACACATTTGGGATATCTTTCGTTGCCAACATGAAATCTCATAGTGGGGGGTATTTTGCATGGTTAAAATTCCTTAGTACCGTTTTATTGCAGTTGTCTGCACATATTTAAAGCACTAACAATTCTTCCAACTGTTGCCTCGTCTGGCTTATGAATCTTCTGACCCCGCTTTACATTGAAAACAAGGAATAACGTGTATGGGGAGAAAACTTGTAGCTGACTGAGCAAGCATTCATTGAAGTGACACAGACTAGGCGAAGAAAACGGTAAACATTTTCTCAAAAAAAAAATTGGGCTCTTGACTTTGCCCCCCCCCCAAAATTGAATTCGACGCTCATTTGAAAACGACGCATAACCTGGCGTTATTGTTCGCAGTAACACTCACCCGAGTTTCTTTTGCATCGCACATCAACTTCATTCATCATTTAAAGCATTACAATACCTTGATTTGGGTTTCAGTTTAACGTATTCATTGCCAATTGTAACAAATGTGAAATCTTACAAGGTGAAACTTTGTCTTTTACCGTTTATCCTTCGGTATTTTGTATTCCTATTCATTTGCTGTGATGCAAAGTGGAACAATCAGCATTCAATTTAAGTTAAATACACAGGTTTACACACAGTAACTCATTCTACATACGTACTGCGGATATTCTTTTCTTTTCGTGCAGTTAAGAAAACTCAGTGAAAATACTCAATTTTCTTGAACTGGGGACACAATTTTCAGCTGGCCTTTTGTGCAAGGTTTCCTTGAGTAATCTTCTTCCTTCCCCGAAATGCCTCTGAACTTCGTTTTCAGAGAAGGGGAAACGTCCTGTGGATGTGTGCAAGTCTACAGAACGCCTTCCTTTCCTGCATCTTGTGGACATCTTTTGTTCACAAGTCCGCACTAGGTATGTAGGTTTAGCGCAAATCATGACCCAACTTTGATAACGAATGCAGCAGGACATGATTAAACAGTTGTCATAGGCCTGCACACGAATCAATATGATAGTGTAGGGGTAATTAAATTGTTCAATGAAAATCTACCAAAATACCTACCAAAGTGGTGTTATTGGATTTTAGAAAATAGAAGTCATGTTGTTGTTGCAAATGGATCTAGCTGTTGTCTTGCCTCTCAGTCTATGATTCTGTCTGCATTTAAAATAAGGTTTTTTCTCTCTTTCCTTCTTTCTTTTTATCGATCAATGATCCGTCTTACAAGGCAAGTATGGTATATTGAGCTGTACATTCTCCATTTGTCACCTCACCAACGCTTTAAAAGACTTCACACATCAGTTTAGCTCAACCATCATGAACATTCAAACATACATCAATTTAGATCTATAGTAAAGATTGCGGCAACACCATGTATTTATCTCTTCTTTGAGTATGTGTGGTTCTGAGAAGATCTAGTTTCTTTCACCATGAAAACCTTTAAGTCTTATATACATCAATTTAATTGACTGTTTCAGAGAATTTAACTTTTGTTTTTATTCATATGAATACTAATGCTTGACCTGCCATACCTTAAACACACACTTTGGCTCGAAATTGCTTGTATATTTAGCGGAACAGGTTGATTCCAATCGAAAACAAATGAACGATGGCAGAGGTGAATCCGGATTGAGGGTATTTATCTTCGAAATTGTCGGAGAAAAGAGAGATGATTGACACCCTCATGTGAAATATTACTAACAATGGACCAATGCTTAGAAACAAAACATAAGCACACCACCACGACCCATTTTAAGATGTAGCAGAGGTTTAATACACCCTGTTTGTCGGTACTCACCATTAGAATCGAAGATGAAACCGTCACAAACACAGCTGCAAGAGCCATCAGCTTCCACATGGTAGTCATTCTCAAAATCTTTGAAGTCAAGTCTCTGACTGGAAATGGAAAAATGGTCAGGTGTACTCGAAAGAGAAAATCACCATGAATGGAAAACTCGTTGCAGAGTGACTTTATATACCTTACAAAACTGAGAAACCTTCTAACTTTTGTTACAGTGAAACTGTAAGCCCACGCAAGTCATACCCGCATAATTTTGTCATTGACACTCTGTTTGATTTGTTAGAGCACTTTTGGTTTCAATTGCAGGTCTAAAACATACTAAAGTTTTACTTGTTTTTTTTCATTGATGTTAGAGGATTTGTTTGGAATGCGGGGGAAAGCCGATGCAGTCTGTATTGCTCGGCCTTGGACAGCACTTGAAAAGACAGACAGACAGACAGACAGACGACGCTATAAAAGTTGGGGCAGGGTAATAGTTAACACAGTCGTTATACCATACCAGCAGAAACTGGCTCGAAAAGGACCACAACAATTACCTTATTAATCATCAATCTTCAAAGCTAGCATTTGGTAATGTTATCCACAAAATCCCAGGGACAGATGCTCTCGAATGTTGTTCCTGAAGTGCAGTGTACATATTGTCTATGTTTTAGATGACATTTTTGCGAACCCTACCGAAAGTAAACACTGAGATATGGTTGTAATCAAAATCGTTGGGAAACTTGCTGGTACGGGGCATTAAGAGTGTACCTTAACGAAGCAAACACATAGGAGACTGTACAGGAACATCTATTTAGAAATCTGATGGGTAGAAGGTACAAAGGAAATGAAATCAAAAGTGGAAAGAAGAAGCACCGTCTAATGGCTTATTGAGCAGATTACGTGGTTGGATAATTAGTTTGGGTGAGAAATGTGGGCAGATTCGTTTCGTTTGTACAATGCAGTCTGATTGAGTAGAAACCTGTGCAAACCTTTCATGCACAGCGACAAACACCTTTATTTATTTCAATACAAATAAACACAGCACTTTGACGTTGCACTTGGGATTTTTATACACCTGCTAGAAATCAGCACTATTTTTCCTACCTTTGGGAGCCAGCAGTGTGTTCTGAACCATTGTACTGATTGAACTAGGATGTGGTCAGCTTTTGAAGATAGGGTTGAGACACTGCACCATTTGTTACAAGTATTCGGGAGGTACTTGCCCCAAAGTAGAGTGTCTGTAGGGTCAACAGTGGATTTCTGGCGATGAATGGTTTTACATATGCAAAAGGGTGAAGCAGTCACAAACTATAGCAAGGCAGAGCAGAGAGCGACGACGTGGAAGGAAATCCCAGCGAGAATTTTGGACTGCGTTGCAAAACAGGTATAATTTTGTTAACGCCGTTGTAAAGGCCCTCTTGATGAAACATTTTGGACGTGTTGCGATGTTGACTGAACACGTAATGGTCTTAAGTTTTGAAATAAATATGTTGGGTGTTGACATCAAAGTTGTTTGATTCCAAACGGTTACTGTGTTCCTTTTTAGTGAAAATGCAAACATGTCAGTGTAGGGGAACAACTTCAATGCAGAACTACACACTACACTGCTCTTCAAATTGCTTATAGTGTAAAGTCTTTTAGGAATGAAGGGGCATGGTTGGACTAATTATAGTACACTGTAACCAGGGAGAGAAAGTTTCGTGACCTCAGGTCATGAGCGACCAATAGCAAATTAGCGCGTCGTTGGTATAAAAAGGAGCCTGGATGTTTTAGTCGTTTGCTTCTACATAAAAAAATTGAAGATTAAGACAAAAATGGCAAAAGCGGAAGAGTGAGTTAGCGGAGACTGCACCAACTACTGCCCAAATGATGGGGGGGGGGGCGATAAACACATGAAACCCAACATACTTGACTGAAATCCTAGGTTAGGGTGACAGTCAAACTGTATAGTTGGTATGTTACTCTAACCTCTCTTCATCGAAGTTCCTTGTGGGTTCGATTTACTTTCCCGCTGGTGAATAGCACACCTCTAATTGAATTGAATTGAAGTACGGCAACTGCACGTTATGTTTATTCCAACGATCTGGGGTAATCACAAGTAATCATGTCCACGGTCAAAAGCCAGGCTCTCTTGTACTGAAAGGCGTGGTTTTTGTCCGTTTAAAGTTCTTGTTTTAATAATTCCCCACTTGGCACCGTTTTAGTCAATACCAATATACTGTTTTTTACATCAATATTATTGATATATTAATACTTATTCATTTCATTTTCACTGCAGGGAACAATATTGTCGGTATTGCATCGCAATTTGCGATGTACTTTCAGCCACGTTGCTATACACGTTTTTTGAATCGCAGTTGCTGCGACGCAGCCAGAAACATTAAAATAAAAGTGTCCGTTTTCGTGGCTAGGTATAGCAGTAAGCAATTTTACCCTTGATTTGTTGTTTTCCTCTTAAAAGGTAAACAGCTACATGTATACGTACGTGGCGTACAATGTTTTTTTTTTGGATTGTTACGAACACGTAGAGTACCGTCCAACTTTTTTTTACAAAGTCGCGTGTATAAAGCACGCCGTAAATTTAGCAGGGCACCCTTCCACTCAAGGGCAAATGTGTACATTTGACGGCCCTAAAGCGCAGCTCGATGACTGTTTCGTGACTTCAATATGAGCTAATTCTACCTCGTACGTGTGTGTGTGGTTTTTGCATTGTAAGATACCACGTAAAATCGTCGAGAGGTTAAGAAACAGCCGTTGCCCGAACACGTTGGGGTGATGCATATTTATGTCGTATTGTGGCGTGATTGGTTGAAAGAAGAAACGTACTGTCCGCGCAATGTCCCCGAGAGAGGGTGGCACTCTGCCAGGTGCTTACTAAAACTCAGCTTAGACCAGCTTACTGATTGATTCTCCAAGTGGTATCAACATGAAAAGACGAGAGAATAAATTCAAGGGAAATACATTCAAGTCTTGCTTGCTTGCGTAGCGAAATCTACCAAACTCTCAGACTAAGTAACTCATAAATACCGGAACTGAAATTCACTGCATTTAATATTTAACTACCCCGTCGCATATGTCCCATATAGTGTTGATACATGTGATTTAAATAATATATCTTTTATCGGTGTTTCATTTGAATCTTCTCCTTTTGGGCTATATTCCCTGAATTTTTAAATGTACATATATATATTTATTGTGCAATTTCTGGTTTTTCACCTTTCCTGTAAGTGGCAATTTTCTTGCTGTTGGAAACGGTTAATAAATAAATAAATAAATAAAAAATCGTGTTTCTCCATATCACAGTTTGTGAAGGGAAGAATACTGAATGGGCCTTTAGCTGGTAACCAGTCTTGACTTTCGCAATGACGACCTAGGTGATTCACCCACTATTATACGTTTATGTTGTAATTGTGCGCTGTAAATTTGCACAGCGATTACATAAAAAAGTGCATGCATGTTTTTCCAGGTGCTATGCAAAAATTATTTTGTAAAGCAGATTTGCTATGCAGATTTCTTGATGAAAATAATTCCCTGCAAGGTATTACAACAGGTGCGTACTGCTTTTGATATTGTTATTATATTGGTGCACCCCTATACCGTAATGGTGTGATTCAAATCACTTTGGCGACATGTTCTCGCGTCCGTATTGCGCACGTTGCCTACGTGCGTAGCAATATCATCAGCACGTGGTGCTAGTCTACGTACGTTTGGTTGCAAATAATTCCCTTCGGAGGTTTAATTTTGTGATATTTTCGAGGCAAAGTGTACAAAAACTATTGAGTGCCAGACTGAAATTTATTCTTCAAATGTCGTCATATAAGCCGCCCAGAGTATAAGCTACAGGGCCATTTTTCACTCAGCGAGAGAACCAACGTAAGCCGTGACTTACCGAAACTTACAGTAATGTGAAGATATTTTGTCATATTTTTAAAATAAAGTTCGTTCGTCAGTGGCGATGTTTTCGACATATTTTTCAATATCAATGTTTTCGAGGTTTCAATATTTCTCCAAAACCCAATACTGTCGATATTTTTCGGTACATAGATATTACCAAATAAATAACATAAGTGATATTGATATTAAACTCAGATCGACAAAATCGATATATCCACGGTGTTTAAACATCACCACCATATGGATATTATGCACCAAGCTCAACAACAGCTTGTCACATTGTCATTGATTGTCTAAATAATGATTTATTTATGTAGTCCATAGTGCTTGCCGATTATGCGTTTACATAACGCACACTATATGAGGAGAATCGACGTGCAAAGGGCAGCACGTAGGAAAAAATACACCATGCCTTGCTCACAAGTCACAGCTCAGAAAATTGCTGGCTAATAAAAGTGCAGGAGCGGTCGCCCTTCTCGGAGGTACTAGCGATTATCTTCAGCTTTAGATGGTTCGAGAGAGTTGTTAGTCAATAAATGTTGCACCAAGAGCGGTTAGTTTGAAGTGAAGCCCAGATACTTGTGGAAGAAGCTCGCCGAAAACGTAAGCTTGAAAGAAAATATTGCGAAACTAGACAAGAGCGAAGGAAGAGGTAAAACTTTATTCAGAATAGTATATGGCGTAAGAGTGACCACCACTAGCAACAGATACGACACAATCGGTTCTTACTACCGAATATACCAAACTGAAATTTCTGAGGAGCAGCTGTAGCTGAATACGTGCAACCTGAAAAAGCAGCAAACAGCCAAAATATCATGTCATGTTGAATCAGCTGATTTTGGCATCCCTTTCGTTCCTGTTGGTGTCACTAACTTCTTGAGGAATTCAAATGTTGGTATCCGGGGCAAACAGAGTAAACAAAATTAGCGAATACTCTTGGAAACCTGTCATGAACTGGACAAGATCCCCTGTCCAGACATTTTTAATAATTGGAATCAAATCAGATAGAGCACTTGATTACTGAGGCCTTTTTTATACAGCTGTTGTATATATTTTAGCATGGTCTTCAAAAGATGAAGAAGACGTAACTCTGTCCTTCACAAAAGAATTCTTCGCATGACATGAAAATACAATGGTTTTTCAGTGTCTTAGAGAATTCCCAAGAAAATGAGGCAAAATCTTACTTCAGAAACGAAAATAAAAGATAGTCTTCATCTATGAATACTATCCTTAACAGGATTGAGACGTTTTTTGCTCCTCCTGGGATTTTTGCAGATTTAAGTTGAAGCATCTGCAAGGGAAATTTTCACCTAACCTCAACGGTCTCCAGTAATGTAACCAAGCTGTAACCCTCAAAGAGCAGCTCCCCCATCTGACATTGAAGGGTTGATTCCACCACTCGGCAGAACTGACTTTGTGCCACTTTTTTCGACACTTAGAATACACGTACAGCGATACTCATCATTCCAAGTATGGAGTTTGAATTGAGACAGACAGGTGGTTTTGTTGTTAACGGTTCTTTGAAGTTCAAGGGTACATGTGTACCAGCCTGTGCGTATTGAGCCACGCAGTGAAAAGTACAAATTTCTGGCACACCTGTCTTGGGAAATTTGCTGCGGTTAATTTCAAAATGACGGCTGGGTGTTCTTCTAAAATTTCCGACCAAAAGGTTCATCTTTGCCGTGTTCAAGCACGCCCGCTCACTTTCCCCAAAGGGACGGAAGGCACAACTCAGGAAGAGCTAAAGGCAGGAAGAAGCGCTCGTCCATAGTAGCCAATTTGTTGCCTGGAAGACTGGAAACGTATTGGTTTCTAGGCGCTGTTGTGAACGTATGGGAGGGCGCCACCACGATGACTAACAATCACGTAGAATCACCACAGACATATCATAAACGCATAGACCACCAGTCTTGCGCGTATAACCGCGATTTTCAAAAGTATGAGAAAATAACAGGCGAGATGGTGGATGGCAGTGCCTTCGATGCGCATAACGCACAACTTGTCACGTGTTGCAACCGCATAGTTTTGAATCTACATAGTCGAGTTTAATTAAATAATGTAAGCTTTGAAGCTTGCGAGCAATGCCAGGTAGCAGCGTCCCTTGAGGAAGGGGCTGTATAGTCCCCTTCAGGGTGGAGAACGTGTGTCCTCATGTGTATTTAATGTGTGATGGAGTACATTAAGATGCACATTAGCATTTGCATAAATAGTATTTCAACTCTCCCAACACTCGTGGGGTTGCAGTTACATGTAAATGTGGTGTGGCCCACCGCAGCGGGCTGAAATGGTAACCCTGTATACACAATAACATAAACTTGGGAAAACATACCACATTTCAATATAAAACCTGCAATCATGCTTTGCAAGCGATAATGAAATTGCAACTAAAGTGGCGTGCAATACCAAAATCACCATGCGCACACATGGACGCGACCTTATAGTCACAGAAACTTTCCACATGCTCGCACGCATTCACCGCACGTGTGACAGACCGGGCGTAGTCACGGACGTGTATAATAAAATCTGGACTCGCATTGCCCTTAATCAGCCTATAGAGATCATTGAATCCACTTGCGGCCATTTTACCAAGCCGAATACAAAGCTTTCCTAGTAATGCCCGCCTTTGTTCTTCCTGACGTCAATAGAAGGGACCCAACCCACGCTTTTGTATTCGGCTCGGTAAAATGGCCGCTGGTTGGCTTCTTTTTCATACAAAGGCGTTGCAAGTCCAGGTTTTTTTTTTTTATATATACGTCCGTGGGCGTAGTACACACAACAATCTACGTGTAGGCTACTTCATAAACACGTAAGCTATGTAGAAAGTTGTCGCACAATTGAACCCAAGAAGCAATGTGAATGAAACGGAAAAGTTCTATCCATTAAACCCTCAAACCTATTCAACTTAATCAATTGTAATCATCTATCCCTGCTGACTCTCTAACCATTCAACACGCTGATAATTTACCACTTATTTCAGTAATGCTATTTGGAAAGAGTTAAAGAAAGATTAAATTACCGAACTGTTCCGGCCACCATGCGTTCACTCCCAGTGGAAAGGAGAGGAGGCAAGTTTGTAAGAGCGCTCTCTCAGGCTCAACATCGAGAGTAATTAATACGCAAAATGAGGATCCCCGCAGTAAATAGAGGAGTTTCTTAAAATCCAAAAAAAAAAAAAAAAATGGCTTCATACAGTGTTAAGGTTGGAATTCTTCAACTGTGCGTAAATTCCCTATTCCGAGGGGTTGAATTTGCCCATGGATTTTATTTTAGTAGGTCACCGCGCAGATCACTCAATACTCCTATAGTTTTGAATACGATGCGTGTGTGTGTGTTGTCCACGCCAGGCCTTTTATGGGCGTGCTACGCTCCAAGGGTTACGGAGAATAGGCTAATGTTCCACCCCTGCTTTTTACTTACAACCACCTGGCCGCATTCTTGAGCCAAAGAAACTAAATGAAGGAATTCACTACGAAGCATGTCACTTAAACAGCACCGCGTGCCAAACATGTCCTTTGTGAAATTGTCCGGTGAAGCCGTTTCATAATTCTTTCGGCGTTAAAGGGGCTTACAGATATGCACGTGTTTGCAATACAGTTGTATTTTAAACAGTGCTTAAGTGATTTTTACATGTTTGCATGTTTTTCAATAACCTAATTATTGGGAAAAAATTAACAATTGAGCAATAAAAAAATGGTTACTAGTGTTATTGCTTTATAAACTCGTACAGACCAATGAACACTCTCGGTTTTGGCTTGGTGTGAAATTCTAACAGGAATTTATTGGACCATTCCAAAATCAAAGCCAGATGTATCTTGTAATAGCGAGCACATGTATCACCTTACCTGGTAGCTTCAATAGCGAAAAAAGAATTAAGTTCCCTTTCCCAGTTTTGAACAGCGCCATCTGCTAAGCGGGGGGGGGCGTTAGATTAATTTCAAATCCTCTTTTAGCCTAAGCTTTCTAAATGACCCTTTCGGAACAGACAAACAACAATGACACCATTCATCAAGCGGTTTTATCAACTCAAACAAAGATATAAAATCACAGCTTCCACCAATAAAAGTATCATTACATCTCTACATACTTTTCCGTTAAAATCATAAGGTTGTGAGACGCGTCCAGCTTTTCTGCTGATTTGATTACCCGTAGCCTCCACTCAAGCTGCATATTCATAAATTATGACTTGGTTTTTGGTAAGCTTTTCAATCAACCTTCAAAAAATTATCAAAACCTGAGCCTCGAGAAAATTGTAATCAATCTTTAATCCAGCTAAGGACTTTGTTTAACGAGGCCAATTGCAAACCGCTTAAGTCTTAAGCACGCCCTCGTGCGACGGCAGCACGCGTTTAACACACATGGGTTGGATCGAATGACCTTATTCCATGGATTTCTCAAGCATCTAAGTCACACATTTTAGACATCAACCATAATAACATGTGAAGCGTTAAGTAAGAGCAATTAAGTTTGTTCTATCGAACAGAGTATTGACCTCCGATGTTTAAATGAACTTGACCGTTGACTCTGGTTCGCAACGTGTGAAGGATTTGTATGCAATAGAATTTTTCGTAAAAGTAGAATGTTGCTTTATATTAATTACCTTATAAATAACAAAACTGTGTGAAATATTTTGATCTATTTTTATTTCGCTTTTACCGACAGACTACCATTAAATTTCAAACCGTAAATGTTCATGTGCGTACAAGACTGCCAGTGCACAGTTCTTCGTGTATTTTAGATTTTTGGAACTTATGGGTTATTTTTGGGAGTATATTTCTCTTTTAGATCAGGTAATTTTTGAATTACATAGTTAGTTTCAGATATACTAGCAAATATATTTACTTTTTTAAAAAGAAACTGAACGAAAAAAGTATTAAAAATTCTGAAATCTGTGCACGTTATTTTTCCTATCCAAGGGTTCCGGAAGCGCGCCATCAGGGGTCTCTACTAGACAAACAAGAATCTTAATAGACACGGATGTACTTTTGATTCAAAAATGTTTCTACCGATTTATAGTATACCCTGGATATTGTCCAACCCCCAATGCAGCAAGGCCAATCTTCCAAATAGTGGCGTGTCGTGCGGGGGAGAGGCAACTCACCCTCCCCCACACATTTTTTTTAATGAGATTAATTCAAAGGTAAGTAGAAAAGAAACTAATCTTATTTTTATTTATGGAGTAATTAGGAATATTTTCTCCCCAATTTTCATGTTGAATGAGCCTGAAAGCGCATATGCGTTGTGAATAGCCCTCCCCCCTCATACACAGAAAACTCGGATACGCTACCGCTTCCAAACAAAAACGCTGGAGCGCAGAAGACATCTTTGTTTCAGCATTTGTGCTGTGGTTTTTGGTTTCTATTAGCATGTTAGATATTGCCTAATTTAGATTATTTTAATGTTTCCTCATGTGAGGTGGAAGTTTACAACCTATATCATCTTCTACTGTTGCCCTGTAAGAACTCTCAAGTTGAAATTTAAATTAACTCTTCAAAACCGAAAAACCACAGTCAAAATGGACTCTATACAATTTCGTAAAGGATTTCTGAAAATTATTTATGATCAGCCAATCGAGCAACACTCAACTAATGATGGCAGCACCTTTAATGAAAACAAAGATGAAAATATTTGGCAGAAATAATGACACCGATTACATAAACACGACAACAGTGCATTATGTTCAGAGTGTTTCTCTGTACCTAGGTTATTTATTGACTCTTCTAATGTTTTTTCTGGTTCTTCCTTTTTTTTTAAATAAAGCCTGACTAGCTTAAGGAAACCCGACATGCTTTGTAATCTTGGGACATTTGAGACGTTTATTTAGTAAATGCATGTTCCTCTAAAGAAAAAAAGGAGTCTACTGGAATTTTTGTCTCAGATTATTTTGCCATCAGGCAGCTTAACAACATTCCGACTGCAATGACAATAATGGACAACAGTAAAGAGAAAATAAGATCCTTAATATGGATCTTTTGGGCATAGGCTTAGATGGTTAGCGTAATGGGACAAGATATAACTTTCTTTCAGCGTTTCAGGGGCTAAAGGGCTGGTTTCATTTTTTTTTTCAGTTTTAACAACTATATTTCATTTTTTGTGAGGTTCTGTTCTTAATACTTTGTGTCTTTTGGTTAACTACTTTCTTGAGAAGGCTCTTGACATGGCTTTTTTTTTTCATTTGTTCTTAACATCCTGTTCCTTTAGGTTAAAATATATATCTTCATTGTCAGAAGGCTCTAAACACGGCCATGTTTGGCAACGGATTGTTAGGGGTCGCTTACGTTTGGCTTTAAATATTTTTTTGTCAGCAAGTATTGCATATCATAATACCAGAGACGCACAGAGAAGCAACGCACAGCTATCTCCAAACGGCCAATATCATTCGGCTGTAATGTAATACATGTAATGCAGTTTGACGCTAAAGGACGTGAAACGTTAGCTATCCTACGTGTAAGTAGATCCATGCGGAAGTAATACGATGCTTTTGAGACCCAGTTTACATCTTTTCAAAGCCAGTGTGAATGAGGAAATACCAAAAAGCGGGATAAACATCGGGGTCAGCTCATGCCGTATGACAATAAAAAGCGTTGTTGCGGTATTTTTTATGTAAATGGCTGAGTCAAAAATGAAATGCATGCATTCGGGTGTCTGTAAAAATGGCGACGGTGGCGCTTCGATACATCCCTGATGATGAGAAACAAATAAGAAGGAAAATAATGAAAACAATGCCAGCATGTATAACACCGACAAGTGATACCACAGTATTCTGCCAGTTTTTTCTCCAAGAAAAGGTTTTTAGTATACCATACTGGCATCAACTAAAATCATAGGCACACAACTAAACCATCCACAGTTATATTTACTCATGTGTTTTTAAATAATGTAGTATTGAAACGGCAACTTTTAACTTGATACTGATACCTCGATATTTTCATTTTCGTTGATCGAGGTTACAGAATCACAAAAACGGGTCATGGTGCGTTTGAAAGTGATCTGACAAAAGATGCCATACGACAGAATAGGAGAATCACTCTGATCTTCCCCCAGCAGCCACTTTGTTATTTAACCTAAAAGTTGCCATGCATCGAAGTTGGGATTTATTCATAAATCATCACATCAGCAGACATCATGTCAAGGTTTTGCAGCTGAACCAAAGCATGTTGATGATGGAATTCTCCAATGAAATGCGGGGAGCAAATTGGATTGTTCCATTTCAATACGGGTAAGCAGTCTATAGTTGTAACTTTACTGGTGGTTTGCCAGGCAATAAGAAGTTTTCAATCTGGGTTTTAACAAAAACAGATAACAGAAAATGGAGCCAGCGCAAACCTCAGATAAACTAACTTTAGACCCTCCTTTTCGCGTAGATATAGGCAGTGTGTTGTCTATTTCTGTCTAGCCGATCAATTTGTGTGACGTCAGTTTAAAAATAACTACACCCACATACCAGGTTCCAGGATAATGTTTCTGGTCCAGAAATTTTTAACTCTAAATCGTGAAATCTAACCCGGAAATTTAGAATATTAAAAACACTGCATCTATTTTTTTCTGGAGGCTCACTCGTAATCGTCACTAATCGATATACTTACATTCCAGCAACAAGAGGAAAAATTCCTTGTCTGAATCGGTACACGACCTACATGAGGAAAACATGAAGGGTACATGTACTATCTTTGTTTTGGCGGCTGCTTTGTCTGCACTTGGTAAGTAAAAACCTTTCTCGACTTAACTGCAAACTACTAGAAAAAGTCTTTTTGACTGCTTCCTCAGGGTTTTTGACAGGAGGATACACCGTACCAGCGTACGATTCGGTAGACTGTGAGGCTGGTACTTTTAATTGAATCAGTCTGTGCTTTCCTTAGGCATCATGAAGTAATAATGAAACATAAAATAAATTTGCAACCACCTGATGAATCTACGCTCTTCCAGGAAGACTTTAAGAGGCTGAATGCCCAGCAAGAGCTGGGAGAAGTAAGAATACAACGCCCTAGGTTTTAGAGCCACCTTTCATGAAACTCTGTCTTTATTGTGAATGTCACCCGCTTTAAGAGAAAGAGTGGGACGAGGAAAACGGCCCTGTTTTAAAAACAAACTTGTCCCTATTATCCACATTTAGGTTTGTGTAAGGCACTTGACTGTTACGTGTGCAGTGGGACCGACTGCGCAGATCCATTAGACACGACCAGTGCACCGAGTATAACATGTCCGGCGCCTAACCTCCAATGTGCAGTAAGTAGAAGAAATACCAAGTGACCCCCAAATACCTAAATCTTCCGGAATAACTCATGTGCATTTCCATTCATTACTTGTGACAACTCTGCACTCGCAGCAAGAGAAAACCCTTGCCTTTTTATGAGTTTGTTTTGGTGGGGAATGACTTCAGGGACTGGCTCATTTAGTGAGTTACCTTCAAAGCCCTGTATTTGGACTTTTAAGGGGGAGACCAAGTACAGGAAAGCCGACGATTTTGCCCTTACACCTTCACTTTCTTTTTCTCCAACATTTTTTAGGGGGTACCCAATCACTAAAAACGCAAATTTGAATTTCCTGATACTGTTAAGAGGTTCAGGGGAATTATCGAATCCTGGAACTTGTTCAGACGTTTTCGATTTCTTTGTTCCGCAGACCTTTAGGATCGGATTGATTTATAATCGAACCTGTGCTCCCCCCGAGATCTGCGCACTTGCCAGCTGCACCCAAAGTATCTGTGGGTCTTGTTGTGATCAGGATCTGTGCAATAGCGCACCGTTGCCCACACCCAGTGTACCAGCTCTCAGGACTTTCAACTGTTACCAATGCCAGTACCGTTCAGACACCGGCAGAGGCACGGCGTGCAAGGATCCTCTCGATCCCAGCAGCGAGGACGTGCAGGTGGTTCCCTGCAATACAAGCTGTGCTGTAAGTATTTCAAAAATTGGATGTCAAAAGGTTTGTTTACTTACAGTAGGGGTTTGCAGGCACTTGTACAGCACTAAGCCAGAGTAGTAATGTACAGGACAAACACGTCGAAGCTTGATGTATTTACAGTGGAAGTAAACATTTAGGAAAGTGGTTCGCCACAAACGCTAGGAAAACTGTATTTCGAGGCACATCAAGATTGTTGTTGTTGGACGTTTTCTAACAAAGTCGCACAGGCAGCTGACAGGAGTCTCCACAGTCAATCTACTCAGAAATGGTGAAGGATATAAAACGTGGCGGAAAGCATCCACGCAATAAGGCGATGAACAGTTGTATTTTGGAATCCGATTGATTTTATTTCAGATACTGCCTAATATTTTGTATGCCAGTGGAAAGCCGCATGAGATGTTACAGCAAGGACTGGCTCGCATGCTAAATCGCTTGCTCTTTCTTCCTGTGGGGGCTGCAGTAAACATGAAATGTCAGCAGCGTTATAACATGCAAAGTGATTTTTTTTTTATTAGCCAAGTGAATATTTGCAAAAATGTCGTGTGAAGCTTATGCAGTTTTTCGTTGCCATTCGTTCTGTCATCATTTTTGTCACAGTGTTGTCATCATTGGCTTATGATTTGCCATTAAAACTGCTGCTGGCGCCTTTTGTCAATATCAATGCCCTTATTAAAAGCGTAGGCTCAAAACGCCCAATGTATGTAGAATTTACTCTTCTGACTCAGAGTATAGGGCATAACTCTGATAGTTGAATGGTCTGTAAGGGACTAGTGTTGATTTCTGCCATCTCTTACAGTTAGTGAACCGTAAAGACAACGGAGTCACTCAAGTGGGCCGTACGTGTTCACCCCCTACGGGCCAACTGCAGTGTTTTCCGGGTTGTTATCCACCGCCCTTCGATGGCTGTGCATCGTGCTGCAGCGAGAACCTGTGCAACGGAGGAAATGTCTCCGATCTGCGACGCACCACACCTGTCCCAGCCACACCGAGCAAAGGAGTAACTACGACCCTTCAGATGGCCTCGATTCCACTGATGGCACTGGTCCGGTATTTGGTGATGTAAGGGGTGCGCGCCGGTATACTCAGCAAGAAATGAGACCGAGGGGTACCCCCCCAACATGTCCAATTCCAGACTATTGTTACTTAACACATCCCCCCAAGATGTCTGAAAAGACAATGACCAACAAAAAGCAGGGGGGGGGTTCTCTCCGTCTCATACCTTGCTGCATATGCGCGCCGGTGCGTAACACAACATTTGGGAAATGACCTCGAGAGAAGGTGGAAGCGTCGCTGCAGCCATTGTCCTGACAACAAAAGCAACATACCTTTGTACATTGCAGTGACTGTGACAACGATTCCGCTCTATGATCGGGGATTGTTCCTGGGTGTTGAGATTGGAATCTTTCGACCACAAACATTTGTACTCAGTGCTGACAGAAAGTTGTATACAACCACAATACACAGAGAAAAAAAACTTTGGTAGCGGCGACTGTTTCGTCATTTTGCTCAACGGAAATGGAAGCTTTATAGGGGTTTTGTTATGCAGTATATGGAGAAATGTATGACAGAAAAAATAGCAGTTTATCGACTTTGTTTTGAAAATTGCCTTGACTTTAGACCCGCTTAAGTCTTACACCCATTTTTAGGCCCTGTACGCTTATTCTGATAAAGGCCATCGATTCATGGTACCTCAGACAGATTTTGTACAAAAAGTTTTGTGCAAACAAATTTTCAAGGCATTACGTGATAAAATAACTCATACTACAACCACCTTTCAATCACTTTTCCCATTTTTTAAAATTGCAACCGCCATTAGATATGTGTAGCATTACTATCGCTTTTGGGTATATTTTGGAGACAATGATTTTTGTGCACGATTTTCCATTGTAAGACCATTTGTTTGTTTTTTTTGGCGGAGGGAAGTTAATAACTTCAATTGAAGCGGTGTATTGCCATACAACAAAACGACTAATAGAGTCTGAAAGAACCAGGAAATAAAATATTGAATTCTACATCCTAGTAAAAATATTATTACTAAGTCTCCTCAGCGCTTTTTTAGCGCTGATGTTTCACCTTTCAACTTCCTGCAGAACTCTGCAAACAAACTTCTGCTGAAATGGCCTATTTATAGAGTATGTTTCCAAAGTAAAAAAACAGACGGGATAAAAGAATCAGGTCAGTTCTGCCTGCCAAATATAGACGGCGAAGCAGACTTTTTTTTTCTGCTTGAGTTTTTAATTGTTATTATTCAAGGACACACGGGGATGGCAATGAACAGCGGTTACTCTCGTTAGGTATCAACTGTCCTTTTGAGCAGCGCCCTTAGATCTAAAAAACTCCTGCTGTGAGTTGTACCTACAATACAATAATAAAAAAATTACACAGTTCTCAGTTGAGGTAATTTTGTTGTCAATACTTCCTACCTCGAAAATGTGGCCAAAGTAGGTTAGACCCTAGGGGATGGAACAGGTGATTCCTGTGAAAGTTATTACAAACTTGTGGATATGTGTTATTTATTTAGGGAGTGCAATTGCTACAATCCTGAGAATTATGACTGCATGGTTGGAAGCAGAAATAGAAATGGATGTCACAAGTAAACCAACGAGGATAGCCAGTAATAAATTCATGAAACTCAATGATTCTATATCAACCTTTCAACACAGGATACGGGGATCAATAAGCAGGCAATCACTAAAATAATGATTCAATCAATCAGTCAATAAGACAATGAGTGAGTCAACCAACCTAAATGTGAAATCAATCAGCCAGTAAATCAATGGCTAATAGGGGATTCAATACAACAAGTAGTTCGTGAGTGCCTGTCTCATGCTGCCTGCAAAGCCAATCTACTATCCAACCGACCGACCCAACCAATTATGAGACAATCAATCAAACTACCTCACACGACAATCTACTAAAAACTTGCCAAACATATCATTCACCAACAGAAACATGTGTACTTACTGTACTCCCGATTTTCAAATTTAATACTCACAACCGTCGGTAATGATTAATGATATGTTTTAATTAAGAGATCTATATAACCAAAATTAATCTTGAAGCTTGAAAACAACTACACAAAACAGCTACTAATTTGTAAGTGGTGCGTTCTTTTCTTCTGATTTGAAAACATTCAACAAACTTCCTAATTCAATGTAACTTTTGGACGTCTGTTCTGCCTAATTGTTTCATCCTACAAGCATATATAATTCCAAGGTATGTAATCAAGGAAATAACGTTCAAATTAAGACAAACAAACTCGACCAAACTTTAAATCACGCAGAAAACGCAAATCAAACGCATATCTAATTCACCCGAAAAGCTTAACACTGTATGGATGGCACAAGATATTTGGGAAAAAAAATAAAATTGATATACACTCCAATACAAAAAGTCAAAGCAATAAGCCATATCAGTTTCGTTAGATCCACAAAACTTGAAATGCTAAACTAATTTTCAACTCAATATCAAATGTGGCACTCAAAGTTTCAAACAGGCTTCAGTGAAATATGCAACTCGATTCTAATTATATTTTCAACGTTAGTGACCCAACTCGTCTCTTCAACATCTATATTTTCAACTCCAAATCATCACAGCTGTCTTTGTTCAGACACCAGTGCATTTCTTAATCTGCACATTGTCCATAGACCCTGTTCGAAACCGAACATTAATGTCTTATGAAGAACTGCCAGGTAATCCCCTTGCTAAATGCTAACCATCTCGATACATACATACATACTTTCAATAGTCAAATTGGCGATTTTGCAGTACGCGTCCCAGGATCCAAATGGTGTTCTCTCTTTTTCATTTTATGTACAGAAGCCAGTCGGTGTGCCAAATCTGTCTATCCCACACTCTTTAATTAAGCACTGAGAAAATGAAATTTAAGATTCGCTTGTTTCTATAATGTTGATACTTTTCTGTGCCGATTTCACTGGTTGCCGGTATAAATAAATTTAAACGATAAACTTCTAATGGTTGATGAGAGCAGCTACAGAAAGTTTTGATTGTGAATCGACGCCCGTAAATCCATACGTACGGTGGATTCTTTAAATTAATGTACACGTATTCCTTATGTTGGTATGGATATCTGCCGTTTCTCGGCACTCGATCCTGCCATATTGTTATTATTATTATTATTGTACCACCAAAACTAAGCCTACTGCTAAATTTGTATGCATCAAAAACCGTTACAACCAGTCTCCATCAGATTTCCAATCATGCCCATTAATTTAATACACGAAGATCAATAGTCGGTCCACAATGATACGGACTCGTTGTGTTGCCCCCAAGCACTCAATCTCATGACAAAAATACAGCTGAACTTCTTAACAGACAATGCACGGGGTGAAAATCGAACACGATTAAAATCGTCAAGGACTCAACGGCTGCCAGTTACTCATAATTATTGACGTCATTATACCGTCTCTACTAGTGTTTATTAAAGCTGTGGCATGTAACCAATTAAGGCGATTTTCGTCATCAAATTCGGATTCTGCCGCACCTAAAGCATTTTACCCTGACGGTAGATTGTTAATTCCAGACAGTGTCAAAGTGTAGAGCAAACAGTGTCTTTCAGATATCTCCACAATCTTTGATGTCTTTAACATGTTTAGAATCAGAATTTTCATTGCTTATGCAACAATAACCTGGATTGTCAATGCGACGAAAGACCAGGCTTTTTATGGGCAGTTCCTGACTTGTCCTACCGGCTGGTTAAAATGGCAGGAATCCTGCTATATCTTGCTACCTCGAAAGATGAATTTCAATAACGCTTCCAGAGTTTGCAATGAGCCTGGGACTACAATGATCGTGCCCGATTCACAGGAGGAGCATGACTTCATTTGGCATAAAATGAAGATCTGGATGCAGCAACACGGCGCCGTAAATGATAGCGACCTGCAAGTGTGGATCGGTTGTAAAAACACAGACACTTCTCAGCTAAGGTGTCAGGGAGAAACAGACATTCACACTTACCGGAACTGGGGCCCGTCCCAGCCAGACAGTGAATCTGAGAGATGCGTACGAATGGCTGAAATGTTTGGCGGTAAATGGGGCGATCACAGTTGTGGCATGCTATTCCATGTTGTCTGTGAAAGAAAGGCAAATTTCCCTGGGCATTGCCGTTCCCTTGCTCACTTCGTTCGGGTTCCACAGACATGTCTGCTCAACCACGACTACAAATCCTCTCACGTTCGAGGGTTTGAAGAGTGTGCCTTGATGTGTTGGGTAGAGCCTTTATGCTATTCCTTCAATCTCTTACACCGAGGTGACGGAGAGCTGATCTGCCAGCTCAATCATGCAGGTATCGCCGAGGCAGATGAAGTTCACGTCGATATTCAGAACAATTGTTCCTTGTACATCAAGTAGGAACTGTATCCGACAACCGTTGTAACATTCTCGGGGACGGTCTTCGTCTTCACATGGCATTGTGGTTTCGAAAGATTAACCTAAATTGTTTTCAACCCATTCACTCGAAACGAAAAACTCGAAAATTTCTAAGGGCTGTTTTATTGAATGTGCGTTACGTCTGTAGTGATAACCCCTTTCCTTTGCTATTTATTGGTGTTCATAGTTATCTTAAAAGAAAATTTAAGATGAATTTTGACAGATCTATGTCATTGTTTTTATGTTGTAAGGTCACTATTTGAATGCTTTGTATTAAAACTAGATATTTACTCTTTAGTCTAGAGTGTGTATGGGGATTGTACAGGTAAGGGGGGTACCCCTCCGTCCCATATCTTACATGGTGTAAAAGTAAGGCCATTCAGAATACGAGTGACTGAGCACGTGTGTCCTGTCTTGGTTCAGGGCAGCACGTGAAAACTTATCTGTTTCGTGGATCTAGCTGGGAGGTCCATCTCCCTGCAAAAACCAGATTAGAGACAGAGGGACACAAGACTGTTCTGAATATAGGTTAAGTTTGTCTAGCTCCAAAATATGAATAGGTTGCATTAAAACTGGACAAGTCATCGTCGTGCGCACAGAATAACTCTTTATTGATTAATTCAAGAACGTTGCTTAGATCAATAACCCAAGGCGTCAGACGCAAGCAACCCTATGCATGCAACTGTTCTACATTTCTCCACCAAAATGTCCTCCATCTTAGTACCTGGCAAAACCCTTCCCGCGTTATCCAAACGAAGAAACTATTGAAGTTATTTGTGGAGTACGATAACATGTTTGACGCTGTTGCCTTTTACACAAGATCAGCTATTCACTGGAAATCTCGTAAGAGCCCATTTTCCAGCCAATTTCCTAGCCCACAAAGAAACTCATTGTGCTGGTGACTTTATTATTTATTTTTTTTTACAAATCGGCATACCAAGCGTTCTCACACCAGTGATATGGGCGAGAAATATCCTAATGCAAAACGGTCGCAATCCAGATTTCTGCAGGTTCATAATTCCACCAAATTTACTTGAACATTTTGTGGGGATTTATTAGCCTTAGTCGTGTAAAGAAGACGCAGTCTACTAATAGACGGTAAAATACAGTCTAGTCAAATTCGCTGACTGCAGCTAATATCACTTTCTGTACTTTTGGCGAAACTTTCTTTACTTTGCGACACACCCCTTTACCAGATTTCATTTTTTGGGTTTTTTTAAGGCACGAAGATCAACAGGTGGTGGACAACAACGGCCCACTGATTTCAACTGCTAATCTCATTGACATGCTTGAACACCTGAGATTATTGAAAAGGCCTGAAAGACGAGGAAAGTAAATCAAAAGGGCTCTTTTATGTAATAAAAAAAAATTTACTTCCCACCAATCAACGGGATCCTGAAACAGTCTAAGAAGATCATATTACAGGAGTAAAATTGATGAATACCCTGTTACAAATTGCAAAGGTTTAGCTGGAATTTACTTCTCTGGCACACACCCATTAAACTCTAGAGCTGAACAATAAATGAAAAATTTGCCCTTTGTAATAAAGATCACGTATAGCAAGTTAAGAAGTAGCGAGCCCTAGCACTCTCTATAGACTAATTTGTGGCGGCACTGCACTCACATGCGCATTCTTCATTTTGACGGGAGTGTAATTTGCAAATGACGACACCGCACAGGGCGAATAGGCAAGGAACGTGCACGTGCCACCTGTCTGCAAGTTATGGCTTCTAATTCTGGTGGCTTAATTATACTATATATTAAAATGTAGGTGACTGCTTGTTTGTGCACTATGAACTGTAAAAACGCCTTTGAACAGAGCGAAAACCAAATTGGGTAGAGTAATTGAAAATTTCTCTACAATTCACCCAACAGATTTAAATGAGGTTCTTCAGTTTTGAAAAGATAGCATAAAAAGCTTTAATTCGATACAGAAGGCATTTAATTCCTAAAAATTTGTCAGGTAGATAAATGTCACTCTGGGGTTGTGCTTTATTGGGTCATTATATAAAGTGCAAAATTGCGAGCAAAATTTGCTTGGAGAATGTATGTAGACGTTAACCTTGGTTACCTCCCAAAAGTCACTTCTCAAGCCAAAGAGCAGGATATGTGATTATTTCCACTGCTAAATGTTTATAGTGCATGAGACCACGGCCATTAATTACACAAGTACCCATTACTCAATATGTATGCAATCAAATTACATCGAATTTTAATCAAGGTTGTAAATAAACAACAAGAACATATTTATAAAATATTTTCACATGTAACCAGTTTAAAAATCGTTGATGTTTTCACAAAGTGACAAAAAACTCAAATTCTAGCCAAACGGACAATCCGAGATAAACACTTTGGAAAACATTTCAACCCGCGCGCAGATGTTTAGGTGCAACATCGTTTGCAGGCATGTGTCCACACACAGACTCGTGCAGGGGTTGTGTGAATTGTCTCTATTTTTGCCGTGCAAACGATGTGACTTTTTGTCACTTCTTGAAAACAGAGACAAACACAGACTAAGCTTTTTGTTAGTTGTTTGTTTAAAGTTACTAGGATAGTAAAGAACGTTTTGCTTTAAAACTCTGCTTATTTATACTTTGGATGAAAGGAAGTATAATTTTAGGAAAATCTCCAGATCGGAAAAAAATCGATTTTCCGTTTTTTTTTGTGTTTCGTGAAAACAACAACGAAATATCCAACTGTCAAGTACTGATTATAAAATCACGACCGGCTGAAATTTCAAACCGGGTGTAAAATCTGCTTCACAACAGTCGAGAGAACTTTAGGCATTAAACATTTAATTTTCACGCTAAAGCATCGGTAAAGCAACGTAAATAATTAATATCAGATGTCTGCCTTTAATGCTCCATTTCCTAATCTAGCCGGCCATTTCCAAGCTTTCCAAGTGCCTCTGTTTTTCTTACAAAAAGTACGTTGTTCAAAGTTGTCCGTACAACCAAATAGCAAGGTTATCCCAATAACAAGCATTATCCCGTTGGAAAAACTTGCACCTGCAAAACTATGCAGTCTAAAGTAATTGTTGGGATCTACAGAAGTATTTCTTCAAGTCGATGAACTGCTTAGTCTGCCAAGTTTTCTCCTCATCATGGTGACTGTTCGATTCAATTTCTTCATGTCCTCCTCAAAGGCGACATCGCTAGTGCTAGCGCCCTCTCTGTTCACAATATACAGCGCCTCCGCTTTTGGCATGAGCAGCTCCGCAGACCACGTGGTCACAGATGCACTCTCAACCTAATTTCAAACGATGAGAAAAAATGAGAAAAAAAATCCCACCCTAGTAGAGAATAAAGATGTTTTTTATTGATTTACGATGGCATCATGCCTGGGTCAGCCAAGTTGGTGGCAGTGGTTCTTTCCTCTCTTTCAACCTCAGGTTCTTGGTACTCCGCTGAAGTTAATATATGGACTAGGTTCTCAGCCCTGCCCAATTTTATGAGTTTCCCTTGGGATAGTTATAACAAAATCTTCCTCACAACTCTAAATTGAACATTTAATTTTTTATTCACCCATGTCCTTTGGAGGGACAATTTTTAAACTGGTATGGCTTAAGAAATTACCCTGGTTAAATAAAGAATAAGTATCAGTACTATGTGTTTGGGTGTTCGGTTTTGGTTTGGTTTTGGTGGTGTTGGTTTTGTTTGGTTTGGTTTGGTTTGGCATTACTTTTGCTTTATAATGCCAGGATTGGAGAGTTTTCTCCTCGCAGTCTTAGAAGGTGGCATATCCATCGACATAATACAGACTGAAAGGAAATACATATCTGACATTAGTAAAAATTTACCATCCAACCTAAAATCTGACTGGTTTTGAAATGGGACCAAATAGGTCAGCCTTTTAGCCCAGTACTTATCGAGTCTGACGATCTATTTCTGAAGTTTAGCCTATGAAGCCGAGTTTTCTGACCGCTCCATTGGCCGTTTGAATACAGGAACAGGATATAGTTCAAAAGATGCCGATAGGCTAATTTAGAAAAAGGAATCAGGCATGGTCTTGAGTCTAGAGTACCTTCGTGCATTATATTCTTCTATTCTTTTTATATTTAGTAACACACAGTGGTTTGAATCCATGCTGGAAATTTGGGGGCTGGGGATTGGAGAAAGGTGAGAGGATAACTTGCCCAGCTATGAGATTTTGAAATGCGAGGGGGTGACATCATATGACTCCGACGACTTCGATGTTCGTGATAATGGATGCGTTCGATTAGCTTACACGTGTAAGTCAAACTGACACGAGAGCGTTCGTTTAACCATCACGTGATCTCGTGCCTGCCCTGGTGTCAGCCACTACTACCCCGGCTGGCGAGCGGGTCTCTGGAGGCTGCCCGAGTGTAATGACGTCACGGATGGACTGTTTCGTGCATGGACGTACATGATGGAACGTGGCGGGGGCTAGACCCTTTTCCCAGAATGCCTTGGCAAGTACACTGCCGCGTTCGATTACCCTTATTTCGAGGTTTCCCTTCGTGTAACACTGGTGTATTCAGGGAAGCTAATCGAACGCACCCATTGGTGTACTTCTGTAATATGTATTACATTCATGTAGAGTCTTGCATCAGAATGGCTTATTTATGGCGCTTCTTTTTCTACTTTGTTTCTTTTTTCGAGTGTTACTGAACGCATTTTAGTCGTTGAAAACTCTGAAAAATTCTTTACAATCAGCTGAACGCTTTGATCAACAAACGTGGGGTGGGGATGATTCAATAGCCAATCCACCGATTTTAAAAATATGCAAAGATATGCACCCCCATGATATGTATTACATTCATGCGGAGTCTTGCATCAGAATGGTTCATTTATGGCTTTCCTTTTACTTTTTTCCGAATGATATTGAACGCATTTTAGTGGTTGAAAACTCTGAAAAATCCTTCAAAATCCGCTGAACGTTTTTACCACAAAATAACCAATCCCCCATTCTTTAAAAAATGGAAGGATATGTACCCCCATTCCCCCAGGATTTACGAACATGCATCACATGCCGTTACTACTTGGCTTGACGCCTCTCTGTGCAACGACATATTTCAATCAAGTAGGTGTCTCAGAGACATGACTGCAACACTGTGCCGTAGATGAAGATCAGGATACCACAGGCAGGTTAATTGCTCATCTTTACTAACATGCTTTTCTCTGTGCCCTTTTCGAGCTACATCCATACCTGACGTAACATAATCTTGCTCTCTGAGATGTCCCCAACAGCAATTCCTTTATCGTGTAAGCCTTGCACAGTGTCATGCAGCTCTGCCGCAAGCTGGTTCAATTGGTCCCCTTCGAGTTTGAGCGGCTCATGCCCTCTTAGAACATCAGAAAGTAAGAGGCAGTGGCAGGTCGACGAACGACTAATATTCCTCAAGGCATCTCCAGCGACTGCACAAAGTAAATGATTTCATTATAAGTACGATATTTTGTTCTGCACATGTGCCTTTTCAATTAACCAAAAGGGGAGGGTTCGGTATCATTTTCCCGAGATCACTGCAACAAATTCTGAAAAAAATTGGCCTATGCTGTCATCTAGTAGACCTAGGTACTTTTCTTCTCTATTTTTGCATCTGAGAATGATTTTCATAGGATAGAAATGTCGCACCCTTCAACATTTTAGATTTGTGCTTCAGGTCACTGTAACTACCGAATAGATTTCAGCAGTTTTATAGCAGTAGATTCTGATAGTATGAGTTGATTGTATGATCGTAGAGTTCGCTCAAATGTCAAAATTTCATTAAACAGAAAATAGCACTTAGACTTCGGTAGCCAAAATAAGGTTAGAAAAACGATAAACCTTAAGAGGGCTTTCATGCGTCTAATATCAGACAACAGAATTTACACTTACATTGCTCGAGTATGGGCTCAAAAGGCTATTCATTCATTAAAATGTCTATTGTTCAGGTTAAGTTTCAATAGAATCTGTAAAGGTGTACAACCGAGAGGGGCAGAACTCATCTTCTAGCCTCGCTCATTTAGGATAATTATCTTCTGAAATGTTAAGGGTTCAATTGCGACTACTACCCGTACCTGTTTTGATTCTTGTCTGGGATTTAACGTAGGCAAATTAAATGTATAAATTAGCTACCTGAAAAAGGTAAAGCTCTGTTTTATACAAGCAAGATTGTTCTCTTCCAAAAAGTAATTCTTGTAGGTTTTTCGAATCTTCATCATATATGAAAAGTTAATATGAGGCTATTAAAAATTCATTAGAAACTCATCAGGTTCAATAAAGGCCAATGCTAAATTAGGAATAAATGAAAAAGATTGCCGGCGAACTCTGTGGTCGCCAGTGTTAAACGACCAGACCATTGTGCAGCAAATGTGTCATTTTCACGAACTGTGCTTGATTTCGTCTAACACAGCATTTGTCTATAGTATTTCATAATTTGACTTACCTGTAGTGTTTACCCTTTTGACCCCAACCTTTCTGTTCCTAAGCTGCATTGTCGATGCTGTGTAGAGATAAGGATTGAGGGCGCTGTTTAGGGGAAGAATGAAGACTGCAGTCCATGCATACACTGTGCTGGGGATAACAAGCACCCCTGCAAGCGACAAGATTCCCATGATGATCACCGGCATCCAACACAGGAAGTCGGTGCAGAGGATCAGGAACATCCTTCCGGCCATTCGAACCTCCTGGGATTTCTTACTGGAGCGGACCTTACGGGAGGCGCGCCGTGCGACGAGGTAGATGCCGGTGTAGTTGATCAAGATGACTAGGAAGCAGATCATGTTGAAGAAGAGGAAGAAGGCGATGGAGAACTCCCAGCCAGGGAACTTGTCCTGGGTGAGAGGTAGGGCAAGACAAACGCCTGTGCGTCCGTAAAAGGAACTAGAGAAGTACGGTAAGCCAACTAACGGCAGGATGCTAACCATTAGCATAACCGACCACGCTGTGGCCGCTATGAACATGACTGACTTCATCCCAAGGCGTGCCATCTTGAAGGGAAATACCACGCACCAGAATCGATCCAGGCTAATGACCACCAACATCACGACCGACACCTCGCTGGACAAAACTGAGATCAGGCCCGCTACTTTGCAAAGGACGCTCGACTCCCACTCGGCAGCGTGGAGGATGTAGACGTTCCGGTAGGACAGGTCGGCGCTGGCGATGATCAGCATATACCCACCCATCATAAAGTCCGACACGGCGAGATTGAGAATCAGGAAAGCCTGCACTCTGTTCTTTTCATCCCCGCCTCTTTTCAGTCGGCAGAGTAGAACAAGGGCGTTGCCAAGCAACGAGCTGATGCCGAGTATCCAGATGAAAGTGCGCAGTACATCGTTACGCATGAGGTCCTCGCAAGATGAGAACTGATCGAGTGGTGGTGTACATTCCGCAATATCACCGATCAAGCAGCAGAAGATATACCTATCAGAATACCTGGAAAAGAACAAAACACATATTGCCGTGACAATAAAGGGAAAAAAATGGAAAAGACAGCCCTTCAGTAATTGTCACTCTATATCTTGCTATACATGTGAACTGCATATAGTTTACTTACAAAGTCCGTAGATTTTCCAGTCCAACAAACATACTTTCAGAAACACTGTCAATGGAGGTATGGCGAATATCTCTGTGCAATATCAAAACAAATAAATATTACGTATTCACAAAATTTCTGATCACAACACAGCAATAAATGTTTCGTTGTAGTGTTCAAACCATTCCAAGCAATCGATTTTCAAGGACGTTCAATGATCACATGAGCAGTTTTCTACGCTTTCAATGCACGGTTGCAAGGATACAATTTAACTGTACAGTATTCTCACATTACTGTATGTATGCACGGCCTCAAACTGAACGTCTTCATCTCTTCTGGTGTGTAAGATTCAAGCTTCATGTACCATTTTCAGGTAGTCGCACAATTTTAACTTTAACCCTAGCACCTGTTACTGATCACTCAATTAACGTCCGTGCAATAATATACAAAACAAACGTATATTCAGGGATAATTCAAAATAGTCACCAAATTAGACCACTTACAACGTGTTGAGGTCGCTCAGACCAACAAATGTACTTGGTTGGATAGTATTCAGTGACAATCCACGAAGATATCTGCGTGATTGGAAAGAAAGGTAATAGCTGGGTAGTGCCTCAGAAAAAGGGATTCTGAAGGTAGGACATCACATTATGTCTCGTTAAAATATGAATTAAGAAAAAGGCAATAAATTTGTCTGCGATAACTAGCATGAAGCTGTGGCCCCATTTTTTTTGGGGGGGGGATCCAACTCCCCAGAAGCGGGTCACATTGTTTCTTGGAGAGGTGTGGGTTGTTTTGCAGCGCGTGCAAGCAGTAGGGTGGCATAACTTTGCGATCAACCACAAATGTCCTCGAGAGGGAGCTGATAAATCCGGTAGCCAGAGACCTTCCACTTCACACCTGACAACTGAACTGAGCAGAGACAATACTTTGGAGGTTGATGCTCCTCTCCTTTTGCTGAATCTGCAATATCAATATGTTCATCTCTGTCCATCTCTAGGCACAGACAAAAGAGTCGAACTTCGTCTCTTATATGTACTACTGGATGAGTGGCTTGGATGAGAGGCTTGCAAGTATCCATATGAATTTCATCGTCCAGGAGGAAAGGTCATCCATTCCATCGAGTCCTCCAAATTATTTAGGCCTGTTCCTCCTAGCTTACTTCATCTCTTTGAGTTCCCTCATGAGTTTTTCGGGCCAAATAACAAGCCCAAGAGCTAGTAGTTGTATGGCCAATTCAGGCCCAGTCAAGCCTAGCCAACTCATCCCTAACAGGTCTAACGATCTTCTCTAGATAAATTCTTTTTCATACACCCAATGAAAACATTTCATTCATTTAGCTGAAAATCATACATTTTGGCTTGTTTGACAAAAGCAAATCACAAAAAAATCATGTACGCGTGTTATGATTCTCATACAATGTCTGTCAAATTTAAATGTCAGTCAAATTTTCAAACTTTGTCAAATGAAGAAATAAAAGCATTTCTCATATGTTTCCTTTAACAAATAAAAATTCGCAGGTTTAATTCAGCAAATACTTACAGATGTTTGAGTGACTCAAGGCCTTCAAATAATCCCTCAGTGAGCGTGTTTAAGGGAAGGCCGGTCAAATTGCTTGAAGCAAATGGACATTGAAGGTAGTGTGTTAATCCAAATTGACAAGAATGTAGCTACATAGTCATCATCACAAGTTTTAACTTGATACCACTAATGTATACGACATACCAGTACCGCTCCTGTAACCAAACATCAAGGATTTTGTGCTGCAGTAACGTGAAAAAGTGAATCCGTCCGAATTTGTCTGCATGACCTATGTTTAGTTTCGCAAACAGGTGAAGTTTCAAGGGCCACCGATGGGTGCATATCATCTTTAAAAGGGGGACATTGAACGCCGATGAACTACGGCTTATGCATACGTGCAGTTGTGCACCTTTGGGGTGGGGTACTCGGGGTCACGAACCTTCACTCTAGGGAATAGCTCCTGGGATTACGTCACTGCTGGGGTTAACCTTACCCTATACCATGGAAACTACAAGTGTTACGAATCAGATAGCACTTCAGGTCACAGAGGGGCGACAAAGTAGAAAATTATTTTGCTTGGTCAATGAAAAAAGTCATGATTACTTACAGATGAGAAAGTACACTGAGGCCAATGAAGGCCCCTGGGTCAATAAGCGATACAGGATTTCCAGTTAGGTTTCTGTAAAGGAAAGGATATTCATAGATGTAACATTTTAAATTAAGTTCCATTCAATAAGTGATTAATTTGTAACCCTTCATTCTATGCCAGGGTGGCAGAACTGAAAACGTCGCCCATTAGAAAATTAGCTAGGGAAAATACAAGGTGCTTGAAAAGCCTATTCCGCCATTATGTTGCACTGTTGGCCGATTCCTTCAGGGTTTTGCCCAAACGTGCAAGAAATAAATTATTCTGAAGAGGCGAACTTTTATCATATTGAACCAGATTGCAAATTCATTTCAAGCGTTGTTGTCACTCTTGACGTAATGACACCTGTTTACAAAGTTATCATGTACTGCCTTTAGACACATCATGTATGAGAGACAGGATGGTTATACTTACAAGAATACAAGACGCCTTAGGCCGTGAAAAGTTAGTCGCCTCAAATGTGTGATCTGATTGAATGCCAGTGATCTACCGATTAAGAGATATCACCAATTACATCAAATGTGACGTATTGGCGTCGTGATGATTAACTGAGAGATATACTTAAATTTACAAAGGAGGAGTTATTTTATAAAGCCTCGACCTGGACCAAGAGAAAGGAACAAAAGGAAAAATCCCAACCAGTGTGGCTCTTTTATTGCTCTCTTCTTTTCAACCGTTGAGGGTGCGCTTATGCTCGGGGCTGATAATAAGCTTTCTGTTTCTATGCACGATTGCCCCCACACACACACACGTCTTTACGTTCTACAGCTATGTGGACATTTCCTTTTTCGTGATTGGCTATAAATTCAGTGAAATTGTTCACATTTCTTGAGCTGCATTTACTATTTTGACTTAAAACTTGATTTTGGTGACGGTTTATTTAAATCCACGTCGTGCTTTTTCTACGAACAATCCTAACTTCGAAATGCCTCTAAACCTCCTTCCGCGGAGAGCGAAACCTAGTCTGGACTTGGCTTTATGTACTGCACCCGAGATTTACTCAATCTGCACGCACAACGATGGCAAGGTTGGCGAACATTCGTTTGTAGGCACCTTATTGACGCCTATATCGACCAAAGCTTTTGTAGTGTTGAGCTTTAGACAATGTTGATTTTCGTACCTGTATATGCCTCCCTGGCCAAGTGTGGCCTGGGTAACATATACAGAGTGACAAATCTCAAAAGATGTTGTTGGGTAAACAAAGGACCGCAGGCGACATACACTTACAGTGGTCATAATCCTGGCTGTACATCAAACTCGAGACGCGCTACTAAAACTTCCCCTACCCCGTTCGACGTCCCTACTTCCCGATCTCCATCGCTTGATATGCAAATGATGAATATTAATGAGTGCCACAGTGAGAGTAATTGCATGGGGTGACAGATGAAATGGTCTGCATGTTCCACGACGCGACGCCGAGTGGAATAGACCGTTTCATCTGTCACCGAATGTAATCAGTTTTACCCTTTCACGAATGCGGAAATATTCATTATTTATTTTATATAACACCTATAAAAATCCTCGTCATCTGATTTTCTGAGTGCAGCTGGATTGATTAACTGATCCAAACTGCAAGTGGTCCAGTTGTGAATCATTTATTTCTTTCGATACGATATTCTGAACTCTTTTAAATCGTTTGGCAGCATTTTATGTTTCCTTATGTTAGCGGCATTAGCATTACTTACAAAAATATTTCGTGAAATTGTGAACGGCGGAGCTTGATCACTCGTCATTTTGCCACAAAGAAGCTTGCACCACTAGAACCTGCTGTGCGATTTATCCAGAGGTGGTCGTTATTTGTTTCTGACGCACAATTTATAAATGTTTCTGCTCTCTGGGTGCAAGTCGCACAAGCGTCGTGGGTGTGATGGTACAAAAAATTCAATGTCATGTAATCAGCGATCCACCTATCGGTTGACGGGGATTTATGTATTACTGTATAATAATGGTGTAGGTGAACTACTGCCCAATCAGATTAATGGTGCTCTACTTTTAATGAGAATCGTAAATTTTACATATTTAACAATACTGAAAAGAAAAAACTTTTTACTACAAACTGTGCCACATTTTTCCAAACTTGCCAAACTTGTAATATTTCCACAGGAAGCTCCTGTGCTTGTTGTTATCGCAAGGAATTGCGTTACCGCAAATGGTACCCTAGGATACTTACAATTTCAACAAATTCGATGACTTGTTGAAAAGGCCGCCCGGTATTTCTTTTATGCCATTACATGGAAGGTATCTGGAAGAAAATGTTTCGACAGATTGTGATTTTTCGTGGTATTAATGTCCACGAATCGGAGGGGTGTGAAGGTGAAAAGCCCATGTCAATTTCATTTCGATATGTGCTTAGTTGGTGACATGTGCATAGTAGGTAATTCAATGGCGAAGATGAGTGTTTGGATTAACTGATTATGTCAAAAACTAACTTACAGTAACGCCAAATAAGGGAAATCTCCTGGAGCAAAGTGCAGCACTGTGTCTGGTGCTCCTAACTCTTCATGATGTCGGAGCGATGTCAATTTGCTGGAAAAGTGCAATTACAATCAAGCTTATACATGTATAACGCTACTACTACATGCATTCACTACCTTGTTTATAACAATTACATTAGGCCTAATGAGGCATCACTTGTAATTGTACAATTATTGTGATGTTAAGTGCATTGAGATTTGCAAAAAAGCGAATTGTTGAGGATGATACAACATTATAAGAGGTGAAACCAATTCGACAGTTCGTCAAGCATTGAACGGAAACTTCCAGTCCTTTCATTCTCCAGTTTACCAGCTGGGCGTACATTGACCTGCACGTTTCTCACTCTTTTAATATCATACGAAATCGGCTATTCACAAGCAAAGCTTGCTAAAACACTTTGCAACTTTCCTCCGAACTGCCATTTTGTACCAGGCCTGCTGGTGTACTATTTTGAAGTATCATGATTCATCAAAATTTGTCAACATGACAAAATCATAATGTCTTTACAAGTTGAACAACTACGAAGCAGAATTAGAGTCAAAAAGATCAGAACATGTTTTCTGAGAAATGTAATGTTTTTTTAAAAATCGAATTTTTAAAAAAATCTTTAATGTTTTTAAAACAGACCGTACTTTGAATTTTTGATTTCATTTTCCAAAACCGAATGAAATCTTTCGTACCTAATATAACGTTTTTGGATGAAATCTTTTAGTTATGACATGTTTTTAAGATACGAATAAACCTTTTTGGACCTAATACGTTTTTAAGATTCGAGTAAATTTTCCAGACCTAACATATTTTGAAGATTCGAATGAAATTTTTCACACCTAACATGTTTATCTGACTTCGGATGAAAGGCAGGTGCAGAACTCACCTGCAATCTGTAGCGAGGGGCTGATCTTATTTTTTTTTTTACATTTTGACCCATTTCAGGATCCTTTTTGTTGATGAAATGTAAAAGAAGTTGTAGTAAAAGAATGCTGTTCAGTTTCAATGTCGTCATTCTGCAGGCCTTTCCAAATGACTATGTATTTAAGGATATTCAGAGGCATAAGTGTGGCAAATGTGGGCTCAATACGGCCGAGTGACGAATAAAGTCAATCACACAAGTTTGGCACATGCCTACACATTTGAAGCAAGATATGGGACGGCGAGAACCCCACCGCCTCTGTGTTCGTCATTGTTTGATCGGAATCAGTCTACAGTGTGTATAGGGATTGGGCAGGTGAGGGGGGTACCCCACCGTCCCACATCTTGCCTGGTATATGCTTACATGAGTCTGGCTTGGGTCGGCAACAAAGCAGCAACTGATTTAGACCAACTTACACCATCACATTTCAATGAATATCCCCGACATTTGCAACCGTCTGGGCAGGTCATATCTGCGTAGACAAAAAGAGATTATGCTTTGGCCTGCTTACTTACAGTAACTTGGATTTGGTTTTTAATATGATACAGGTTAAGTCCAATAATTTTAAAGTCTTCCAACCTTCTAAAGATCAAAAAGCAACAAACAAAACCAAAAATTATATCAGGAAAAAACTTGTAAAGATCTTCAGGCCTTAACGTTATTTGTTTCATCATTTACTGCAGATATTTTCCTTCAACTTATTTTAGATTATCTTGCAGTACTTGTAGATGAATAAATTTTTATAGTAACAGAGCAAGGATGTGACCCTACTTTCAAGCATTTTGCAGCAAAACTGACAGTGTCACTTGGGACCAACTACCTGTATTTTCTATAAAGTACAGATCACCATGTTCCCCTTTGTTGTTTCCTTCTTCAAATTGCAATGCTACGTGAAAACTAAAGTGACACTGACGTACCACAGTAGAATTCGTCATCGCCGTTTGGACACTGAGGAATATCGTCACAAAGCTCATCTGGCGAAACACAATAACGGGCACCATGGCAACGGTATGCTCCTGGACACTGAAATTCATCTGAAATTAACAATAACCTTCTACTGAATGTGAGATTACGAAGCAATCCAATTAGAAACTACAAATTATTCACTGAGCAGGGCACGTATGTTCACTCACATGCCTTCCTGCACCACTTAGTTAAGATCGTATGCGCACTTGATCACTTGACTGTGGATATCGAGGCAGCTAGGACAGTGTTCCGACACTTACCTCGGCGGATGGAGACCATAATTTATTTTTCAAGAATTACAAATAAATAAAGTTCACGGAGATTACCCGATAACCGAAAATATTGGACAACATTAGACCATCCTATTACACGAACACAGTTGCACAGAGTTTGAAACAGATTCTGAAAAAGTGATTAAAAATAAACGTAATCAGATTGGAAAAAAATATGCCGGCGGTCTTTCCCATTTGCAGACCACTTCTTCAGCTTATCCAAACAGACGAAACAAAGTGCTGTGTGTATTAAGACCCGATAAAAAACATCGGTGGAATTTTCAAGTTATTGCAAATTGAATATTATGCATCCGAATCGTTTGTCCGATAGTAATGCATGACGATGTACATTAGCATTGCTGGAGTACAAGTACATGAACGTGCACGTGTGCACACATAAATCATGGCCGACAATGACAGACAGCCAAAGTTGAAATTGATAAAACTAATGAGACACAATTTGCCATTGCTTAATTTACTTAATTTAATTTAAACCCCTGGGAAGAAGGATATGGTCTGAAGCGTCAAACACAATTTACATGGTGTCCTTTTTCAAACACTCTTTCATTTACCAAAATATGAAGCATGTGAGGGAAAATTGGAAAAAAGTTCAAACTTTTGATTTTAAAGAACCCTTTTAACGTTCGGAAATGTAACATGCACAGATATCTTTCACCCCATTTTCACCGAAATGTCTCTAATGATTGACAAAAAGCCCATCACAAATCAAATCTGAAACTGGATTATATTTCTCGGGTATAAATTCAGCAAACTGACACACAATGCGGATCTCCGTGGATGGATTTTGGTGTGCAGCAAAATAGCCATGCTCTAACTGTGATGCTAATATATTATTGTACGATACAATACAGTAGTCAAACTGATAAGTGAGGCTTCTTCGAGCCTTCTACATGCAAAGTTTCATGACGCTGATGACTAGCCTGACTTATCAGTTTGCCTACTCCTAATTTACACGTTAAACATTGCAAGAACATCAATAATCCTTAATTATCACTAAAACCAAACAGTCATTGCAATCAATGATCCCTTAGCCGGCTTACCACAACGCAGTTCATCTTCTCCCTTCGGACAGTTCAATTCACCATCACAACGCATGCGCAGTGGGATGCAATACGATGATGGACATTTCAAAGTCCATGCAGGACACACGTACGACTCTATTAAAATTTACAAAATTTACGAAATATTGAAAAAAAAAACAGCTCAATCGGATGTACGGATCTGTGGGGTGAGTGTATGTGACTGCCGTTTTCCATGTCTAAACCTTGAAGTTGTTATTATTCATGATATGAAACAAGTATAGGTTGATCGAATCATCTTCAACTGTACAAAAATGTAATTGTAACGAAATCATTTTCCACTGCAAAGACTGGATGTATTCAATTCTAAACTGATACCCAATTTATATTAATATCAACGAAAAATAAATTCACCACAAAAGCGCAGGTGGGTGACGTCACGGCATCCGATCTGTAGATCATACTCGTCAAAGTCATACAGGCAAATTGTTGACTTGTTTGCGCATACGCCGTTGGTACACTCGAGTTGGTAGTCACTGTCACATTGATATGCTGAGTAAATTAAAGAAACATTTTATGGCTTAAAAACTAATTTGAAGTAGTACAAAGGTAAGTTTATCATGTTTTGTAAAATAACACTCTACTCTCATAATGTTCAACCAGATGATGCTTTGGGCTCCAAATTTTCTTCGCTAAATCGTGAGAGAAAATTTCCATGTCTATTATGGCAGTACAGTATTTTCTCTTCAACATCCGTTCCTGTTTGAAGCCTTTATTGGTCTGAAGTTTTTAGAGCTAGGGTAAGACACACAAGTGCCCCGACCTCAGTTGAATACTGGCCGCGCTCCATGTTTGGTAGCCAGGTGACAGTTAAGGAACGTCAACTGGTGTTTGGTGTTTATTCCATGATCTCAGAGGAGGGTGGAGTCATCCAAAATTTGCTGGTGTGCTTATGTCTACTCTGCCTGCCATTTCTCCGGTCTAGCATCAGTGATTCCCTGTCGCATCTCTCAACAGCAGATCTCAGCGTGTTCGTACTTGGTATCTCCCAGCAAATTTGTCTTGCAACGAAGTGCAAGCTTGTCACGGAAGCAAAGCTTAACAGGCCATTTTCGACAGCTGTTTGTAAAAGCTGCGTATCTGTGATTTGTTACAGCACTGCAAAACGGAATTTTTGTTGCATTTCACCCGTTTACACCATCCAAATTTTAACTTGATAGAAACCCAATTCTCGCGCCACGTGTACGCGTCAAGGCCTTGATTTAAATGATAGTATTTATTTACTAACTGCGTTCGAGTATACAGCTCTGTCGGGGAGATATGAACTAAATTCCTTAACCGGCCGTCGGATGAGCTCCAACACCCCATTCGGGGATGTCTAGTCAGTGGCGGCATGTTGACTCGAACAAGAACAAGACAAGTCACGCTCGAAGGGGGATACCATGTTTTTGCATTGCGACCAGTGTCTGTACGAATGTTGCCCTAAAAGACTCCTGACGACTCTTTGCATTCAGAGTAGCAGTATTTACATTTCCAAATTTGGTAGTAGCTGTCTGAGATTTCTAATTTTAACAGTTAATATTGCCCGAGTTTTTCAAGACAACCTATCAGGATTTTCTTGCTAAGGTGCCAATTAGGGAAGACAATGGTCGCATTGAAAGTCAATTACATTCAAATTGTATGCCAAATTGTAAGCGCAATTGATAATCCTTGAGGAAATTTGGTACTGCAAGGTCTGGTGTTTTGTGTGCACAACATCAATGCAACACGGAGGCGTTCACTTGGCATAGACATCACAATTTTACTAATGAATTTGGAGGTTACGCGGTAGGAAAACCATGCATTACACGGACCCTTCAAACACTTCTGTATTGGTTTGTGGTTTTGTACTAATGATAGCCACTATTTTTTATCTCATTATCTTCTAGATTACTGTCCTTCGACGTTTGCCAACATAAATACTAAAAGAACCTTTTTAATAAGTTTTTGGTTATCCCGCATGTAGTAACTAAATATTCACCCGTTTCAACACAGCAGGCATAAACATTGACCCTGGTAACTCACAGCATTCTGCTGGTTCATCTTCCCACCGGGTACCAGGACAGTCCTTGAAGCCGTCACATACTGTACTCGTGGACAAGCACGTACCATCGTAGCACTGAAAACCAGCGTTGCATATATCTAGACCAATAGGGAAAGTATTTAATACAGAACCATTTTTTTTCACAAAATAACCTAAATAGATGGTGAAGAAAAATAGCCTAAATCGAGATTCGCACCCATGACAGAGAATAAATTACCCCACTGGTTGAGTTTCAGATCACATCAGGGATTGAATGCACCGTTTAAATACGTTCTTTGCTGAAATGATAAAATTATGACTGTCATCAGCGAAGATAGCTCGGCAAGCAGAATAGATGGTCAAACAAGGTAGTGCTTGTCTTTGCCACCCAGTGGCTTAAATGTTCGTCATATCCAATAAACATCTCACCGCAGCGTGATTCATCCGATTCATCTTTACAGTCGTAAATCAGATCACATCGCTTGCTGTTGTTGATGCACTGGCCGTTATCGCACATGTATTCTTCCTCTCGGCATGCTGGATAATCTGAAAATAAGTAAACGGGTCACCATAACATCTCTTGATCCTCCGACTTTCTACTTCGGCCCTTCAACAGAAAAGAGATGGTTACATGGTCAATTCTCACTTTCACATACCAGGAGCAGCCTTAGAAAATTATAACAAATGTCCATAATTAAGTGTAAGCTTCTAAAGGAAAGGTGTGCATGTACAGCGTAAACTTGACGTTAGTTACGTCTTGGCAATGTTTAGACTATAACTTTGTGCAAACATGTTTTACCCAGGGCGGATCGACCTACCACACTGTAGAAGCATAAGGTCTTAATGGGTACTGGAAACAGGTGTTTCAAAACAGCTTTGTGGCATTATACTGTGAAAAAGAATACAACACATGCACCAATTTATTCCATCGCCTGTCCATGTTGAAGAGAAGCAACCCCTCGCCGGCAAAGAGGTGACAGCCAACCGCCAAACTGGAATGCAGCACACACTGAAGACCATCAATTTCTACAAAAGCTGTCACTTACGCGGAACCAACTCACGCATTAATCTGTGCGCACAGGTTGGTGTTTTACGAACGCAATAGAGCATCGTCCATGTGTAAATATACATCATTTTTGGGTTCCTGCAGGGAGCAGGTAGGGCGAAGTTCACGTACAGAATTTTCTTACCACAGTCCACCTCGTCAGAACCGTCGGCGCAGTGGATGGCATAGTCGCAGTAGAAAGACAGAGAGATGCGTTCGCCAGTGGTTGAACACACAAAGACATCACCAGACACATCTTCTTCCACCTGATTGATTCGGTCATGTGAATACGGAGTGTGGCCAATTGATTGGTCACCTGAGAGACTTTGACATCCGTGCTGCAGTTGTACGCATTCCCCGTTGTCACAGCGTTTCAGGATTTCCTTACACTTGCTCTGTGTGTCTGATAGAGTGGAATGGGATGAAGTACGCAAATGACACATTGCTTAATTTTTTATTTAAGTAATACCTAAATTTACTGCACTGGATTTGACCAACCTTTTCGAAGTATGGGTGACTTCTTATTTTTCCCCGTGGTAATATCTAACAGAAATTATGAAAATAATAATTTATTATTCTTGGCATTGACCTTCACTATTTCCGTAATGTAAGTCTTTGTATTACCTTCATGAGTTATACCCATGACGCCATCTTCTGTCAAAGGGGGAGAGCGCATTGGCGATGTCGATTCTAAAGACAATGGATAGAAAGTCAATAATGAAGTTTGGTGTTTGCTTCTTCAAAGATGACTTGTGAAAATTTTGGGCTCCTTGTAACCATGAGACTGATCAGGAAATTTTGCAACTGAAGATGATGAAGTGACCCTGATGAACATACCTAGAGACTCAGCTGGCCTCTTGCATATGAACTGCCGTGCATCCTTTGAGGCGCATGGGACGTCGTGCCAGTTTGCCGTAGAGTGCATGCTGTGTAAGGCGATCATTGTGCAGTCTTCCAGAACATCCCCGTCCGGCTGCGGCCGATTGCTTCGAGAAAGCACGTTCAAGAAGGTGGTATTAAAATAGACAAAAGGTTTTTCAGCCTAATATAGTTCTATCGAGGGTGATGAGTGACAGGCAGAAAGTCTATCAAATTCCGACCACCGGAAGTGGATTTTTTTGGGGGCCACTTCAAGATGGCCGCCCCGGTAAAGGAAAATTACTGAAATGGTCATAACTTTCTTAATGTACAATGTATAAATTTAGTATCAGTATCTACTATAGGATTTTCAAGGTCTACAAATTTTACTGGTGATGATAAAATTACAGAATCTCCATTTTTCAACAATTTTTATTCCATCAGACTCGTATTTGTGCACATGAACAGTTACAACATTGCTTTCTTCACGATCATAATGGAAATGCAAAAGAGTAAAGCAATTATAAACCCAACATCAATAACATACCAGGCTAATTAATAACAGTGCCTTGCATGGAATCAGACAGGCGTATAGTGCATTGTTGTTTGAAGCAGTAGGTATGTTGCTTCACTACTAGTTTATTGGATATTAAAACTGAAAAACTAACAAGTAAATGAGACATCGGCGAAACGCTGACCTTCATGACACCTAAAAGAATGCCGTGAGCACCATGCATGGAAACTTACTCGGAAGTCCAAGCCCAAAGGTACACATGCCAATGTACGCACTGTTGGGGCTTCGGGGATGAGTAGGAACAAATAAGACAACCAGTCAAGACAAATCCATTTCTTATCAATCTTGCATGCATCATTCCACTCTGTGTTATTAGGCAAAGTGGCTTGCCTGCCTAGTGACAAATCCAATTCGTAGCAATTCTTGCATGCATCATTCCAGACACATTAGACTGTATTATTAGGCAAAGTGGCTTGCCTTCCTGGTGTAACAAGATTCAACAGGTCAACTCTGCCCAAAGCCAAACAGCCATGGGGTCTGCGGTTGCCAGTCACCCGCAAGATCCAAGAATCGTACAAAGAAACCAGCTGGCATTGTCTCAATGTGGGCAATAATTACCGTGTGCAGCTATTGTGCACCAGACTTGAACTTGGTGTACTCTGCTGAAGAGCTTGGTTAACATGGACAACTAAAATCCTTGTTTAGGACAACAATAGCCCTACCAGTCTCCAATCCTCCAATGTCAATGATTTTACATACATGCTAGGGGGCTAGGGTTGAAGACAATTCTTCCTTACCTTTTAAAACCTTATCTCAACGAATGACAACAAGTTTTTGAGAACACACTTGCTCATCTTACCTGAATATCTGTGGTGTGGTAAAGTTAGACTAGTTCAAAGTCTACGGATAGTAACTTGAAGCTCTTAGCGTGATTGAACAGCCCTTGAATTCGTCACAGTGTTTGAGTCAATTTGAAAATACTGGAGGGCCAGGATTGGATACTTGGCAATCACAGTTCAGATATAGGAAGAAAAAACCATTAGATCTAATGCAGATGGAAAGCAAACAATGGGTCATTTTACATTAAGAAATTTATAACTATTAAAGTGACTTGCTAGTACAGGGGCGGCCATCTTGTTATTGACCGCAATTAAACTTCTTGTTGTTCTTACAGGTCATCACTCTTCAATTTTATCATCACCAGTGAATTTCTGGACTCTGTAAACCCTATAGTAGTTGTTGAAAGTACATGTGTATATTTCTTATTACGATGAAACAACAGTTTTAGTGATTTTCCAGTAACAGGGCAGCCATTTGGAAATTGACCCAAATGAAACTTATGGTTCTTTGTAAAAGTCAATATGTAATTTTATCATCACCAGAGAATTTGTTGAGCCTGAAAAATCCTGGGGTAGACATTGAAAGTAGAGGTGTACGTTGAATATTAAGAGAGTTAATTGTGACCATTAAAATGACTTTCTAATAGGCCTACAGAGGCAGTCATTTTGAAATTGACCCAAATGAAACTTATGGTTGTTTGTATAGGTCAGTATTTTATTTCATCATCACCAGTGAATTTTGGACCCTGAAAACCCTATAGTAGACACTGAAACTAAATTCACACATTGCATATTAAGAAAGTAATGACCATTTTAGTGATTTTCCAGTATCGGGGCGGCCATCTTGAAATGGCCCTCCCAAAAAACTCACTTCCAGTGGTCAGAATTTGATAGACTTTCTGCCTGTCACTCATCACATCAAGTAGAGCTGAAATCTGTTGAAAAACCTTTTGTTAGAATTTGTTGGGTTGGGATACTTTTTCACTTAAATCTACTCGTCTAAAATTTTTAAAATGCTCTTGAAAAACAGCATAGTCGTCAGTTTTGGTCATTTTGGAATTGATGGAGCACACTCTCGATATTCATTAAGCAAAGGCCCTGTCACACCTTGACGATTTAGCCAGCGTACGCTGACGAATGAACAATTTTGTGAGTACGCTTGCGTACGTCGAATAAGTTATTGGTATGTTTTGTACAAATTACGAGCATGCTGAAGCACGCTGGTGTACGTCGTAGTACGGCGAGGTCTTTTAAAAATTTTCTGCATGCATAAAAATTCGACTCATGCCAGCGTATAGCTCATGCGTCCCGCATACACGGGCCATAAGTTGTAGGTAAACTATGGGATCGTTGGCACACGTCTGCACCTTACTTTAAGTCCAAATACGTGTAACTTATCTCTCAAAACAAGATTTAACTGGTTAGAAGTGTGACTCACCCATTTGGAATGTACCAATCTGCATAGCTCAAGGGATAGCCATCCTTCCACCGGAATACGCCCCGGTGAAATACCTCAGTCAACCCTGAAAAATGCAACAGTAGGGATAGAGAAAGAAATCTGGACCTCAGGGTACATTTGTTCGATCCCACGACAATCCTTGTGCTAATTTCTATGGCTGAAATTATGTACGTTAGGTCTTGGGGGGCAACTAGATGTAAAAACAACAATGGCACCAAAGACTTTTGCATGTATAACGTAAGTGGTAAATAACCTCAAAAGTAGCTGCTATACTATTTGCTCATTTGAAAAGTAAATAGTCACAGGAAACAAACCTGTTCAAATAAACAAATTCTTCAAGAAAACTGAAAAAACGGTTCATTCTCTCTACCTAACATCAGACTTTTGCATTGAGTGTTTACTGTAATTTACTAGAAAGAGACTTCCTTACATAACTTACCAATGTAAGTATTGAATTGGGGCGAAAACCACTTGGACGTCAGCATACCGTGGATGAAATTGACTTCGTTGATATCTCTGATGCTTACTAAGTTAGCCTGCGCCTCTTGACACGTGATCTGTGCGTCAGTCCATCTAAGATTCTCCGTCAGATTAAAAAACTTATAACAATTGGCGTCGTACAAATCCCATTCTTCTGAACACAGGTAACCTGATGTGTTAAATAATAAAAACAAAAAGTCAAAATACTGAGTTCAATCTACCGAAAAAGGTCAAAGCATTAGAACTGCGTCATCCTTACACATTTTGGGGGCGTCAAGCACGTTGAATAATGATCACGTGGGCTAATAAATAATGATTTGGGCTTAAACACAGACAGATGTTTGCATCAAGTCGTACAAAAAAGAGCTGAGAAAAGGCTTGGAAAAACAAACAAGAGCTAACATTTGGCCAACAAATCCCACGGAATCGGAGACAGTGGACTTTTAAAAGTAAGAACTTGATTGATTTTTTGCCGTGATTTATCACTTATTTTGTCTGAGTAAAATCTGGGTATTGTACACGAGCGATTCACAATACTGCGCCCAAAGAGTCTCTAACGCGTTGTCGAACCTTTCCTAACGCGCATTGGATCGACAGATTTCGCGCATTGTGATTGGCCAACGCGTTGCAAAGTCTTGGTGGCGCACTGTTGTGAATTGGCCACTGCACTCCATTAATATATTCCGACATTTAAAAACTGTTTAAGGGCACGTTATCCTAGTCTAAAATGCTCAGAAAAATTCAACGTGGAGTTCAACTTTGGCCTTTGGGGTAGTAACAGAGGAAATGTACCTCGATTTGACGAAGAATTACCCAACAAGGGGGAAGTGAAACGTAAGGTTTGGTACACAGCGTAGAATCTAGCATTTCCCCGTGTCGGACATTCCACCGTCCTGTCCAATCTGAAGCTCAAGGCGATGCTGTTCCTGCTGGAATAGATCCTTTCTCGAGGGACGGCATTGTTACAAAACCTGCCGAGCTCAGTACCATTAGCTTCAGCGGCCGGACCGTCGAAAACGGCCAGGTAGTTGAACTCGCAGCCATGCTTCGACGGCACGCTGAAATTGTGGAAGACAAGCTCGATGTATGTGGCTGGCGAGGTGGTGATCTGCCACGTGTAGCGGGTATTTGGGAGAGAGTAGCTCGGATAGCCGGGGCTTGCAATAACAGCCGAGTCAAAGTTGCACCGAATCTGTTCTGAGTCGTTGTGAGATCCCACGCTACATCCAGGAAGATCTGCAATGATGATTTAAAAGAGAGCTTCAGTGAGTTTTTACACCTGCGAGTTTTTCTACCAATAATAGTGGTACATGTACTCATCTTTTAAGACACGAGTTTTAGTCAATCCACAACTTACTGCTGTATCATGTTTGATTTTCGCATCTTAGTACATGTACTCTTGCATGGTTTCAATAAAGAAAATAAGTGCTTAATAAGTCTTTTGCACATTCAAAACTCCAGGTCACAAATAAATTTAGAAACCCAGCTTGTCAGAGTATTTCTTGGGCTTGGAAGAAACTCGAGGAGTTTACCATAATGTATGTTATTTTTTCACGCGCCAGTGTTGTATTGGAGACCAACATGACAACAAAACCCCCCAAGGTCTACACAACCATCGCTTCATATTTAAAAAGAATGCCGTCAAATGAACTGCAGTGTGGACGCATTTATTCCATCGATCAATTAAGTACTTTTGAGTGACACCGAGTCTGGTCATGTGATGGTTTCTACTACAATACACATCCCACATTTTTTTTTCATGCATGTTACCCACCAGTGGCGCAACCAGCAGATGGGGGAAGGGGTAATGTGCCCCGTTACGTTTTTTCTAATCAGATATTGATCCAAGATATTAAATTTATCAAATATTACACCAAAACCCTAAAACACACCACAAAATAACAGCAGGCATATTGTAACCGTGAGTGATGAGGCTTCTGATATTATTTTCTCCCCCAACATCATGTTGAATAACAACGAAGCTGCATTTGCTTTTGAATGTACCCCCGTACCTAAAGCGGAATACGCCGTTGTATGCTCACCTGTCATCGTGAACTCAGCGCGAAAACCACGGGAAGCCGACTGGAGTCCAGTCCGGTACAACACGGATATATCTGAACTATCAGTCACAAACAGCGGCGGTGACTCTCCACAGATCCCGGGCAACAGCATCGTGGGATCATACTCCTGGTCATTGAAGATGTGGACTGCGTCCAGGCATTTGCCCTTGACGTCTTTGAGTCCCTTCACCTCGAATTCCGGGAAGGAGAGCCGGACGTACTTTCCGGGGGTCACGTGGAGATCCCACCTGCAAATGCTGAAGGGCGGCAGTTGGTTGGGGAAGTTGGGCGTGGTCAAATTCCCACTGGTGCCATTGGGGCTGGTCTTTCCAACACATCCTAAATCACAGGATCGCACACTGCAGTCTTAGGGGATGAAAGATAACAAAACAAACCACGAGGCTCGGATGAGAAGTCCCGATTTTATTTCAACACTTCTGTTGTCTCGACCTATGGTTTCCATTTTCCGTGATGATTTTTTAAATGATTGGAAAATCGGCTATTGTCACTGAAGGTGAAAAAAGGCCTGACCAAAATGATTGAGAAATAGCAACAATTACAGAAATATGGTAAAAATGGATACAATTTGTGGCTCTTAGAAGACACAATTTGCCATGTCATTTTTAAGTTAATAGAGGCTTAACAACAACCCGTCAGGCATGGATTAAAGAAGACAAATATATACTAGTAGTGTCCTAGCAAACGTACCTATCATTTCATAGAATGCAACAATTCCCAATTTCAGTGCCATTCCAGCGGTTAGTTCGCCTATTTCAAGTTCAACAAGGACATCATTTGACCTTGTGATGATCTCCAGGTCTTCCCGAGTGCCGCAGTACCGGCCCCTGACTACTTGGCCATACTTGGGGACAACATCCCTAATTATCAGGGAGTCAAGGCACTCCTCCGCCTCTTCACCATTACGCAAAGTCATATTGACAAAGGTGAACCTGAAAGCAAAAAATTGGAAATCCGCATTTTCCACGTTTGTTCTCTAAATCATTACTAGGCCTAGAGGCTGATGCCCGTATCCATTATTCTTACCCTTTGTTTCAGCGTTTTATGCATACATAATATGTAGCACAACCTCATGGAAAACGTCATCTGGGATACTTTACCGAAGCCAGTATTAAGTTTAGGAACAGAGTTCTGCGTTCAAAGTTGAGAATCTGGCAACTCGGGAAATGGATAGCTATGGAATTAGCTGAATCATTTCGAGTGTTAGCGGTATGTCATTAGGATGTGTATCATTGTCAAGTTGGCTACTGAGCTACATGGGCGCCGCGTGGGAATTGGCTCCGTAGATCAGATAAAGAAACTGGAAAGGGGGCTGGGTGAGAAAACCAAAAAGGGAAATAAGGGAATAAAAAACACCGATTCAAACAAAAACGGGTTATAATTTTGCTGAGGCTTTTGATTAGCCACTGGAAGTCACCCCAGCCATGCCTATGACTAGGGAGGATTGCAACTGGCTAGAGAATCCAAGGACAAATTCGGTACCCTGATATGGAACTCAGATCATGACAGCGAATGGGTTTGAAATGCAAAATTGGATGGTTACAACAGGTGATAAAATCACAGGATTCTCGCTAGATGGGCTAATATCTTCTTGTATACCAGGCACGAAATGGGATAGAGGTGTACCCCCCAACAAGTTCAATCCCTATCCACACTCCAGCCTACCGTCACTTAACACATCCCCTAGATGTCTGAAAAGAATACCTGAGATACCAGTATAAAAATGACCAACACAAAGGAGGGGGTGTTCTCTCTGTCCCAAAGTTTGCTAATTCACATGTGAAGGTTTTGGAACAGAAATTTGATTAAACAAAGGAGGCGTTTGGTATGGTCTGATGACAGATCGTCATTTTACCTAACAACCAGATGACTTGGCCCTTGGATGTGAACCTCAAAGCTAGAACCAGAGTTATACCAGGGTGGGAAACTCAGGCAATGAATGACGCCAAATGAAGTATTCGTTTCCAAGGTGCTGTTCCATAACATCTCTCCGCAGCGGATGTCTGTATAGGCTACAAAAGAAACACACCAATAGGAAACAATATGTTCAAACACCGCATATCGGGAAAATGGCCATAACATGCTATTATTCAATGTTGCACGAATAGCTGAGTCTCAAGCCAGTAACGAGCCTTTGAAAAAAACTGACAAAAAGCATTCGTTTTTCATTGTTCACCACTTAAATTGTCGCTTACCGTTTGCAATGAGTGCAGTTGTGAAAACTGTCGCTAAAAGACTTGTGACAGAGTCGACAACAACTCAGGCGACTAATCATTGCTCAGCTATAGATTTTTTACGATAATAATAATAAGATATTACATTACACGTCTTAGCCAAGTAGTTACATTGCTCGAGGCTATTCAATTAGCAATAACAAGAGTTAAGCAGTCAATGACTCTTTTTGATTTATCTATATACACTGGAAAACCAGTCTAGTTATTTTTAAGAGCACTCATTATGCTGCAGGTTGGACCATACTAAAGCAAGAAATTCAATAGATTTTTAATTATAGGCACACAAATAAAAAAAGACATATCTTAAATTTAAACGTGTTATCCAAACAACTAATATATTTTTCAAAAAATATCTAACAATATATCATCGAGTCATTAAATGCATACAAGTTACCTGTAAACAGGAAGGATATCATTACATTGAAACAATAGCTAGTACCTCTTACGCAAACAAACGGAAATGACTCGTTGCACTTCTCCTGGAGAGTTTCAAAGATCGAGTTGTTATCAAATCTGGCCACAAAACAGTCGTCGGTTTCATCACCAGAATATGTCCCGTTTCCAACTTTTGTCCATGCCTTGTATGACAACTAACGACGAAACAATACAAATGCAAGAAAGGTAGGTTATCCTCAGAGGTAAATATTCCGAGATGGTGTATTCTGTGTCCACAAAAGACAAAAGACAGCATTTTTACACGGACTTTTTGAACCAACCTCTCAACCAACTTTCGGTACTATCAGTATTCCAAAACAGCAACTATTTAATAACCTTTAATCGTGACATTTCTTGGATTTCAGCCACCCTGCCGACATACAAGTTGCACGTAGACTCTGCCTCCGTCCAGCTTGCGATTTGGTTTGGAAAAATAAAACACTCAGACTGGTTCCCTGCCACTACTGTCGCCTCTAGGCTTGAGTTGAGCTGGCCACAAATTTCTAGACGAAATTAAAATTGAATTCAAAGTAAAATCATGTTGAACCATGAAAATCGAACTAGCTCTGCTATTTATGTTGCTAGATTAAACTACTTTATACGAATTTCAGATACTAAAAATTCTACATAAAAACTAGACCATTGGTGACCTTTGAGACTCTATCTGCCAGCACATTGAGATTCGAAGCCAGGCATGTGGACTCCACTGAACTAAGCTTGCTGATTTTATAGTAAAGACAAAGGCACTGATAATGTTACCATGGCAGTCTTCATCTTGGTTGAAGTATCCTGCAGGGCATGTGCAGTGGTAGCCCCCTGGTATATTCTCGCAATTAAACGGGCAAATCCCATGACGGAAACATTCATTGATATCTGATGATGTAAAATACAACACGTGTGAGGATTCTTCTTGAGAACACTACAGACAGTGAAGTGAAATTCAAGCACTAATTTCTTGAGCTTCACGAGACTTGTCTTCACATTCCTTATGTATGCTTTTCACCCAGAATCCAAGGCATACTTATGTACTCAAAGTATATCTTCACTTTCAGTAGGCGGCTGAGCGCCAAAGTCTCTTTGTACATCCAGTTCGGCCAACCACTATCGATAAGAGCAGTGATTCATTATACAATGTGTTAAATTCGCAGCAGGCTTCGGGAAAACGATGAGTGCTACAACTTGTTGACGTGTTTTGACGATTTGGACATGTATAAAAATGAGGACTCTTCTCGTTATAAACGGTAAAAACACCCCACGATTAGGAACGGCATAAATCTGAGCCCTGCTTAATGACCTGCGTTCAATTTGGAGGACACATCTGCTTTTTGTGTCGGGGGAGGCAAAATCGAATGGTAATGTCTGACGTCGCGTAAAAGTTGACTATTTTTGCAAGAGTACTTGAACTAATAAGCAGCTTTTATTGGAAATAATTCACCCATAATCCACTTCTATTACCTCTCTGACATACTGCAGCATGCCGGTCGTCCTCACACTCAACCGTTCGCCATTTCAACCTACTGATATCGTCGAGCGCGACACAGAGTTCTTCCACATCGCCAAAGACGTTATCCGAACTGAAGAAGTTTTCATATGTCATAGGGGTGCCGTCCAACCAACAGAACAGCAGATTGGCCGAGTCGTTGTTCGTCCTTGCCCGCAGGCCAATGAGGTACTCCGATGCATGTTGGATGCGGAGTGACTTGAAATTGTTCTCAACAAAATTCTGTGTCGTATTGGAGGTGATCTTGAGAAGTTCAGCACCTTGCGCAAAGATGGCATCGCACGCGTCAGGTTGCCTGCTTTTGACGGATCCCAGGCAAAACCCGTCGTGTTGCACTGCCCCCTCACCGCAAATCTCACCCACCTCTGACCATGATTTGAAAAGGGTGGAGCAGCATAGAAAAATACTACAACATAGACATAGAACACTAAAGCCTCGTTTTGTTGGAGATGTAGCAACTAGAAAATGTTTAACATGATTTAGAACATGATGCTCAAAGAGATATTTTCATAAAGTGATAACTGGACACAGAAGGTTTATGCACCTTCGAAACTATTTTCAACTATGAGAGTCAGTGGCGAACATTTACTTAATAAACTTTCTTTATTTCCAGTAATACTAATGAAATGGCAATATTCAATATTAATTTCTGTATCAACAGTATAAATTACTAAAGTTAAGATCTTCAGACTAATACCGCACCAGATCCGACTACCCACCTCTACTTATAAGTGAGGCCTGTGCAGCAAAATAGCCATGCTCTAACTGTGATGCTAATATATTATCGTATGATGCAATACATGCATTAAGCAAGCTTATAACTGAGGCTCGTTCGAGCCTTCTGCTTGCAAATTGTCTTGACACTGACTAGCTTCACTTATATCATTGTGGCACCATATTGCATCATACGATAATATATTAGCATCACACTTCTTGCAGGTTATTTTGCGGCAAAGGCCCGACTTATAAGTAGCGGTAGGTAGTCCGATCAGGTGCCACCATACCACTAGAACCTCGTAATTGGATACATGTAAACGAACAAAACCAGGTCAAATTTAATCAAACAGGAAACAGTCTATTACCTTCGAGAGGACAGCCAAGTACTTCGACACGCAAACAGGGAATGGCACCGTTCCAGGAATTTGGTATAAAGCGAACCTTTCTGGTTTTAAATGGTCGCTGAAAGACTGTCCGACTCTCGGTGTTGCTGTCTACATTTCCCGTTAATATCTGCAAATAAAACAGGAACGTAGACAAGGAAAAAGAACAATTTTGATTCAGTTTTTTCTAGAGTATATGCCAAGGAGAGCCTTTGCCACATACAACATCAGATCCTCCTGAAGAAATCCTTTTCACTGGCAGATTTTTTATATGCATTTTGCAGTTGTCAAGCTGCACCCTGATATATCTCTATGATTGACGTTAATATTCAAATGAAGGCAGTATGGATTGAAATGTTGACACTAAGCCCCTTTTTCACTTTGAAGGATACTGGACTACAAAACCGAGTTTTTTCCCAGAGAACGGCTGTGAAAGAATCGTCGAAACTCAAAGAAATAATCAAACTGACAAAGATAAAAAAAAAATAAAATTGGTCAAAAGTATTACTGCTTCTTGGGTGAAGGCATTGGACGAGAGAGGCCATTTTGCAACATTTGGCAAGAGGACGTCGCATATTGCCAGATGCAGATCATGATCAACCGAATTGAAATTATAGACCTACCGCGTTTGCTCCGTCCAAGTTCTTGTAGTACCGCCATGAGTCGCATGATTTCAGTGATTCATATTTGATCAAGTAGGAAGTCACCCACAACTTTTTAACTTTAGGGCCAGTGCCCTGGCTGATGACTCCGGTCAAAGTGTGAATGGTCAGAAGGTCAACTTGTAACCATTCTTCGGCCTGCTCAAGTGTGGGTCGCCAGCAAATGGGTGTCTGGATCTCGTCGCTAGACAAATGTAGACGTGCCAACTGAGGCATGTAGTGCAGATAAAAGGAAGAGGACGACAGCTGGCCATCGGCGATCTGACCAGACTCCATGCCAAGACGTTTATTACAAACTATGAAAACAAGAAAATCTATCAGGAATTATCAAACGTCACTCAACTTATTAATAAAAGCAATAGTTGCCTGGGCCGCTTTTTGGTTTCAGGCCAAGAAGCCTGCATATTCCGCCTTGAGTGAGTCCAAGAGAAGGCGTAAATTCTACAGCAACAAAGGTTTCCTTGGTGGGAACTGCACCTAGCTGATTGCCCATCAAAATCGTTCTAACCGATGAGAGGGTGCTCCCCTTCAAAGCGATTGAAATCAATTGAAAAAAGAAATCAAGTCTTTTTTTCCCACATTTAGTGTCTGTTTCTCCCAAACACAACTTCTTTAGTCATCAAGATGTTAAACTGAGTGATGTATGGAAGCAGGGGGCTCTACTTCCTCATTCCTCTGCAAATTGAAACTAGCTTTGACCGGAATTTTGTGACAAACCAACCAACCAACCGGGAATTATGAAGTGTCCAACTGTTTTGAAAGGAGAGTACCCGTAAATGTCTCCTTTCTTTGCATCGCACAGCAAATATAATACTGTGAGCTTATCGACCTTATTCACGTGAATGCCATTTTTTATCTTGTTTATATAGTGCAAACTGTCGATTAGGATGGCACCAGATTGTCTCATGCTTCAGTGCGTCCCAAGCCTCCCTTTCAAGATTTTCTAAATCTGGTTTAAAACACCGAGGTATATATTTGTGTTAAATCATGAGTTTGAAATTTCTCATCTGAGTAGACAGTTGCAAATTTGTCGTGAAATTTCATTTTCTTGCTTCATTTCTCCTCTCAACATTCAACAATGAAGTATGGCCGGCCCCATGATAAAAGTCTAAATGGTCGACAATGAGTGCTGATCCTTGGTATTATTTGGTTACGAAATGCAAAATACTAACTGTTGCGAATGCATCCAAGGAAGTCTGCACGTAGACAGATGCGTCCATTCCATGCTGTTGGGTAGATATACACAGCCTGCATGACTAGACTCTGTTCAAGGCAGTTTTGCACAAGATTATCTCCGTCGCGATTCGCTTGAAACGTCTGTAATGATGATAATAATTTGGAACTGATAAAGAAACTCAATTGACTAGTTTTAGTTACTTCAATTTTGGTCAAAATTTGGACCTTGATATACACAACGTAATGTGCAACTACCTGTTTTACATACAAAGTGTGGACATTCCTTTGTTCTCCTGTAGTTGAGGAAACTTGAGGAAAATGCTCCTCTTTCTCAACCTAGGAAATTTCCTTCGAGCTGGATTTTTGATGATGATTGCCAGGATTGCTCTTCTTCATTTTGCCACGTTAACCCTGGCCCCTACATGCCTCTGGAACTGTCTCTCAGAGAGGGCAAAACATTCTGCTGACGTGTGCAAGTCCACACAACGTAATCCTACCCTACATCATGTGGACTTCCTTTGGGGAGAAGTCCACACTATGTATGCCATGCTTGTACTGCCAATTTCTGTATTAAAAAGCCGATATCAAAAGCAGACACATAATATGTGTACCCTTATATCACCGTTGTTATCTAAGTATTTGACTGGTGTCTCTTCGTCGGTCGCATATTCCACGGTGTACGAAGTTACCCAACCTTTTCCATCTCCACATCCCTGCGTAACAATGGTATGGACCACGCGTTCCTGTTGAAAATCCACCCTCAACCACTGGTCTAGATCTGAAGTAAGGGGCATCCAGCCGGACTGATCATTTCTATCAAAGGGGTTGGGCCGCGCCTTGTGAGGTTGGTGGTCGGCGTCATAACACGACGATGCGGTGATCCGACTGTCATGCAGTGATCCATCTACCATCCCAGCAGACATATCACAGTCTACATAGTGGGGAAATTGAGGTATTAATTTTGACAATAATCTCTGCACAGTAACCATGACTTTAACGCACATTAATGCTTAATTTAATCCTATTCATTAGTGTCATCAATGATACTATGCATCAACCTTGCCAATACGTTAGCACACATTTTAACTTAACTTTGTCCCTCTGTATTTGGGTTCTGTATTTGACTTTAGAAGTGTTGGATAACGGGTGATGCAAAATTTTGATTTGGATACATTTTTGTTCAATCGCTAGAGATGTTTGTTTCACTTAAACCATGGGGCATTAAACATGGAAACCGGCCGAGCTACTGCTTATATATTGTTGCTAATTGAAATTCTGCATTCCAATGGGCAAATGAGGAATAATCTGTCGTTTACATCATGCAATCAGATCACATGACAGGATTTACCCAGGTGTTGTATGAAAATAAACTTATGTGAAGCATAATACGGTAAAAGCAGGGGTTGTCTCGTCATAAAGGGAGGTGGTAAATATTGAGAGTTCAAATGGATCAACTTTAACTTAGACACATTTTGCATACTTTGATATTGAGTTTCTATGGCCAGAAAAGCAACGTTATGAAGTGTCAATGCTATTTTTATACTATTTTTGTCCCGTTGCTTCGAATTTCGCATATTTGTCCAAATTAAAGATGGTTCATACCATTGTCAATGCAGCCAAACGCAACCACACGCATGGCAATGTGATTGTTCCACTCAGTTGGTATTATCCTGACTGCCTTGGCTCTGATTGGTGGAGTAAGGAGCACAGTCCTTGCGCAGCTGGCTTCGCTGTTGCCTCGATATTCCTGAGAGAAAAACATCACATCGGTTTACCCTGTTATTTTTTTAACAACTACAAGGAGTCCCACCCGAGTAAGCTTGTGAGGTTTTTTCGCAAGCTCTCGGACAAGCACTGAGCATACAGTGCTTATTAATATACGTTGGTTAAGGGCAAACCCGCTATATATAATTAACATCTCCCCAACGCAAAAATACATCTTGAAAATAGTTCGCGGTACCCGCTGCTTCATTTGACTCGGGCCGGCCAGCCGACCTCGGCAAACTCGGTGGTCTAGTGGTTAACACGTCTGCACTAGTAAGCAGGAGGTTGTGGGTTCGAGTCCCGACCGAATAAGCTTGTGAGGTTTTTTTGGCAAGCTCTCGGTCAAGCACTGAGCATACAGTGCTTATTAATATACGTTGGGTAAGGGCAAACCCGTTATACATAACTACAAGGAAATCAGCGCTGGGTTAAGTGTTCTTTAAGCTCCGAAGCACCGTTCCACAACATTTGAAGCAAACTATATGGGACAGAGAGAACCCCCCCCCCGCCTTTGGTTTGGTCATTATTATATTGGTATCTCAAGAATCTTTTTCAGACATCTAGGCAGATGTGTTAATTGAATGACAATAGGCTGGAGCGTGTATAGGGATTGGACTTGTTGGGGGTACCTCTTTGAACCATTTCGTGCCTGGTATATTTCACCAAGGCGTTTTCAGGGCAATTTGTGTCATCATGCGAAAGTTACAGAGTTTGTTCACTAAAATTCTGCGGAAGTTTATCGCAGCAAACAAACAAACCAAATATGTACACCTGAAACATTGACCTTGTTTCAAAATAATAATTTGTAAAGAAGCTCTTCATATGGTGCTATTCCTGTATTCAGTTGAAGGCTACACGTGTGCCACCCCGCGTGTTGTAAACACCGAAGTGGAAAAGCATACGTTTCAGCTGATCCGTTGAGCTTCACGTTTCACAACATTGGTGTCCAAATAACTGCAAATAGTTCCTCTAACAGGCCTCAAAGCTAGGCTCCTGAAAAAATGCACTGCAGCTGTATCGGTAAAAAATGTCGACGGGACAGATTCAGGGTTAAGACTTCTACAGAAGAACCCAATCTCAGCTCGTTGTTTTTTTGCACGGGCGTCAGTTTTTGTCCAAGGTCTATTTTCGTCAACACCGACGAGGCTAGTAAAATATCAGGGTAATTGCGTACATGTCCCGACTGTATGCGCCGGAATTTGAGCCCAACCGGTACGTATTATGTTGTTACTCCACTAAGTCGCACCAAGTCCTCCAACCAGGAATACAGACTGAAACCAAAAGGTCGCACAGTGAGCTTCCGGAACCCTCTCGCGGTTTGCTACGGGGATTTTCTATGGGGTCGTCCTATCACGCTCGACAATTATTTGAAGAATGATTCCTAACTGAAACCACCCTTTAAAAACATTAAAGTTTGAGTTTTACTCGTGCGCTGCTCAAGAAATATTTCCAAGATGTCACCTGGGAATTTCACATCCGCCAATATCGTTCCTAGGCCTCCTTATTCATGCACGTTTGTTTTATCATCATCAACGTTTCATAATCAACGGTTAGATAAGATAATCTTTCGTAAATGCGCATTACTACTTGACGTTTATTTCTTTATAAATTGGAAGATTTAAAAATATCTTGCCTGTTTTCATTCCAGCATTTTTAACGCACGTACCATAATTTTGCTACTTTTTATCTACATGCGTGATCAATTTTACTTGTCTTCATGTACTTTAGATTTTCGGAAGTGCGAGGTCACATTTTGGTAGCATATTTCTCCTCAGGTTTGGGGCATTTCAGTTTCTATAAATTAACATGCTGGCAAATATTATTAAAGAGGCCGTTTTTGGTGGTGATTTTTGAATAAGTAAGCGAAAGCAAAAAACAAATATAAATTCTAATTTGTATTCCTTTCAGAGGGTTCCGGATGCGCGCCACCAGGAATTAATATAAATGGGTAGGTATATGGCAGAGACGGTTTCTCTGTTCGCTCAGCTGCTTGTGCCCCAGATGACAGCATCAGATATATAATCACTTGGCAGCTGTGGTGATTTCTAAGAGATGTTTGAGGGTCCGGTGATCACTGGTGGAAGTGTTAACAACAGCAATTTAGAGAGACGGCAGGACAAGCAAAGCTGCGTCACTGTTAACGTTAAACCTCCATGCTCTGATACAGTTTCATTTTTGTACTTCGCACACGTTCACGCACAGACGTTTATTAAAAGGGCTATGAACACTGTCCCTTACCTCAGAATCTTCTGAAGTGTACGTAATATTGAAGCGCTTGACCCAAAAAGGCGCTGCTCCAGCGCCTTGCACCGACAGGGCTGTGATGAACATCCGGGTCCGGAAGGTGAACTGCAGCCACTCCGTGTTGCTGTCCGTAGCAGGGCGCCACCAAGTTTCGGAGTGCAGCAAGGCATCGGCCGGGCTGTGTGATTCATTGTATATGCTTGACGCCGTCACATTGAGATCCCCCGATATTGGGAAAGGGCAGAATTCTGTGTAAGAGTCGAAAGGGTAGTACAAAGATTGTGACTATATCGTCTGATCATTAGACCCCATTAAAAAGGGCGTCATTCTAACCATGTTCCTGGAGTCTGTCTGTCTCAGTGTGATATGTCAGATACGGTGGAACCACACCACCTTTGTTCCGCGCCTCACTTTCAAGTTGCTGAAAAATATTTCAGGCATAAAAAAATCACTCATATTGAATTATCCATCATCTTCAATGAAATTAATCGGTGAAACTGTTTGTTAAGGCTTTTATTTTCATCGCCAGTTCCAAAAATGAAAAATAACGTCGATTTCGGTTTAATATGGCGGACCATCGAATAATGTCAATAACCATTAAAATACAACCAGCCACCATTTTGCCGTATGCAACCGTTTTGTTGCCATCCGTATGTGGCACACTGTAATTTGACAGTTTCTTCCTTCTGAAGTGAGCACACAACCCAAATAATGCGACTCACTTACAACTCAAGTAAGTTGCTGCTGCTGCTTGTTGTTGTTATTCCTGTAACATTGGAGGGGTGTAGTAGGCAAAGCCAGAAGTTCTGGCTGCTCAAGTTAGTTGAAAAGGGTGTCCGGTGATGCAATTGTGGGTTTGTAGGAGAAATGTGAACTATGCCACTTTTCCTTCATCAATGATAACTCTGTACGTATAGCACTGCCCGTCTTGCCTCTTGGCTATAAATAGCCAGGTTCCTCCCAGGGGGGCGCTGGGCAAGAGGACGGAGCAAGTGGGGAGCAAGAGTTCCCCCCCCCCAGCGCTCCTGTTTTCCCCTCTCTCGGCTACATTACATTTTCTACGTATTCTTAAGTGAAGTACGTGTCGGTCTTACCTGGAAACATTTTTGTGCGATACGCGTCACACACTGCGGACAAAACATACGAAATTAAGCTGGTTAATAGTTTAATCACAAAGCCTGAAGAGTTCCCTGATATTTCTCCAGTACTGTTAAAATCAATGCATTGATTTCTGTTTTTGAGCACATCCTTTAGGGTTTTATTTCCTATTGGTCTCACTATTGGTTTTATTTTTTATATTTTTTTTTTACGAAAGGCCCATCAACCAAAGAAAGTCCAGCCAAAAAGGTTTTCCACTGATGTGCAATGCACATGGGCTGACAGACGTGAGGTACGCAGATGCATGCTGCCAAGCTCTTGTATTAACAAAGAGAATCACCATTCATGTATTGCTAAAAGGAAAATTCACTCCAAACCGCTGGAGTTTACGTTGTCCTGAACTTTACTGCATTGGTATTGTGTACATGATATTATATTAAATTCGGCTAGGCTGTTGCATGTTTATTGATACGAAAGATGGGAAACATAAACAGATGTAGGTTTCAAAACAGGCTGTTTGTCCAACGATCGTTGGGAAAAAAACGCCCCCCCCCCATTCTTTCCCTTCAGGTGAAAAACTTTTAAAATACGTCAATCCATCTGCAGTAGAAAATTGCCAAACTTGGTCATTTAATACAATTAACAATAATTAAAGTTATTCACAAATTTCACTTCATCCACAGTTCATTAATAGCTGGCATTGACGAAGTCCTCTTTAACAGAAGTTGATGTTACATAAGCATTGCTTTTTCACCTTCCTTGTAAATTCTGCTCTTACAGCATTTAGAAAGGTCGCAGCATTTTGTCTTAGCGGCAATCTAGTCTCAGAGACAAAATCAGATATCAATTAATTATGTACAGTCATTAGGCGTTAATGGTGCCCTTCCTTTGTACGGAGTCTGCCGTTGTTTCATTGTGTACGCCATTAGCCCATGGTTTGCATGTTGCATTGGACTGGTTATAGTACACGTAAAATCCAATTAGATAATGCAAACTGGCCTACACAATATAACACGCGATTCTTGAAATGAGTGTTATCATTAGAAAATGAAATTCATCGAATGGTCAAGCGGTTAAGACGTCTGCACTAGAGAGCAGGAGTAAGGTTTCAGGCAGTTCAATGATAGTAGCTATATTGAAAACTTTGATAACTTTAGCGCACTATAATATTGGATTATATACAAGAACACAAATAATGAGATAAAACTTCAATTGTCATATAATAAACTACCGCGTTTGAAGAACAGCTATTTAGATACAAATCAGGAAAAGAAGGCTTTTACATTTTTCATGGATGCAAGATTTTTTGGAGCTATGGTTCTAATGTATAGGTTAACCAGAAGCACCACTAGCACTTTTTAGAGTGTTTTCTTTTGCAGTTGAATAAAACTTCGAGCGCTGTTCTTTAATCTAAAAAAAAAAAGTTTTACAATAAAACACTTGGCGATTGGAAACCAGATATGAGAAATGAAGAAACCTACTTATACATATGCACTGATTCTTTACTGACAACACATATAGTTCAATGGGATTGTCTATTATTAATCATCTCGGCCCTTCCCCGTTGATTTGAACTTTTTGCGTTTCTTGTCTCTTAATATTTGTGCTACAAACAAGACTAAATGTCCCCGTCTCTAGTAGTAGGGCTTACCCGAATGTTATCTTCCCACAGTCTTTGTACACTTGCAACAATGCCACTTCAATCTAAATACCTTTGTCAATCCTGGTGAAGAGGTCTATGGCGATTCCATAGCGCGTGTTATCGGTTGTATCCAGTGTGTACAGGCTCACATTGGTCAGAATGCACTTCCTATCGGTGAACAGCCACATTTCCCGGTACTCGAACGTGCGGCAGACAAAACTAGTCTCCTCCAGACATGAGCGGGCGCACTGTTCAGCCGTAACGTCGAACCCTATTACGTATTTCCGGTTAAAGCCCAAAATGTAAACTCCAACTCTGCGTGTAAACATCGAAAGGGCGTTCGTCACACCTGGAAAAAGTTCATCAGACAAAGAGAAAGTCAGTTTTCATCTACACATTTGAAGGGTAATTCCTGGATCCTTTGTGAAAAACATATCTAAGGGTTGTCAAGGATGAGATATTGAAATCCAACAGAGAGAGATGAACTTAATAATGGCAATTACCCGGAACAAACCTAGTATCGTAACTAGGGTGGTATATTTTGAAGGAACTGGCGGAGAGGCAAGCACTTTTATTTTCTACGAAGCACTGAAAACAAAATAATTTTGGCCTGTCTGTATAGACTGTGTACATTCAATCATTTCAAATGCTTCGGGAAGGGGCGCCCAGGGGTCACAAACCTCTATTCTTAGTCATGTTCCTTCCCATGAGCGTGGTAACTATACCACTGAGCTTCAAGTTATGAACTCGTAATTTGAAGGACGGATTTGCAAATCTGGACGGAGAGTACAGGTTTCCTGGTTCGAATAAAAAATCCAAATGCAGTTTGAGAACACGATTTGGCTAGCACAGCAGTATTATGCGCCCCTGCTGTAGGCTAACGGGTTTAATGCTCACTGGAATTAAAGTAAACCACTGCGTGATGTGCATATTAAGCATCAAAGAAACCTGAAAGAAAAAAGGGAATATTGTGTTAATGTTTAGATTCTTAATTTATATGAATATTCTTATTGGCGGAGGTAACGTACGTTGTATCTGTGTTACATGCGAATTTGTGGTTCAATTTCTAAATATCTGGTTGGCCTTTGTGCTTTCTGCGCAAGTAAGCTCAAAGATCTTTGACAACTGGCTAGCTTTATTAACAGAACTGTATCCTGCAATAACCCCTTGTACAGTATTAAGTAGTAATTTGATGATAATACGTTAATGGAAGTATAATTTACGTGATGGGAAACTTTTTTTGCGTATGAAAAAGCAAACCGTGATACGACACGTTCTAAGATTTTCTGTGGGCGTGCTATGAAGTTCCAATTAGGGAGGAAAACCGATGGTCATATTTTAAGGGAATATGCGGTGACAGGCAGGCATTACTTATGTATGTACAATAATAGGAGAGGCCTATCCAGCTGGGAGAAAGGCAGGGAACAACTTGCCCCCCCCCCAATATTTTTTAACAATAAATACGTCATAGGAAAGAAAGTAATCGTATATTTATTTATCGGATATTAGCACCAAACCCCAAGAAAACAACACCTTGAAATTTAGCAAGGATGTGGCGACCGCAACCACGGCTGTTGATATCCCGACAAATCATCTTGTTGAATGAGCAAAAAGCCGCATTCGCTTTTAAATTTCCCGACCTACACCAAAACGCTGGGGGGTATTTTAGGGCTTTTTTCGGTTTTTATGCGTATATGAAGTTGTATATTCAGGCTTGTACACAAAAAAAAAGATCGCTAAACGTTTACACTTTGTTACCAGTGATTTCCATTTCCTTTGACTGTTTATTGTTGAATACGTGTATGGTAATAAGATCACAGCAAGCAGCCTTTTCTCGGAGATGTTTTTAAAGGGCGAATTTACTTTTTTCTGATTTTCAAAAAGCCTACACGTTACAGTTCACTTTAATTAAAAAATGTTTAACGGTTTTTATACACTGAGGAACAGATTTAATATGCACAAAAAGTGATTTCAAGAAAAATCTACTGCATTTATCCGTTTATTAAACGACGCAACGTTGCATTTAAAACATTTATCAACATTTCTCAAAACACCTCTCATTCTTTATAGAAATAAAAAGATTCAAAGAATAAGCAACAAAATCACCTGAATTCCGTACGTTGGCGAATGAGCTGAAAGCATTTTTACCGGCTTTGAGCAAGAAGACCCCAATTTCCCACCCAAAATTAATTTAGCGCATGACAATGAAGTGCTCGTCTCCCTGGAACCTATCTCACTCAACAGCATTGCCTGGCACACTGATTACCATCAGGAATGACCGGCATGCAAGCCAATTGAGCTTTGAGTGAGGTCCCTGTGAAATTCTTTTGTAGACATCACGCGCGTGGATCGTTATTTTTACCAAGAGTGAGGAATATGGTTGAATACCGAGATGCCTCGCAATGTGACAAGACATTTGGGATAATGGCCCCCCACGTCACTATAGAGTGCAGTTTGAAGGTTGATGGATGGGCTGGAAGGGCCACAATAAAGGGTTAGATTGGAGAGGACGAAAAAAAAACAGTATGCCACTGAGAATTCTGTTTATATTCCATTCACTTCCTTGTCAGGAAATTTGAAATCCTGATGCTTCATTTTTTAAAAAAACAGAGCTCGCGGGCATGTCATATAGACAAACTGTTGCAGAGAGACAAATAGGACCATGCTAAACCAAACCCAAGCACATAAGACCGAGACACACAGCAAAACTAAACGAAACCAACCCGTTTAAGCAGACTAAGCATGCAATAAACCATGCTAAAACACATCACTTCAAACCAAACCATACAAACCAAAAATCAAATATATTGAATCTGAATATGTGAGCTTTTAAGTATGATTTACAGTAAAACTTCCTTACTTTTCTTCATTTTAGACTGAGATGTGTGTTAATTTTTTTTTTAACTGACAGACAGTATTTCTAATATAGTCATGCGTGATTTCTGAAATAAATACATGCTAAAACTGTTTCCTTGTTTTATTGTGTTATATACACAATACATACTCTTTAAATTTGTCGGTAGACGTTGCGCTTTAGGGCATGTGGCCTCAGTTCGAGTGAAGGCTGTATTCAAAGAACTGCAACACACGTTATTCACGCTGCTGCTTCTGCTTGGGGTTCCGACAATACCTTATCTCAGTATCTTATCGGGGGATGTTGCTGGTACATAACATACGGTATATAGCTAATGTAGGAGGGTGGTACCCCTTTACGTCATATAAATATTGCTTGGTATCCATGTGAACAGTCTGATTTGGGATTGTACTTTCGTTTCATATTGTCCACCACTGCCAAGCCGTGTGCAATGCCCCGAACAGGGCTGAACACTGAAGAAACAGGTTAATGCCTGTTTATCGCGACAAGTAACACCTGTTCAGACTTACATTGAGCAACGATGCAGAAATCTCGCTGTGTCGTGTTGGTTTGTGGATCAGAATAAAAGCACCAAGGACTTGAACTGTTGTCGGGATTTCGGCAGAAGTTTCTGTCTAAACATCGATAGGCAAAAAAAAATTAAGAGTCGGAGAGAATGACGATGACAGTGCCATTTTTTTTCACATGTAACAATCTTTAAAAATACTGTGTAAACGCCTTCTTACCAAAGTTAGAGAAAGCATAGTTATGTTCCACCTCAGTCCAATTCAAGCAGGAATACCCAGAAGCTGTAAACATGGCGCTGTCTGTGTAACTGGTGCCCGTCCCATTCATACAGCCGGCATGAGCTGAATATAAAAAAAATAAATATTCCAGCGAGTGGCACAGATTCCTACCAACTAAACCGCAATAGTAAACTAAATTACTCTTTGAAACACTTTGGCATTTTATATTTTTTTTCTGATGCCATTTTACGGCCAAATATTGCTCAGTTGTCACTTGTCTGAGCACTTTGAACTTTTTGGACACTGTTTTTCCTAGAACAGCTACAAAAAGATTGTCTAATGAATACTCCGCTTATGCTTATTTCCCAACACCAGTGGGTATAAACTATATGCAATGCATGGATTGTCGCCAAAAAGGAAATGACACCCCCAACCTTTTCTTTTTCACGCAGGGGAACCAAAAGAAAGAGTGGCTTTTGAGCAGATTTAATAAGGCATCAAAACGTGGATGATGCGTGTACACCAATTCTAGCTCTTCTGAGTCCTATGTAAACATGAAGTGTAAGGGCTCGTTTACACAGCAGCCGATAAATGATACTCAACGAGACAAAATAATTATCCAAGTCCATGGTTTCATATATTATGAGACTGTTTACACTAAAAGGGGAAAATTGCGCAATAACAAAAAATATATATATACTTTTTCAAATATATCACGATGAAATACACTACACATTCTGGCTAGTCTGGGCTCCCCTGAATAAAACGTTTCACTGCGTGGGAGTGAAAAATTATTCCCTCTGTTCGAACTGGGGGAATAGACGACTTGGAGTGAATTTTCTCAATTTGATCCAAAAGGACAAGCCTTCACTTGGGTTTCCACTGGACAGGGTTCTCTTTAAAACTTCTTTGATCGAAATTCGGAGTGATTGCCACTCTAAAACGTGTGTTTGGAAATGAGGGTTTTGTATCCGTCCGAGTGGAACAAGGAAGGGCGTATTTTGTTTTTTGGTACTCACCGCCATGAGGCGCGCAAGTACATGCGCGTTTAACGCGAAGCACGCTGAGTCACGTATGTTCATGCCCTTCACTTAGTTTGTGCGCATGCGTAGTGAATCCAACTACAACCAGAAGCTTGTAAAATGGCTCTTGACGCGGCCGGGGTGGACCCCAAAAGTAATCGATCAACATCAAGCTCAGGAAGTTGAATCTGCATGAAAAACGAGCCGCATTTCAGACAAATGGCTCTCGATCTTGAAGAAATGACCTGATGGATACAAACGATTCATCAGTCTTCCAGACAGTATCACCGATGATCTGAGAACAATTCGACAAGAGTGTGAAAATTGGACACTTACGTCAGGTGGAAAACACGGAGAATGACGAGAATGGGTCCCAATGAAAAACAAAGTGAGGTTCAAAAAAAGATTTCCTTCCTAAAAGTAATAAGTTTTTTTATCTTAAGAATTACTAGTCTTTCATGTTGCATCAAAGTTATTTGAAGGTAAACCCGGGAAAATGGTGAAAATTAGACGCAAAGTTAGATAAAAAGGGACAATTTCTCATAATTATCCTCTGCCGTAAAATGGACATTTTCCACTTCTTCGATTACTTTCTGGATATCTTTCTTATCGGAAGCTTTTAAATATCGCCATGTGATAGATTATTGGCAATTTTTTTTCTCACACGAAGTCTTCAAGGGAAATGGCAGGACAAATCCCTCACCGATTTGCGTCGTCTTCTGAAATAATTTTTCAAGCCGGCGACCATTATGTCACTATTGCGCATGCGCGAATACACAAGCAAAATGCACGCACAGTCTATGAGGACCGAGCATACGTGAGTAAGTGTAATTAATTTATTCCGGCATATAATGTGGTCTTTGAATACACGTAGAACGCGTGCAAGAGCCCGCTTGTATCCACCTGTCTTTCTTCCGCCGATTGGGGGTGCACTTTTAAGCGTTCCTTTGGATTCTTGCTATGGGGCGCCATTGTATTTTATGGAGACAAGAACTGTTTCACCCTTTTAAATCCAAACCAGGTTTGTCATCTGATTTTGTTTTCCTTGTAAAACTCACCATTACAAGGTGGTATGCGGCAATACTCGAGTTTCACCGAGCCATCGTTGGTCCTGTAATAACACTGTGGACCTCTTGTTGTGTTGCCGAATGATCTGCAGTAGTTTTCCATCAGGTCTGGCAAAATACAAAACAACAAAAAGATATGACATGGGTGCTTTTATGACCACTCCAACAAACAGTCTATCGTTGGTCACTAGACCACGGACGTGTATAAAAAAACCCAGACTTGCAACGCCTTTGTATGAAAAAGAAGCCAAGCAGCGGCCATTTACTGAGCCGAATACAAATGCGTGGGTTGGCTCCCTTCTTTTGACGTCAGGAAGAACAAAGCGGGCATTGCCAGGAAAGCTTTGTATTCAGCTTGGTAAAATGGCCGCGAGTGGATTCAATGATCTATATAAGCTGATTAAGGGCATTGCGAGTCCAGATTTTATTATACACGTCCGTGCACTAGGCCCGTTAATTCATAATGGCAGAACTTATACAGTTTACCAAGACACGATATTTTCCCGTTAAACGTTAAAAAATTAGCTCGCCATTCTGCACAAATGTATTAAATATAACTTCCAAATAAGCTTGTTGCTCAAAGGTTATGTACATTTGATGAGTATCACAGAAGGACACCATTTCTTGCAAAGAGATAGCTTGAGTCCTTATCACGGGATATAGAGTAAAAAGGTTGAAAGCATAGGTGTAACAGAAGGATTACAGGAAACCAGACCATACTGAAGCTTATGCCATGCGTCAGCAGTTACTGTTTTTCCATAATGAAAGTAAATTGTGCAGTCAGACCTCGTGTTTGATAGGAAATGTATGGATCTAAATGTCAACTAGATGTTACTGTTACTTTGCATGGGTAGTGCCCACGAAGGATTCTCATTCGTGACGGTAGTAATGACAAGCTATGCATGCAATTCTTGCACAAGAGAATCTACGTCGAGTCTAATGCAGTGATCTCATATATTTCTGTGGAAATGAGCTTGAAATACCACCTTAATTGATGATATTTTGAGGATGCGAAAGGGTATGTGTCACAGCCAGCAATAATTGTACTTAATCAAAGTCATCGTTTTCCATTGTGAAGAATTTAACTCGGTTTGTTCAAGGAAATGAATTGGGGTACCCTTTTCAGGACGATCAATCACATGAACCAACATTTGCTCTCTGAGCCATCGCAACCTTCCGTGAACTCGTTGCTACGGGCCTACTTGCGATTCTCGAGGGGTTGAGTGTAGCTGACATTGACGTTGCTCTACGCCCACAGACAAGTGTGAGACAAATCACTCACATTAGCTGCATAATGTTTGTTACATGCACGTCGGGGAATTGTGTAATTTCAACAGTACCCCCCCCCCTTTGATTTATTATTAATATGAAAGTGTGCGTATTGGAGAGTACAGTCAGTTTGAAGGTCACGGTGACATAATGATTTATCGAGTATTGGATCTAACTCTGAATGCGGTGCCGGCAACCAATACGTGGAAAGCTGCACATCAAGGGATATCCAAGTTTATGAAGCCAGAGCCAAAGAGGGGAACTGAGTGTAAGAGATATGCGACAGTAGACAGACAGAAGTAACCGTGTAATTTCTTGGATAGTTTGTTTCCTTTCTCTCTTTTTATGCTATGAAAGACCTTGAGGGTGAGTAGGCATTGTAGCAAAGTGAGCAAAGGAAAAGCGGTGCAACGCAAGAATGGGACGCTTATGTGCGGTTCTGGTGATGCTCAGGACACATTTTAATTTGATCACACAGTTAGTTCCTTTAATTAATGGGGGTTGCCATGGTGATGTACTCCACACAGCCTTGTCCATGTATCCATGTGCCGTAGAGAAATAGATCATTTCTATACCCTCATGATCTTTGGTATTGATTGTATTTATGATTGCATAACTTTGGAAAATTGAGAAAATGCAGTTGTATGTGGCTGTAATTCACAGTAGGCTCTTCATTATTTCACCAATATCATTGTCACACCATGGGGTCATTTTCCACCTAGCGGTGAACCAACAGTGAAAAGTCTTCTACAATGGTTGTCGTAATTGACGTTTGTTTACGATTTCCGTTAAAAAGGGATCAAAGCCGAGCGCACACTAAGTGCTGGCGTCTGTTATTGTTGCAATGATAATTAATTATAAAATGCGTGCCCAATAATAATTTTGTCCTTACAAGGCGCTATAGGGACTCGCAATTACACTGGCAAGTCATTGATTAAATGCTGTTAAGAGGAAGAAAATTTGCCCTCTGACATGACCGTATGTCCCCACCCAAAGGAAAAATACATTGTTAATCGTTTATGATCTTATTGACCTCATGTAACATCGGTTTTCCGTTGCAAACTGATGAAAACCACCTACAGGCTGTGTAAAAGCCGATTTATCTGAGTTTATGTATCCCCATTTTGTGAAATGCCATACGGGCTGCATGATTTTTGGGAGTTGTTCGCTGTCGCTGTCTACCTTTACGACACGCGCATTCAGCCCCCTGTTATCTTGCTGTAGTGTTAAATTCCCCTATTCCCTAAATTCAAAACAAAGAAAAGTACATGTATATTAAAATTGTTATGAATTCAGAAAATACAATCTCAGTACATGTGATGTATCACTGCACGGTCTGAATTCTTATGTTTGCCAAGTGTTTACAACTCACCCAGACCGGATAAGAACCATGCGGACGCACGCGCCGCCCTCTCTCTCTCGTTTTTCATTCAGCCAGCCAGTACCCAGTTACAGGCTACGTGCAATAAAATCACATGAGTAGATAACGTACCGCATACATGTCTAAACAATGCACCGGAAATTCACTACACGACTGGCCGCACCAAAAACGTCGTCAAAATCTCTCTAACCAAAAATGCTAAAATTCTGGTACCTTACCCCGATTGACCTCAAATGAATTGTGGACAGGTCACCGTCTCCAGGTAGACCTCCAATGAGGCTCAACCGCATAAAATTGTCCTCAAGAAGTTCACGTCAAAGTTTGTAACAGTTGTCTCGGAAAAAACGTGGAGAGAGAGAGCGCGAGTGTGCATGCGCAACTGCCCATAAAAATATGTACGCCATAAGTTCAAGTTTCATAAAATAATACAAACGATTATTAAAGCGCCAATATTATGGAAAAAAATGCTGCACATTAGTACTATTTATACCACTCCAAACTAAATTAACTTTGGAAATAAAAAGTGCACGTGAACTCCCCAAGAATTATAAGTTATAGACTCACGTGTACATGTACGCCCGTTCGGTCACCATGGTTTCATATTGGTAGCAAACATCTTAAAGGTATGGTGTACTATTTACGACAAACATTTTTCTCTCTCTCTTGCCTCCATCCAGGCGACGCAACCAGACGGCACGACGGCTCCCTTGCGTCGTGCAGTCGGGTGGCACCGTCGCCTTCTTACCATTACTTTTGTACACACACGACGCGTTGCGTTGTGCGTCGCGCCGTGCGGTCATGCGTCGCGTCGTGCTGTCTCAGAAAGAGAAGGTTTGTTTGTTTGTCTGTTTGTTCGTTCGTTCGTTCCTTCCTTCATTTGTTCGTTTGTTCGTTTGTTTGTTTGTCTCCAGGAAATAAAAAATGAGCCACAACGTTGTTTTAACTTTTCCTACTCTAATTTTGATCTTCCTTATAATTATGTAATAGAATTAATTTTGTTCCCCTACTTGTTGAAATCCTAACTCCCCCAGAATTAGGTCATACAATTTGTGTGGGTTGCTTGGCAGTGTGTGGGCAGTTGGTAACAGAACTTGCAAACCGCCACAAGAGTCCTTCAGAAGGAGCTGATACCTTCCCTAGCTGGTGACCTTCCACACTTCACCTGACTACTGGACTGAACAGAGACTGTTCTGTTGTCTCTCTGTGATTTCTCCTTCCATCGAACCTGCCATATTTACAAATTCGTCCCTGTCCTGCTCTAGGCAAAAACATTACCAGTGTATTGAACCACAGATGCATACGTTGCTGGACAGGCGTTGGCCTTGACCAGAGCCACATGAATTACGTTCTGAAACCTGATTTAGTCGAGGGGAAGGAAAGACTGTGCACTTGAACCCTAAACATCATATAGCCCAACACATCTTCGCCATCCATTCAATTTCTTTTTGCTGCAAGCCTTTCTATTGCAAACTCTACAGCTACTTGCCAGGTCAAGGCAAACCAAGTCGTCCCCAACTTCAGCAATAGATCGTCTTCAAGCTAGGCCCTTTATTTCTTTTCATTGCTAATTCATAATGTTTTCTGTTACATAGAATCCCTGTTTTTTCTCATTATTAAAAAAGATGCTTTCTCTAACGTGAGGGTATTGGTATTTTCGTAAACCGTGCGAAAACCTTTTACTATATTAGCCGGAAACGAATTAATTCTCACTGGTTAGCTGATAATAAAAGGCGTAAACTAGTGAACAAAGAAATAATGTAAGCAGGTGTCATGATTCTCATATTATGTCCGCTACAAAATTTCTAAATCTATTCTAAGATACAATACATCAATCATTATAACGTGCTTGCTAATGTAAGATGCGGATCAGAGGAGAAATTATGCATGTGTGTGGCCGAACAGAGTTGAAAAAAGACACGGCCACAATGATAATAGCGTCTGTATAATGTTTTATTCAGAAACATGGACTAATATCATTGAAAGTGCGGTGCTGATGAAGGTAACGAGGACGACTGGCCTGAAGGAAGACTACGACGGAATATTCTGAAAAAATTATAGAGTAGGCTCGGTGGTAACTTCCTAAACCCATGGTCAAACTTGCGTAGACAAATTGTCTGGGGTATTGGGAGTACTACTTAGAAATTACCGGGATGGACCACGGAGAAATACTGGTACCTATAAGATTACAAATCTACCACAAATGGGAACTGCATCGACGGTATTAAAAAGAAATCATTGGCTGGGTTTAAAGAGTGACGAATTCTGGGCTGCCACTTATTATGAGAGAGCAGTTCCTAGATATGCCGGTTTTCCTTTTGCTCTTTTTTTTTTCTTTTTCCTTAATAAAATATGACAGAATTGATCCTAAACGAGGAATGGATGAGATAAAAACAAGAACAAATCAACATCAAGGAGTAAATAGCATGTACTTTGCGATGCGACGGGCAACGGAAGGGGC